TAGTGAGGGCGGATTTGGCTGGCTTATCTTGTAGAATAAATCGAGCAATAAGAAAACACTAACTTAAAACAATTATTGTCAATGACAATGAATAATAGTAATCTAATACATCAATCTGTACCATTACATGGCATACATTTTACTGAATGTATGTCGGACAGATCAGTAAGTAATAAAAAAATATTGTGTTTTTAAATCCTGAATACTACTTCCATTTCAAGTAAATGAAATGCAAAATTAATTTATGTGTCATCGCCACAACAAAAAAAAACGGTATTGCCTATTGGTAAGTTAGAAAAGTCATTCATCTGAAAACAACAAACAAAATAGTAAGATGACGGCCAATTATTCCTTTTGTTATATTTGTGATTTTAAGTTGGATTGTATGATATTGAGTTGAATCACAATGTATTATTATATATTATGCGTATGAAAGTTTTGTTGAATACAATTCATTTTCAACTAATTTTATGCATAAGAGTATAGTCATGGTAAGATTTCATTATATTTTAAATCATTATTATTAATACCTACTATTAAAAATATTATCGTACGACTTTATTTTTAACCGAGAGTAGGTTTAAGAGGTCCAAGTTCGGTCGCTTCGGAGGAGAATGAAAGTTTCTGTATTCAGACTGTGGCCTGCCTAAAGGGAGATACCACCCGAGACCGAGGATCGAACCGGGGACAGCGAGCGCGCAATACACAGTGGCCTTACCCACTCAGCCACCCGTTTTCATATTTTAATTAATAATTGGTATTTGGTGCAATCAAATTAATTAAAACGTGAAATAAAATTATATGAACTTATTGTTCCACTTCATCCACGGTGTTGAGTTGTTTTTTAATAAGCTATCATGGATAAATGATAATACATTTTTGGTGTGTACAATAATTGTGTTGTGCATCATTAATGATGATATTATTATGACCATTGATATTTACCAAATGCGGCGTTGAGTGTTGACACTGTAGAAACTAGACGGACCAACGCCGGTGCAAATCACACAAAAAGTAAATCCAGCATATTATCCGAATGTAATAATATATTATTGCAGCTCGAACTGTTTGCTCGCAGTGGCACTTTATGGTGTAGGTATCCAGTACCTTGTTGTTTCGTACAGATTTATGCTCATTATTATTTATTTTAGTAGTACACCGATCGTCAATGACTTTTCCATAGTCTACTAGGATGTCGTAGTTCGAACTGTCACTGGTAACAGGTCAAATATGGCGTAAGTGCATCTGTGTTCAGTATGTTTAAGACTTTTTCAATATAAAGCGAAGGCTGAAGGATTTCATGCGATAGCAAACCGATAATATCTGAAGTTTAATCGTGTTATACCTTTATATGTGCACTACAACGTTTGACGACTATTGGTTCATATTTAATTCAATTAAATATTAAGCAACGCGTCGAGGTACTTAACGTAATTAAACCACCACGCTGTCGTCGCGTTCGTAGCAAGGGAATAACATTATTATAACAAACTGTACATCGCCTACGCCTAACTATATAATATTATTGTTTTAATTTCAAAAAACCAACGGCAGACAGGTTAGCCGCCCCCCCCCCTTCGTCGCTTCGCCTTTTCATCGTTCGAGTTTTATACTTTATTAATTATTGGGTTTGTGGCGTAGACCAATCGAGTAAATTGCATCTGCAATTTTTTATCCTTTTTCTAAAACCACTGATGGCACCAGGATTGAATGACTTGAGTTGAGCTCACGGCACCGCGTAGCTTATTAAATCGTTTTTTAAATGTATATTTTCCAATTCCTCCGTATTGAATGAATAACGTAAAATATCTGGCGAATAGTAAACAAGATGTTGCTCATATTTTTTTCTTATTAACGATATTTTGCTCATAAAAATATACGTCCACATACCACAGTCCTCAGACACACAAGCTGATAAAGTCGAGAGAGACTAAGCTCGCTTTTCATATAAAACTCCCTTAAAACACTATGTAGGCAACGTCCATCAATTTTATATTTTTAGAATTTCACAAAAAAATAAGCACCTACCATAATATAACTACACAGAAATAAATACATAGTTGGTCCAACTAAAATTATGGTTAATAAAAGGTTAAAGCACAATACATTTCTAGTTGGTATAACTAAATAAGTAGTTGGGCCAGCTAAATTTTTAGTTAAAGCAACTGTACATTCAGTTGGGCCAACTATTTATTTGGTTATTCTAACTAGAAATGTATTGTGTCTCTATATTAACCATAATTTTAGTTGGACCAACTAAATATTTTTCCCGTGTAACCGTTAGTTATATAATGCGGTACTGTGTAGATAAAATAATGATTAATGTATTGAGTTTATTTATGAGTTAAGTAATAAGGCTTTAAACCTCGTTGACACAATGACATTACAATGACATGTCAGTCTGGAAAATATTCTGAAACGATTAATTAAAATACCAAATGCATTTTCATCTATTCTGCGTTCCTGAACAGTGTCTGTAGTTGTATGCGCGCTCCTTAAGACTCTGGTTTGGCCGTTTGGGAAATGGCTTCATCAGGTACTGGTTTAAGAGGAAAGCGTCCTTTTCTAGTATTACACTATCCTCTGAACACCTAACTGATTTTATAATATTGTAGTGTTCAAAGCTGATTTTCCAAAAATTCCCCCATTCGAAGAACTTCAATAGATTCCTACGTCTATGCGCGTAAAGTTGAAATCGTCATTAACCAAGACATGAAGAACTATAATGAACTGATTTTTGTCACTAAAATATAATGAAACAGAATATTTAGGGCACTTTATAAGCATGTGTTTGCCGTCAATCGTCCCAACTCGTCCTAGTCTAAATAGATCTATAATCACATTAAACGGCGAGACCTCAGTTTCAGATCCTTATGACTTGGGTTATCCTTATACCGAGTCCACAAAGAGCGAACAATATTAAAACAAAACAAAAACACGATGTTTTTAGACAATTTCCAAACAATTTTGTTTTTTTTCAACAAAATGTTCTGTTTTTTAAGAACAAAACCGTGTCCCGTTCGTGGTGGGAAATTTTATAGATGTTTTTGTTTTCATGAACACTATAGTTCGGCGTGGACACAAAATTGTGTTTAAATATTAATTGTTAAATGTAATTAAATATTAATGTGTTAAAAAATAAAAACAAGTTATATTAATAACTAGTTTATATTATACCAATGTCATCATCCCATAAATCTTTTAAAAGTTAATTTATTCATTTACATTTCTTTTTTGTAACGTTGGTCTTACCCAAAAACCTCGGAGAAAAATAACTTTAAGTTTTATAACTAGAAAAACTTAATATATTTTTACATTAAAATTAGTCTTCTTTCTTCTCTTTTTCTGGGCTTTTACAGGCCTTTAAGACCATCGTCGCAACAACATATTGTCTCCATCCCTCTTTATCTTTCGCACATTATTCAGCGTTCCTTACATTCAGAAGTTTTAAGTCTTCCTGTTTTCTATCTATCCATCTTTGTCTAGGCCATCCTCTAGGTCTCTTAACGTTGGGTTTCCATTTAGTTATTAATCCAATTATTCCTTCTGGTCTCCATACGTGTCCTGCCCAACTTATCCTCGTACTTTTTAGGGTCCCAATAATGGTAGGTTCTTTACAAAGATTATCCAACTCTTCGTTGTTTCTCAATTCATACTCTCCATCGTTATTTCTCTTTGGACCGAAGATTTTCCTTAATATCTTTCTTTCAAACACTTCTAACTTTTTTTCATCTGATTTTATCGTGGCCCCAAGTACTACATGCATATAGAGCAATTTGTTTAACTATGACTTTGTATAACGTAATTTTAGACTTTATTGATAGTAATCTCGATTTAAAAAATGGCATTAGACTATAGTAGCATCTATTTGCTACCATAAGTCGTTTTTTAACTTCTTCGTGGCTATTAGCATTTTCATTGATCTCTGCCCCTAGGTACTTGAAGCTCTGTACCCTAAAATTAGTCGGCGTACTTATAACGGTGACTAGATAAATTTTTGTCAAATATTGCCTATCCTTTGTCCCTTAATAAATAGCGCTTTCCGTTCCCCTTTTGCTGAACCAGCAGACTATGATAATTGATAATCTTGCTAAAGATATAACCATCGAACAAGAGGAAACAGCTGAGTATAGTGATAACGACATACAAAACTTAACCTACCACCAAGAGAAATTAACTACATATTACACAAACTATAAACTGATGATTGCTATTTGCTTACCTATAATTTTTATTAGTTTTAGAATTGATTATAAATTGTAATTTATAATCAATGGTTTTAAGTATTAACTTACCAGAATAAAGTGAGAAAACTATTTCTATTGAAAGGGATTGGATACCGCTTATTCCCGTCCCTATCTATCTCACGCGCATCATAGGAAGTAAGGCGTATATTTTGTCCACCGTACCGAATCGGTACTACCGATCTACCTAGTGATGCAGTAAGGAATCTGAAAACAGATATGAATTTTCGTAAAGTTTATTTGAGATTCTACAGAGTACATTTTTCCTACTTTAAATAAGTAACATTTAAACATTTTATAAAATTTTAAATTTGGAAAAGGTTAAAATTAAAAATTGATCAAAGTACTCCTTGATCTCGAGTATACGTCTTTATGACAAATTTAAATCTGTTTCCAGATTTATTCTCGCATTACTAGGAAAATCGGTAGTCGGTACGCCGCGCCGTAACGATGGACAAAATATATGTCTATATTCCTAAGTTGCGCATGAAATGGATAGACGGGAATAATCGGTGTGATGTCCAATCCTCTTAGTATTTTTATTCATTTGCGTTACAAATGTAAACAGTCATGGTTCTTTTTTTTACTTTTTATACCTACGCAAGTCGTAACTGTAAAATTTATTTTATCATATTTTGATTTGATGTTAATGATTATTTCTTGTTTTTTACTCCATGAAACCTTAGATAATTTTCAAACAAAAATATCTACCGGGTGTTATCAATTGTTTATTTACATTTTCCGCTTTTTTCTAATTCATAAAATACTTTTAAACTTTGGAAAACTAATTAAGTATTATAGCTATTTTTCATCATTAAGTGGAATAGTTAAACAATAAGCGAAAAGTAATATTAAAAATTATAATAAGTGAGCGGAAATCATATAGTGGTAACTCGTAAATATGTTTAGGTATTTCAAAAACTGATTAACAATAACTGACACAGTATTAATTAAATAGCGTATAGCATTTAAATCATTTACAAAGAATTATTATAAAATTTTAAACATGCCTAATGTATCAGAAAACCACCATGAAGTAAGAATGTATATTGTGATTAGTAGTTTGAAAAAAGTTAATTTGGGACTTATTCTAGACCGAGAAAATATCACTCAGTTCAGTAATCATTATCCACCCAGGGTCACTAAATTTAAGAATTGGTCGTGCAGTTGACCCTATACCTCATACTGTTATACATGGTATTGCTCGACCGGTCTCGAAGTTCTGTGGTAGTTATAAGAGATATGATCAAATTCTGACAGCTCTACCGAATAAAGTATGATTAAAGTATAATAATTTGAAAAGTATTATTAACATATGATGTTATAGAATTCAGATATTTGGGCCACAATGGAAGATAGTAGACTTCAAGCATCGCACATGTTACAATCTAGCTTGCAATCGAACGGTGATAGAAGATATGCGACTCCTCCTCAACAAATAGCTGCTTATAATCGAAAATCTAAACCACAACTGCTTGAAATTCCTCCCCAACAGTTTATTGACCCTGGAGGCAATAAAACTGTGTTTGGAGAAGAAGTAATGTTCATAATCAAAAATTAGACTGATTTAAATGTATGCATCTATTAATTGTTTACACTAACTTTATGTTATTTCAGATATTCAGAATTAATCCTTGTCTTCAATATAATATCTCCTTTCCCATAGTTAATGGGGAATTAAATATAAATGACAAAATTGGAGGCTCGTTAACTGCTGTCTTATCAGATCTAGAAGCTATTTGGACACATTTTATTAACAACTTGTTAAATATCCCTACAACAGAATTTAAAGTGAGACTTTCTACTGTACTTCTTACTCTAAAATAAAATATGTTGTGTACAACTTTAATAATTAGTTCAGTAAATCATTTTATAAGATTGAGTTGCGTTTTCATGTATAGTATTAATTTCTTTTGTAGCATTTCCATTCTTAATTATTTTAAATTGTATTTATTTTAGAATTATAGAGTTATTCTGATTATACCAGATATATTTAACAGAGTTCATGTTAGAGAAATGATGTCACTAATATTGAATACCATGAAATTCAAAGCTTGCATCCTTATACAGGTACTTTATTTGTAACATAGATTTTTAAGTAAATTTTATTCGTATCTACGCATTACAGGATCATGTTGCTGCGACTTTTGGTGCTGGTTTAGGCTATGCATGTGTTGTCGATGTAGGTCATCGAAAGACATCTGTGAGTTGTATAGAAGACGGCATATCGCAACGTAATACACGTATAAGATTACGCTATGGAGGAGGTAGTACTTTATAACATAACTATTATGTTAACACTTCCAAAGCAAAAGGATATGAATGATACCTAAATTGCAGCTAAACCTTTTTGTAGTCTACTTACTATTTTAGCTTTAACACCAACAAATGCTCTAAATGCTATGCTTGATTATTATCAACATAAAAATGTATTTTAATACTAACTTACACCAATCTTTTAATTTTTTTTTTTTGTTTGAAAAAAAATATATTCTTTGGCCTTAGAAGCGTTAATATTATAATGTAATACTTGAATCACAAAAGTGTAATGCACAATTTATAATAAAACAGTTGATAGTTAAAATACATTAACTAGGTAACCATTATTTGTTTATAAGTTTACATATTCACATTTTAAGTAGCCTTAAAACTCTTCTACATTTATTAAGAAATAACTGTTGACATTTTTTTTTCTCTAAGGTTTGACTACTATGGCTATTAGCTGCTGGTTTATTTTGTTGTTTATTGATTTTGGGTTTTGGTTAGGTTAGTGTAGGTGTGGACATGGGTCGCCGCTAAAAATCCTAGATGGTCACCCATCTGGGATCAAGCAGCAATGGACACAGCCTAACCTCAGGTACTGCATGAGAGCTGAGGTGTCCACTGTGCTACATCATGCCCTGTGTTGAAATTGTTAATATGAAAAATTTCAAATTAATTGTATTGCCTTATCTGTATTTTTCAGCAAACATTACACAAACATTCCACTGGCTTCTAAAGAAATGTGGTTTTCCTTATACTGTATGTGATCCCTTAAAAAACTATTATGATGCAACACTGTTACAACAATTAAAAGAAGATTTTTGCCATTTAAACTTAGATAAGTGTGGTTGCATGGAAAGATCAGTAATTGTAAAAAAACCTACTGAACCAGTAACACAATATACTATTCAGGTATTTAATCTATATATATATATATATATATATAATATAATGCTTATAAAATCAAATTATAATATTATTTTTAGGTGGGTGATGAAGCAATGATCGCAGTATTAGGTGTGTTTAATCCAACATTAATGGGAATCACTGACAATAATCATTATGTAATCCAAGAAGGATCTAAATCACTACCTGAAGATCCATATGACGAAGAATTTTTAAGAGAAACTAGTGTAATTTTTAAATATTTTTGTTTTTGTACCAATTGTTTTACAATGTTAGTTTCAATGACTTAATTTATAGAGACGAGGTACTGGTCGTGAATTGGAAACTGAAACTCAAGCTGAGAATAGTATAACACACAACACAGAGGAAGAAATTTGTGTAGATCAAATTGAAACAGCTGGCAATTATTTTGACATTGAAACGGGGAGACCTCAAAGCCTCGATAAAGTAATCGTGCAGAGTATTGAAAGGCTAAGTAAGTTACTTTGTTTTTTCAGTGGTATAGTCATAAAGTGTACAAATGCTGTGTATAGTTTCCAATTTTTCTATGTCTATGTGTACTCATAATGAAAATTGTATACTCGCGGTGAGAGTACATAACAACACCACTACTTTACCCTACAAAACATTAGTATTTACTTAGACTTATATGTTTATGTATAGATTCAGATGACATAAAGCGAAAAATGTATAGTAGTATTTTGGTTGTTGGCGGTGGATTAAAATTTGAAGGTGCGTGTGCTTGGTTAAAGAGCAAAATATCTCTTAACGCACAACAAGTTTATTATGGAGGTATTAATAAACAAATAATATAATAAAATAACTGAATAGTTTATTTGATTTTTTTATTAATTTAAGGACACATTGAAATTATAAATTCACCCAAAGATTTGGATCCTCTAATTGTTACATGGAAAGGGGCCTCTATACTCGGGGGCCTAGAATCATCCAACGAACTTTGGATCACTGGAAAAGAATGGTCATCTTGGAGTATTCGAATTTTAAAAGAACGAGCAATGTTTAATTGGTGACTTTTTTAAGCATATATTTTATACATAAATTGTTTGTAAATATATTAAATTAATACTAGTCATTATTATTTTTAATTTTTTTAACCATATCAAAAATATGTATGTGTACGATTATAAACAGTTGAAATATTCAGGTTTACCTAATATTATAACATGCGAGAACTTAAAACTTGATTTTACCATATTCTTTAGTTGAATTTTTACAATTTTTTGCGAAGAAAAACTGCCGTTAAGAAAGATAAATTTACATACCTTGCGGGTACTTAGTATGCATTATATCTACTAATCATTATTTAATTTATATTTTCAAAGTGTGATCATTTAAGGCTCATATTTACCTAAAAAAAACTACAAAATTATAAGTACCCTAATGGTTTGTTTTTGGTTAAAAAAACCTGAATACTACCAACTACCATCCCCCTAATCTAAATAATTATTTAATTTAATAAATTAGATTAAAAGCCTTATGTACAAATTACTATTGATTTACCAAAATGTATAGTTATTAAAATAGCTAATAGTGAGAAATGCTGATAATTGTTTGGTTTTTTTTTTACTACTTTAGATTTCGATATAGTTTTTTACACTATAAAATATACATAATGTACTTTTTATGAGTCATATTAATAAAATAAAATTACTTAAAATATATTTATTGTCTATTTATGTTTCTATAATTAAACTAACCCTGCAGTATTTAGTAGACAATTTGTACACATACATTTTTGCATTCTGCAACGCATGCTAGTTAATAAAAAATAAAAAACCGTTAGTTTTTAAATTATATTTGTATGCATTATTATTTAACAAAACGAATAAATAATGGTTTTATTATACTGATATCAAAGATAAACCATTTACACTAGTAGAGGACACTTTGCCTGCTATTACTTTTGGATTACAGTATAGGAATATATTTGCAAACTATACATTTAAAACTAAAATTTTAGTATACCTTAAAGCACAGTAATAAGATGTCTATAGGTATTTTATTTATTATATCCAAAAGTATCATAGCGTCTGTTTAAAACGGTTTTCCATAATTTTTTTTTCTTCTGTCTGTTACAACAACATTAGTATTTTGTCTGGCGGTCATAGAATCTTATCATTTTGGCAACAGTTAAAATACAATATTTTACGTTTTATAAGCATTTTTTGATTAAGTGATTCGACACTTTTTTTATTATGATTTACTGCAAAAAAAGTTGGCTGGTTGAAGGGTTAGCTAGATTTTACACTTAAACTATAAACACACGAAATTATGCCCCTTATGACCATTTGCACCAACTATGGTTAAAATTTGAGGGTAGTTTAACAATACTGTAACTATAGGTTAAACTCTAATGATAATTTAATTATGGTATCGGTATTTGGTGAAAAATGAATAAATAAAATAAGGAACACAAGTACATTATTTATGTACATTTATTACACAGAAATTAAAGTAGTTAGATAATTCAACATAGCTTACGCACAATATAGCCAATGGACTTTAAAAAGGACCATTAACTTAAAATTAACAAATAGGGTAGACACAAAAATGTGATCAGCACAAGTTACTAAAAAAAAAAACAATATACATATACAACTAAACTACTTCAAAACCTGAACATTACAATTTATAATCATTAAAAAAAAACCGTTTTTAAGAACAGTGCAAGATTTTAACAATAAATAAAATAGTTGACTTCTTACTGAAAAAAATAAATGATAAATCTTTTACTGTTCCGATTGAATAAGAAAATTGGTCATGCTTACGATTTTAGAAGTTTGATCAACATTTTTAATTACAATTAGGAAAGTGCTTACCTTTTGCCTAATTTGAAAGTTTGGCATGTAAAACTGTACATGCGAGATCACAGCTTCTAAAAAATCAAAATAAATTAGTAGACATTTTTTTTATTATTTATTATGCCTAAATATAAACACAATTATTTTCTTGTTGAATTAACCCCAAAATAATTCAGAATTAAATTAAAGCAATAAAGTAAAATTTGTCAAAACAAATGAAAAAATTAACAAAACGTTTTTGATATCATATACCAACCTTTATTTTCAATTAATAAAATCTTTTACGCCATAGACTCACAAAGAGACACGACCGTTAATCTATGGTAACGTCGTGCACATGGACACGTGTTTGGGTGGAATTGTATCTTGGAATAGCTGAAATTGTTCAAAATAACCATTATCTAATAATGAGAATATAATGATTTAAAAATAAAATTTTAGTAGATCACTGATTATTGTCTGATAATTTTTTTTACAATTACTAAGTTTAAAAAATATCAAAATTTCCATCAGCGATCAACCAAAATATAATTAGGTTAAAAAAGATTTTAGCATGACCAACTTTCTATTTTTATTTAACTTACAATTATATTATAAAAGTATACTCTAATAAGCTTAATACATTAATAACAAAATTAAATTCTTACAATAATGAGAAATCATACTTGTATTTATATTGCTTGATGTTTTGAAAAAAACTTGTTTAAAAGTTAAATTATTCTACCAAAATAAATGATAACAAAAGTAACATATTAAATATTGTTAAATCGTAGGTGTGAGTAAAAACATTTAAAAAAATATATTTTACTAACAGTAAATAATGTGTTACAAATCGTAGATCTTCTTTGAATAGATTCAAAAATAAGTATAATAATGGTTAACATTTATTTTTCTAGCCCAAAATTTGAAATGAAGTTTAATATTTAATATTGTGCGATGTGTATAATGTTGTATATAATTATAGATTCTTTCAACTTAAATAATATATAATAGATACAGCATTTTTAATACAATTTTTTTTTTGTTCAACAAATAGTCTTCTAACTGTAGTAATGAACAACTCATTGAAAATGTTTATTATTTTTATTTGTACCAATCTGGTTATAAAGTAAATGACAAAGAAATGGAATTCAGTATATTTTTAAAAACTAAATAATAAAATAAAATAATTACAATTGCTTATGGTAAATTTAGCATGATATTTGCTGTGAAAAAGGATCCTCAAAGAATCTTGCTGAGCACTCATCACAAAATTCAACAGATATCCTTCTATTAGATACGTGTAAACAAACACCTACCTCGGTTGTTGAAATGTCGTCAGCAGCATTTAATGCCCATTCTGCACCATTGGCAACTCGTGCTAATGGAAGATCCACTTGATTTTCTCTTTCGTCTAATAAATTAAAACAACCATCAAAAAGACTACTGCTGGTACTGACAGGAATACGGTCAACTCTTGTTTCAGAGTTTAACTCGTTTAAAGTTTTTTCGACATTACTACCTTGTGGAATCACATTCCTCCATCGTACATTGCGCAATATATTACCAATCTGAGGACTGTTGGAAATTACGTTCCTCAAGTAAGCTATTTCTCGACGACTTCGCACTGACTTCTTTTCACGTTCATCTAGCTCTTTTTTCAAATCGTTTATCTCACGTTTTAGTTTGGCCATTTTATGTTCCAAACTTTTTACATACTGTTTCTGTTTAATGCGGTTCATGCGAGCTGCCACAGCATTTTTGCTGTTGCTGGTTGGTAGACGGCGAGGTCTACTCGAGCCCGGCCTCCTGTGATCAGAATCCGAATCGGATAATTCATACTTCTCTGAGGACGTTGATGAACTGGACGAACGGCCCATTTTCTCTTGTGCCTTAATATGTAATACGAACTGGACAGATTACAATCGTTCAAATATGTATGAATATTTCTTACTTACAGATGGTGTTACCTCAGAAGTTTACCAATCAAAATGCGTTAACCATTTCCGGTAAAGAAAAATAATAGCGCAAACTCTTCGACTTAAGGATTAAACGTAAATTAACGTTTGAACTCTGAATAGAATCAGTACCACATTTATACAAATTTCCTATCAGAAATCAGAATACAAAACAGATGAGTGCCTACACTACAGCTGCCTAAAGTGTCTACGGAATACGCATAATCGATAAAAAAAATGTACGGTAGTCGGTCAGGTTAGGTGACTACTTTCTACTCAAAATGAAATTCATCGAGCGGTAGCATTGCCGATTGCGTAAAACAAATTGACATATTTACCTTAAAAATTACTATTTAACGAAATATTTATGCATAACAAATATAAATAATTTAAGACATAAGTATAAATTATAAATTAAATAATATTATATATTATTATATTATAATTTATACTATAATATCTCTTGGCTCTTATTCGTTGAAATGGTTGAACAGGACATAACGTTGCACCCTGTTTCGTACAGTGCATACCACGGCTTGAAGGCATTAAACAGCTGGTAAAACGGTAACTTGAGTACAATAATATTATATTTCATAATTTGTATACTTACTTAAACAAAAAAGTAACATATCGTCGAATGGCGAATTGAACTTGGTGATATTATGATAACGTTTGGGAAAATTGATTAGTAACAATTAACATATTTTGCGTTTGACGCTAGTTGCTACTAAGTACTACTTTATTCATATTTATTATTTATGTATTTTCTGTGCTATCTTGTTGGCTGTTGCGATACGTTAATTTTGTTGGATAAATAGTTATAATTCAACAGTGAAACAGTGAAATACAATAAATCTGGTTGCGAATTGCAATTATGTCAACTTTTAGCAAAGGTAAGTTACTTAGATAAATGAATGAGTAGTAAATATATTACTTTATGTTAACAATAAAAATCGAAGTGTACCTACTTTGATGATGCTGTAATATTTTTTTAATTTGCGAAATTTATTATATTAGTTATTGAATATACAGAACACATTAGTGTACTTTGACGATGCTAGTATACATATTTAGTTTGTTAAATGTATTATATAAATATTTAGCATTATTGTAAAAAAATAATTTTGTTAAACTATATACACGTAAGAATTAATTGTAATACATACCAAAATATAACCAATTAAAAATATTCGTACATTTACATTATAATTTCATAATTACATTTATAAAAACTAAAGTAGGTACAGCCTAATATTTTGTTAAAAATAATTGTGTGTGTAATATCATTATTTCAATTAAAAAATAAGAATATTAATGTATTAATGAGAGTTAAAAACAGAAATAATAGATTTTAAAAAGTGCAATTTTTAAACATAATTTACATACAATGTGATGCTTCTAATCCATTAGTATTATATCACTTCATGTAATATTAAGTATATCAGTAGCCATATTTATCTGTTTTTATTTTTCAGAATGGTGGATCAAATTCTTTACAGATACCGGCATTCCCACATTTGCATCTTCAAAATATGCTACTATTTTTCATGAAAATAGAATACAGTCTAATATGTTAATGGATTTAGATAAAGATATACTTAAGGAGATGGGCATAACTGTTATTGGTGATATTATTGCCATATTGAAGCATGCAAAAGATGTTTACAGAGAGGTAAATCTATTAAACTTGATGTACTTTATTCAGCTTCTATGTATAATAATCATAACTTTGTAGGGTTTTTACGGCAATAATGGAAATGAAATTTCAGTATCAAAGAGTAATTCTTCTGTAAATAATGAAACTGTACCGCAAAAGAAAAAATCTGGTAGTTTTGATTATATTAATAGTAATTAAGATATTTTAAACTAAATTTGTGTGTTATTTTTTCCAGTTGCTAATAAGGTAAAAAAAGTAATCGTAAAGAAAGTAAAAGTTTCTAGTGAAAGTGAATATGAAGAAGATACACTACCCATAAAAACTGTCAAGAGAATAGTGCCTTCACAACCTCCAACTAAAATAATAGTTAGGAAAGTTGTATCGAAAACAAAATCTACTCCACTCAAAATCAAACCAGTGGTGTTAAATAGTGATGATGATGATTCTCCTTCACCGACTGAGTTAAAAACTAAGAGTTCCGTTTTTGATCGTCTAGGAGTTGGTGATGTTAGTAGTACAACACCTAATCTTGATAATGCATCAACTTCAGAATCGAGAAAGGTTTATTCTCTAATTTATACATTGTAGAGTACTATTTTTACATTTTAAATACTATTTTATTTGTATTATTCAGTCGTCTGTGTTTAATCGACTTGGAAAGAAACAAAACCATGAATTAACTACAGTGCCATCAAAGCGCTCTGCACCAGTTAGTGTATGTTATGGACCCAGTATTCCTTCAGAAGAGAGTAGTGCACTTACAAAGAGAATAAAGAATGAAGTTTCAAGTATGAAATGTTATTTTATACTTATGTTTTAATACAAATGTATCATTTAATTATAGTCAAGGTTAGGTTACTTGTTGAAGTGTACAATATGTCTCATCGACTATTTTATAGTGAAATAGTATGCATACCAATATACTAAGTACGGTACCATACCATTTAATTTGTGTATTTAAAAAATCTCAAGCTTACTAGTATAAAAGTGTAAAGCTTCAATGTATTGGCTTCAATATAAACAAACACTAAACACGGTGTCCTTAAATATTTCAAATTTAAATCCACTAATAAGAGAAATTTCGACACAACAACCACAGGTCATATGAAAATATTTTCATATAATCTGTGCAACAACCTTCAAAGTTGTTAAATTATAAAAACTATTCATAAAAGCCCAGACAATATTCTTAATTTTTTGTTTTCAACTTGCATATTATTGAAGTTTAATAATTATACAATCTTAAAAATGTTAAAAAGCAATCTGCTCTTCTATCTTTTTATTTATAAATAATAAAAAATAATATCCTTTTACTGATTTTTTTTATAGATTCTAGTTCATCAAAGTCTGTGTTTGAACGTATTGGAGCTTCGTGTGACAACTTAAAAAAAAGTCCAGGTCTTGTGTCAAAAAGTGGTAAGCAACATAATATATTAATTTAAATTTAAACCTTTAACAACTAATATTTCATTTTAATTTATTTTTCTTTATGTTTTAGCTCTTTTAAGAAATGCTAACACAACTGCAACTGGAAGGCCAATACACGTCAATCCAAAAGTATGACCCTTTTTCTTTTTTAGTGGTGTATATACATTTATGGAGAGTTTATTTTAGACATAATTGATTGAATGATTTACAACTGAAGTTAGAGTACTGACCAAATTTTAAACTGCTTAGTTATCTAAATAATAAAATATTACAAACCTCAATAGTAATCATACTGAAACTATTCAACAAAGTTTATATTATGTCACTTCAATTTTGTATGTAATAATTAATTTTTTTAAATACAGGTGTTGAATGTAAACAAATTGAGCCAGTTAAATCGTTCACATTTCAGAAGTTGTGATTAAGACTCATACTTTATTTTAAACCGTTCTTTTAAGTTAATTACTTTTTCTACTATGTGAACAATTTTTTTAATACAACCTCAAAACCAGAATTTAAGTTTTATTTTGTTTATACTTGTCAAGTATATCTATGTCTGTGTATTTCTTTTTGAACTGACATTAAATAACAAGTTTTTAATTTTTAAGGTCTTGCCCTATTATTACTAATGTTGCTAAAAATATTATTTGAATAAAAATTAACCTAACATTTATTTTCAAGAAAAAACTAATAAAAATATGTACTATTTATAAAATATGCTTTAATAACATTATTTGTATTACTGTTTTTACTATTATTTTTTATATATTAATAAAATCGAAATTAATAATTGTAACAAATATGAAATTAAATTAAACAAATAGGTCAAAATGTAATTAATTAATTTTTTTCAATAACAAATTAAATATTCATATAATGTAGGAATTAAATAAGACTTTGCATGTCCAATTAATTGTGATAAGCTAAGGTAGAGAGATAAATGTTAATTGTGATTTTGTATGAGCGAATATTTTAGAGTAATATAGACAAGATTTTAAGATATTTACTTAATGTGTATAATACTATTTTTTTGTAACCATAATTTTTAATTTAAATAACAATAATTATGTGTTTAATCAATGGTGCAATATCTAAATGGTAAATATCTACAGACGTGGTGCAAACAATCAAAAATTATAATCTTTTATCAGCTTTTAGCTACTATTACTGCTATTAATATAGGTACATAATTATTATATTATCGTTATTAATATTAATAGACCCATGATATAACTAACAGTTAGTTATATTATATTATGACTAGACCATTAGGCATAGTAGACTTATAAGAAATGGACTGATAGTAGAGAGAATGGTCCGAGGATCGATATCGTTAAAATGAGATAGAGCGATTAGTTAGTGCACGGTTTAAAAATTATTGTATATGTTGCGGCTCGTGACCGATAATCAAATTTTGAGACGACAGTTTTTTTTCCCTTTAACCTTTAACTTGTTACTTTACTTTTGTATACGTATAATTTTTTTTATTGGGTAAAAGAAAATGTTTGGTTTGTAATGCAGTATTTAATTGTAACATTGGAAGAAAATTCTACTCATCAGTACTTTTTTTATGATGTCTTATTATAAATTTATTGTATGTTATACATATTTTTACACAAATATTTATGGAGTCGTCTTCAGATTCCCCAAAAATGAAAATATATAAAGAGAAAACAAAGAAATGCTGTGCAATTCATTAAACAATAAGTTATACTTCTTGCAGTGGTATCACTGCTACGACAATAGTCGTGCTCGCACATAGATAATAATGGCAAAATATTAAATTACAATCTGTGATAACATTTGAATCGCTTCATGCAAAAAAAGCCTTAGTCCTTAACTATTAACTTTTGGAAAAATCAAATAACCTTTGATATGTTTCAAAATGCATTAACATATGAAGGCTTTAGATATTAAACAGTAAAATTACATTCTGTAAAACAATATTATTATTATCAAATGCAGTCCAGATTATTAGCATTTAAGTATAGTAAACTTAGACCCTTTTTACAAAAGTCAATAATTTTCTTTGTAATTCCTGGTAATGGGACTAAATTTTTTTTTAACATGAATCGATGTGTCAAAGTGATAACGCATCTGTAATAATCACGTTTTTGATAAAATGGTGACTTAGGCCCACAAATATACATATAATAAACGAGATCGCTAACTGTACATGTCACCAATAGAGATAATTGAAGAAGCCACTTTCCACCTACTGGTGGGAAATAGAACCTTATCGCATGAAAATATGCTTATAACTTATAACAATATGAGAAGTTCAGTTGATACCGCAGAATCACAAATATATATTATTTTATACACACACAAATCGCCCAGAATGACAGACCGGCGGCTTCAATTCTTATCGCTAGTTAGCAACACTGGACTGATTACATGGAACGCGCATAATGCATTATGCTCAGTAGTTAGCAATCTAGTTTATTATATCTATGTACTACCTACTTTAAGGTCTATGGTGATAATACGCATACATTCCATATCAAAGAGGTTCAAGGTTTTTGGTCAGATACCACGCAGATGCAATATTGCGGAAAATATAAAACATAATATTTGATTTAATGATCAAATATAACGGCCTACCGTTTATGTACATTTAAATTATCCTAAAATCTCAGTTAACACAATTTCAGAAATTTTTGTACGGAATAAATGTTTTCGATATATTTTATTTACATATATTCATTTGTGCTATTAAGCATATTTTTTCTTGTTGTTTTTATTTTTTTGTAACTGTTAATAGAACTTAAGACATTGTGTCATTCAATAATGACTTTTTTTTGCTACAAAATGCATTAACCAACTTTTTAATCATACAACAATAAATAATTATATTTCATTGGTAACACTATATTACAACAATAAATAATAAACAGGTAAAATAAATTAACTACCTATATTAATACTAATTATTAAAAAGCCACAACATTACTATCAAATTTCATAAAATTAGATACTTATTTAAGGTTTAAACTTAGGTTCAACAAGGTCTTTATAAATGTTATAAAATAAACCTAAACCAATGATTCCAACTGCTGAACCTTGGGCTGCTAACCGTAGTTGAATAAGATATAACGATATAGGTCCTTTACGATTTTTAAATTTGTATAGTCCATAAGCTGCTATACACCCAAAGGCTGCCATTCCTAAAAATATTATAGACAATGTTAATACGTATTATGATAACTTATTTTAAAAACATAAAATTATTAAAAAATATTATGGAATAATTTAATATAAATAAACGTGTTATTATATTAAGCACAATTTTTTTCTTTTTACAAAAAAGTAATGATACACTTTTAGAGTTCATAAATGGATACACTTCGATAATAATAGTAAGTCAACCATTTTGTAAAATGAAACTTTTTAATAAAAATATAATATTTAAATTTAAACAACTTTTGTTGACATAAAAGTTACATGCACCTCACAAAAAATAAAATAGAGGTTTTAAAAAATTAATCTAGAGCATTGTATCAATTAAAACTTATTTAAATATTAATTTTTTTTAATCTATTTAATTTATGTTGTTACCAATAGGGAACATAGGCATTTGATTAGTTTTTTTGGAGAATCTGTTAGCGAATGAGTCTTCTTCTTCCATGACTAGAAACAACAATCAAGTTATCTGGAATTAAACAAACATGCTTTAAGGCACAATAGTTTTCACTTATTTTAGATTAATAACGGTATTTTAATTTTATGATTTAAATTAATAATCTAAAATTACTTTTAATAATTCTTTAAACTATAAAATTTACAATTAATTTACTATACCCAAATAATACTAATAATAATAAAACTAAGATGATTTTCATTTGTTATTCATACTGCTGTAGTAAGGTACACAAAAATGCGGAATAGTATATCAACTCTGACCATGATTGCAAACAACTCTTAGAGAATTACTCTATGAAACAACTACAACAGAGCTTAATGGTATCTATATTGACGCCTAAACAACGGATAAATCAAAAATAGATAAATGCAGCCAGAGCCCCCCAACATACTTTATTTTATAAATTTTACTTGCAATATCATAGTAACAGTCTAAAGTGCAGTGACTCGAAACATCATCTTGCTCCCTATAACATAAGTACCTATAATATAGTGTTATTTATAAAAGTAATCTATTCTGTGGAAGTTTCCGATACTTACAGCTATGCCACTGTTTACTATAATATAATTATAAATTATGCAGTTAATGACTAACAATAAGTAATATTTAATAGCATTGAATTAATAGTTTTAAAATATATAATATATTATTAGTCCAGCGAATGATTGACAACCCTTCCCATTAGCGAATTTGACTAGAAACTATCTTACGATGGGAGCGCTTGGTCTTCAAGTTTAAACATGTTGACAATATTATTATACCTACATATGTATTAAGTATCAAACATTAAAAAAATAAAAACTTTAAAAAATTGAGATGGACATAATCTTAGATATTTTGTTATTAAAGAATATAATTGTAGGATGTGTCAATTTTTTAATTAGTAATCCTATGATAACTTTATATAAAATAATGAACTATAAACTACTTAAATTTGACCTTGTGATGTAGCTAAATAAGCAACATAACAATTAATTACAATTTTTGAAAACATGACCAGTAAAAAATTAAAAAATATTAAAACTATCATCCTATTTTAAAATTAGCTACATATTATTAAAAATCACTTATGAAACGAATTAAAATTAAGACAGCAACTAAATTTAATAGACTACCATTATTTTTACAATATTACTATTAATTTGTTTAATGCAACTTACCTTAGCTGAACTTAAGTCAATATATTGGTAACTTTACAACAGGAAATATAGTTTTTAATTTATACAATATACTAGGCCATGATCATGATCTTGAATCTATATAGTATTTAGACAATCCGACAATAACTGTGACTTCATATTGCGCAAACTGCAAAATTTGCAAATCTTTTCTTTGATAAATGATAATAAAAATCATTATCTAATTTCACACACACGCTAGCCAACACAAGAGGAAGAATATTTATACACGGCACTTGAAGTGATAAAATTTGATAATTTTACAAAACTATAGGTAACTGCAAAGTTAATCTATTAACCTTGAGGTAACCGGACGTGTTGTCAGCATAGACCTATAAAGATCTTTATAGGTCTATGGTTGTCAGCACAGAATAGATAAAAGCAGAAGGGTCACTTTCAACGTAAATAAATAGATGACAGCCATTTTGTCGTAACATTATAGTGGTGTAAGAAGATGGCCGCCGCGTTTTTGTGTGATAAGTATCTTCCTTGTATTAATTTTTATCAGTGTCCGATGCCTGCAGTATCCAGTGACAAGGTGGATTTGAATTAATAACACACAGTGCTGACATACCTGTGTGTTTTCTGATAGATAACCAGTGATTCATCAATCATGATAATAATTATTAATTTAGTATTTACCATTTAGCAATAACTAATGTAGTGGAAACTGGAAAGTCCCTACCATTGCAATATTGCTATGAAAACTGTAGAGATGTTAGCAAATAATAATTCAATCATAACTAGATTATTTGTGCATTAAAACAGGATTTACAAGACTTACAAGACTAGGTTTTTATTATTAAACTGTTTTTATAAGATCATATTGTACAAGTTAAATCATAGTGTGAAGTAATTTGATTAGTTTGAATTTTAAGAAGTTTATGAATATATACAAGTAAATTGCTATCAGTCAGTATGTCTGTAGAAAAGGAAGAATGTGAACTAGAACAAATAGTCATACCAGATGAAGAATGCAGATCACAGGAAAATCTACATACTCCACCCATGACACCCAAACCACCACCCAGGACTCATTCTCAATCTGATGGAAAAACTAAAACTAGTAGCTTAAGCAATAAGGTTCGTTGTTGTAAACAATGTTTTCCACGTTTAGTACTTAAATATTTTGTTTTATTTTATTTAGTCAATATCTATTGACAGCCAAAAAAATGATGGTCAGAGATCTACTGCCAAATTATCTAGTACTTCATCTTTACTACAAGACAAAGCACAACCTCAAATTATTAGTATGACATATAATATTATGTAATATTTTTAATACCTTAAGACTGTACAAAACATTAATTTATTTGAGTTTTTTTTTTTAGAAGACTCGATTGGCACTACTAGGTTAATGTGTGTTAATGAAAGATTAGGACGTAGTTCATTACACGATTATAAACCTCCTCGACCACCTCCTCCAAACTTTAACAAACTACAGAATAAAAAAGGTTTGTTTTCTCAGTTTTCAAAGACTAAATTAATTTGTTATAGTTTTAATATAGTTATTAGTTATAAGTAATAAGTTTGTTATAGTTTAATATTATATTGAATTTCAAGGATTAAAAATCTCTTAGAATTGCATGCTTGTTTATAATTACTAAACATAAATACACAATAAATATAGGAATATTGCCCTGCTAGCAAAGAAGACAGTATAATATACCAAAAATCTAAAAATATTACATTATATACAGACATTTTCAGAATTTAAAGGCATTTTTGATGCCCTTCGAAAAAATTACCGTATCTACCTTAATTTGTAGATTCTTTGTATATTATGTGGTTTAGTATGGTAACAAATTAGACAGCAATTTTTTTCTCGTAACTATCAACATGGCATATTATGCCTTTTTTACTAGCAGGGCAGAATACTCAAAAGTCAGACTATATTAATTACATGTTTTTAATGATACTAAAATTAATACAATTTTGGACAGGCCTAACATGTTTTTTTGTTTTTTAATGTTCTTACTTATATTTATTAGTTTTATGTAAAATTGCAATATTTCTTCTATTAATCAAAAGGATTTGAATAAGTTCAGTGTACTATTTAAGCTAAATTAGTTGAAAACTCTGTTATATGTGTTGCTATTTCTTGTGGTTTTGTTACAAATTAATTTCTAAAACAGAACGCTTGTGTTCAAAAACGCTTAAAGTAATGATTTAGTCTAGTAAAGTACACAATTGATGTACATTTTAAAAAAGAACTGATAAATGCCAATAAAAATGTGTTTAGTAACAGAACTAGTACAAAGAGAAGCTAATGTATGTCACAAGCTATATGGCGCAAGAATATTGTTTTTTATGTAGTAGTAGAATTGTTTAATAGGAGCTATTTTATCCTATTAAAAATATACCTTTCAATATTAAAAGTTTTATGTTTTAATTTACAGCTTAACTGTGTATTTGCTTTTAATCAATTATTATTTTAAGCTTGTTTATTTTTGTGTGTTTATTTGTTTTGTTTTTTTATATTTTGTGTGTGGTTGCTTTTTTGGTTGCATCCCATTACATTTAAAAACCTGTAGTATCCTCTGAACAAGCTATGGATAGAAGTTGCCTACATCATTGTTTTTTATCAGATGTGACAGACGTGAGACAAATGGAACAAGCTTTGCAACAACTACTAGAAGATTTTCATTCTGGAAAATTGCGTGCGTTTGGTAAGTATATTAAAAAGTATATATCATTGTTAAATAATACTTCTTCAGTTTCAGTTTGAAGCTAATAATAATAATGAATTTAATAAAGTTAAACAAAACTATTTAACTACTATGATTAAAGATCAATGGTTTCTTGTTTTTTTGAAAAACTATTTTAGAAAAATTACTTGTTACGTAAGGAGGTTAGATGTGGGTAAAACAAAATATATACAGAATATAATATACTTTTAACATCATTCCACGCTGCACCAATGTTATATTTAAACTTACAAAACTGTTAAAAAATAGGGTAAAATTAGATATATTCACTACCAACATAACTCTATTAAAAAAAAAAAAATAATAATAATCTAATAGGTAATACAAATAAAGTTAAAACTGAGCTAACATAATCGAAACTAATCAAATTCTATAATTTGGACAGCAATTTTCAACACTGATACTTAATGGCATAATATTGCTTTTTAAATTATTAGTCATTGTATTCTTTTTGTTATAGGTAAAGACTGTAGTATGGAACAAATGACAGCTATTCGTGAGCAACAAGAACATCTAGCTTGGCTACATTTTGAGCTCGGTGTTAGACAAGACGTTTCAACACCACTTAGTGAACAAGGCATTACAAAAGGATCAGAGAACATGCACTCTTTAATGGCCAGTTTGGAGCAACTTTCTTTATCTATTGAAAAACTACATTCCTTTAGCAATTCAACATCTGAATAAAACATTCTATTTAGTTGTTTTTTTGGTAGAGGGAATTATGACTTACGGCATAGGAAATAAGAATATTTTAATGCTCATCAAATTATTCCATGAACAATTAAACCATTAATAACTTATGTCTGTGTATATATGTATTTGATGTTTGTTAAATAAGTTGTTATAAATATAAACAAGTGAATTTTACAGTAGTATATAAAACTTATTTGAACAGTGACTGTAATGCTTCATATGGTGATAGCATTCTAGTAGATCCAACGCTGACACGAATTCCACAATTTTTAGTTGCTTCATAAATTGAATGAACTTCTTGTCCACTTATGCCCCCAAGCAAAAATACAATCAAATGATCACAATCCAAAGGATGCTTATTGGTCGTATTGATAATTTTACTGTTTTAATATTAAACAAAATTTTCAAATTTAATTTAGAAGAAAAACGGCTAAAATAAAATGTATTAATGTATTATTATTTAGGTAATAGGTACTTGCTTAAAACTCATTTTTAATAGGTCAGTAATTCCATCCGACTTTATTTTTAAAACTGGTAGATTTGGCCGCATCGAACTACAAACATCGTTCATCAGCTGTTTTACAAATGAACTATAAACTGCGGGCACATAAGGATTTTCTTTGATGTATAGTTTTCTATAAATTTTAATAAACTGTCAGTATAATATATTATATTGTAAATATTTAACAAAATATATTATTGATAATAACTACAACCAAATTAATATTTTATTTTACTTCTTTCCTTTCAAATTTTTACACAGTAAATAAGATTTATGTAAAAAGAATAGATTATCAACATGTGGCAATTATAAATAAAGTATCTAGGTATTTGCTAAAATTCAGTATTAAATTTAAATACAAAATAAATAATATTTGTACTTGTTCTATCTTAATTAAATTGAATTATTAATCGAGAAAGAGTAATGCGCAAGACTAGTTCAAATTTAAGTATTAATTACATAAATTTAATAAAATTGTTTAAATATTTTTATAGCAAGCTGCAAGTCTTAAAATATGCAAGGAGTCTCCATATAATAGCATCCTACATAAAGAAACATGGTTGCTAAGTGTTATCTATAACGGCTATGCAGACTTATCAGTAAGATAAATTTGACTGTTAATGAATAATGATTAATATTCGTACTCTTAAGTCTTAACTGTCTAGTATCTTAAGAGTTTTAACTTATATAATTATTTAATTTAGTCGTAATAAAATGACACTACGAAACAAAATTAAATAATACCTAATCAAATGAAATTAAAAACATTCATAATAGTTCAACGTTATTAAGTACAAATAACTTATATTATTTTTATTATTGTGTCAAAATAACAATTTACTTTTATATTTAGAATAAATGAAAATATTACATTTAATATCTAATAGGTAAATTTGAATACTTAAAAATAATGTTTCCTACCAGTACTCAAAAAAAAAATTGGATATTCAAGGATGAGTTGGAACTCAATGCTTTACGCGAAGAAGCTAATAAAAGATACATTATAAATTATGGGTCACACATGAGTCCAGATGAACGCAGCAACTATTTCTTGAATGCTAATGAAGAGCACATCATACAAAAATGTCACGAATGCATGTTACGAGATTTCTGTCATAGATTTCAACCTCCAATGCCAAAGTATGTATTTGCCACAGCCCTTAATTACTTAAAACGTTTTTATTTATACAATTCTGTCATGGATTATCATCCTAAAGAAATAATGGTCACATGTTTATTTTTGGCTTGTAAAGTGGATGAATTTAATGTATCACTAGCTCAGTTTGTAGCTAATATCAAAGGTAATCAGTCAAGGGCCACAACTGTTATACTGAATAACGAATTATTCCTTATGGAACAAATCAAATATAACCTCAAAGTACACCATCCGTTTAAAGCAATTGAAGGATTCCTTTTGGACATAAAAACAAGAACACGCATGAACGATCCTGAACGTATGCGACCACACATTGATAGTTTCATTGATAAACTATTGTTTACAGATGCATGCTTGTTATTTGCGCCTTCGCAATTAGCATTAGCTGCTATATTACATTCTGCTAGTCAAATCAAAGAAAATTTAGATTCATATGTAACAGACATGCTATTAGGTCCTACTGGATCTGATCATTTAAAAGATTTGATCGAGGTCGTGAGAAGAATTAGGATATTGCATGTTCGTGTTGCTGATGATCACACTAAAGAGATGTCACGTGTTAGCAAAAAATTAGACAGATGTCGTAATCAAGAAAATAACCCGTTCAGTGAAGAGTATAAAGATAGGATACAAGAAGCTTTAAATAACTCTATGTAACTACAATTATAAGTTATTATTTAATTAATATTATATCTTACTTAAATATATGTTTTTAATTTTCTGAATTATGAAATACATTTTTTTTAGTAAAAATTGAAAATATAATAAATAAACACATAAATTATGTGAAATAAAATCTCTTGATATTATTATATAATTTTATTAATAATTTATTTTTATTTACCTACTGAGTATAAGTCACAGAATGTCTTGTGTTTATGGGGATTGAAAGCGGACAGATTTTTAAAGGTGCACAAACACAAAAAATATGTTTTTTTTTAATTTAAAAGAATGATAAATTCTAAGAAAAATCATACAGGTTAATGTTCCTACTCACAATATTAAATGAGTTACGAGTCATTGAAAAAAGCGCTTGATGCCGATGGGCCGGGCTCGTTGTAATTGCCTATCTTATACATGTAAAAGTTGTTCGTTTCACACAATAACTTACCTACCTTCAAAGTATTTTATGAATTTTTGTTGTACGTATATAATATTATTATGCACTGAAAACGTTAGTGAAACTAGAATTTTTTATAGGCCATATTTAAGAAAAAAATGGGTTTTAATAAATTTCGACCATGTCAATTTAGTAACAGATTAATTTGCATAAGCTTCAAAGTATTATTTTTAACTTGACTAAATTTTTTCAATGATTAAACGCCATTTTGGTAGTATTTTAAACCTAAAAATTTGTCAAAATTACGCATACGCCGGATTGTCAGATTTAATTTCTGGAAAGAGATTCAAGTTTTTTTTACTATTTTACTAGATGTAGGTAACAGATTTTCATTTAAAAAATTCAGTTACTTTTAATAAAATAATTTGATTTTGAAAAATCTTTAATATTAAAAAACATTTTTTACACAAAAATTCAAAAATCAGTGTCCTACATAACTTAATAAAGTAGCCAAAGAAGAACTCGTATATCTACACAGATTAAATAGGACTACCCTAAGTAGTCAAAATTTTGTCAAGCGTTTTGGTCTAAAACTTCAAAAAAACCGACGAAGGTTGGACGGTTATTAAAGTATAATCAATAATATACTTTTAATTATGATTGATTATACATATCAAAACATATTTTTTTTAAAAACTATTTAATAATTAATATTACCTATAATCAGTAAATGTTTGTCTTGATAATTTAACCTGCTTTATATTGAAAAATATTTTTTCTGCTGCTTGTTGACATATCAAAGGTGTGTAAACTTGACCTAATACAAATTAGAAACTATTATTGACATTATATTTATTAAAAATATGCTACATCATAAAAATAGGTAACATTAATTGATAAGATTATTGTATAAAAACATTTTTACTATTATGAGAACATTTATAATAAAATATTTGTGTACTTACCAATTAAGTCTTTAACTATGTATTCTGGTAAAGATTCTATATCTTCGTATAGAGCCTCACCAAGCGTATTTTCTAACTGTAACTGTTGTTCTTCAGTCATTTCATAATCATCATTAACGACTGAATACAATTGAACTAATATACATAAAATAATTTCTAATGAAAGTTTTCTATCTTTTCTCGTTTTGATTAACTGAGTCACCTATGACAAAAGCCATATAATAATAATAATAAAATAAATAACATTTTATTGATTTTTTTTTTTTTGAGAATTATTTAACCTGTAATAATATATCAGTGTCATTTTCCATTGCTATATTTTGAAGTAACAGTTTGCCAATGTTTTGAGCAAGTTCAATTTTGCTAAGATTTTGCGATTTCAAAGCAGCACAAATACATAGTACTTGCTGAAAATAAAATACACATCATATATATGTATATAAAATTGAGCAGAAATTTTATTGATTGCATATTTGTTTACTTGTTTAAAATCAATATTTTCTTTGGAATCAAATTTTTCATCAGTTAACAAACTTTCTAATAATTGTGGTGTAACTCTAGATACTACTTTTCTAACAGACCCTGAAATTTTTTCTGTTAGAGTACTACGTATGGTAGCCAATATTTCTTTTTCACTTTTCAATAATAACCATTCAACTACAGGTGTCGGTTTCAACGTAGGAGCCAAACACATTGGTACTTGTAATTGATCATTAGCTGCTTTAAACCTTTAAACAAGTACAAAAATGAATTCAAAGTTGACTGTTTATTTATACAACTAGTATTGTTTATAATAGTTACAAACTATTAATATATATTATTAATCTAGTGACGTGTGGAATCATACATTTATAAATATAAATATATTTAATCATAAAAAAAAAAATATTATTTGTAATTTTTTAAGATGATTTCATATTATATTGTATAGAATACAGTATACTTAAAAAAAAAGGTTTTAATGAAAAACTTCCAAAGATGTCAAAAGCTAAAAATTTAGATCTATGCCATACCCACACAACACTAGTATAGCTTTAAAAACTTATCACTAATCAATACTTTTCATTATGTAACAATGGCTCATTATTAACAGCAATATCTGAACAAGTTCCCGAAAATCTATTTACTAGCATATTCAATTTATCTAATGGACAACTAGATGAAAAATCAGTTACTGCATACATATCAACTATTCTGTCTATAAGTATGATATTCATACGACTGGACTCAGTATTTGGAACCTAGAAAACAAAAGTGTGTGTTTAGTTAAATAATATAATTATGTTTAAATAACTTATTGTACTAAGAATTACAGATTGAACTTTGTAAATATATTGAGATACAGCATCACTTAAGGATCCAACAGAATAGACTTCATGTTTAACGTTCAAATGATTAAATATATTATTGAATGTTACTGCAATTTTCGGTACATAAAAACCATAATCATTCTAAAAATAAAATATTTGGTAAATAGAAATATTAAAAATAGTTTTTCGAGACCAATTATATGTTAAAGTAAATAGTTCACACCTCAATTAGTAAGGGAATGTCTTGTAGATGAGGTACTAAAAACAATAATGGTGACAAACAAGTTATTGATATTGGTATGTTCATAACATCTACTGTTCCATCCTAAAATAATACAGAATATTAATTATAAATTATACTCATAAGGATTTATTTTATCGTAATGATTATTTAGCAAATTAAGTACATGGTTTACTTTATATGTATATAAGTTGATTCTTGAAATTACCCTTTGTAAAAAATGCTATGTTTTACACATTTTATTATAATATTGTTTTTTCTAAATATTTAGATCTAATAAAGATTTTATATACAAGGTTTTAATGAAAAGGAAGTTTAAAAACTACGCCTAATATGAAAGTTTTTAATTTCATTAGATTCCTATGGGATACCAGTCTTATCACAATTATAACTTAACAATTATGAACTTTTCTATAGCTTAGCCTATAATTTTAGTAAATACTTAAAAGCTATACTTAATTCTTATGTGTAACTGTTGAGAATACTCATTATTAACTTGATGAATAAATTAAAATTTTTTTTTTAGGATAATAGTTATCACGTATATAAAAGTTAGAACATACATCATATTTGGCAGTTATTATTTTGCAAAGTTCATTTTCAAGATTTTCAATTCCAAACGACTCAAAACCACATCCAGCAATAAAGCGACAATACTTGAAGTTACTATTATTTAATACATCCTGAGCAACAGTTAAAACTGTCTCATCTACAGGTTTTCCAACAATTAATAAGCACCTTCGATCTTTCGGGTTTCCACTCTAAACATAAAAAAGGAAAACTAGTGGATCACATAAATTATTTCTTCATAATAAGAGCGAGATACCTCGAAAGAGGATAAGGCTTTAATGCTCTTTGCCCCAGCTTTATATAGAAGGACACAGCCGCCATGCCAATGTAAAGACTCTGCTGCATATTCATCTAAAAATACAGCAGCTTCTCTAGCGTATTTGCAAACTTCATTCCACGACTGATCGGCCATCACCGACAAGGGATTATCAACACTATAAGGCATACTAGTATTGTTAATTAAACAATAGTGGCGCAGAAAATGTATTAATAATTTACTAATTCATATAAAATAATAAAGAATAACAATGGCAGCACGATAAAAATGCACTATTTTAATAATAAATAATATTTATAATTCTCAATAGGTATAAACATTTATTAATTTTAATTGAACATTTAAACACAACATTAATGCAGTATTGTGGAACTGTAAATATGTAAATGAATATTGTGATTTGTGTAATTACACAACAGTCAACGACCAACGTTCTGACATTTAGTACGTTTTAACTTTTATTTACTATCATTTTTGGAAGAACTACCCCCAACTCCTATTTGAATCGTATCAGTTATTCAAGCCTGAGGATATTATCAAATACTGTAATACCTTGTCAGTAATTATCACGGCTTTATCTGCAGCCATGGGGAAAAAGTGTACAATGGAAAAAATTGTCTTTGGTAACGTAGGCGACTTGGGAAAAGTGGTGCTATCCGGCCATAGTGGGCCATATGGAGCCATAGTGGGAGTACGACCAAACCTCGCCGGACAAAACTCCACCCGGCAAAAACCCGAATGTCAGTGATACCAACTTTGAAAATATGTGTATACAATACACGATTATTAACGGTGTTTGCTGTGTGGCCAGCATCACATATTAAGTAATTATTTCGCATTTTGTTTTATTCGTTTTTATTCATTAATGAGCCAACGAGGCTGTTTTTAAAAATGATTTCACAGTTGTAATGTAATAGACAATTACTTCATACGTAGTAATTTATTGTGCGAGAAGCAGGGGCGAAACAAGATGAGGCCTAAACATACCTGTGTCGGCCAAATGGACTTTTTAAAAATTACAGTCGGCCAAATAAATTGACATTGAAAAAATCAATTGACCGACAACATAATATTATTACTGTACAACATTAATTATTTAGTGTAAAATTATATTTTTCATTTTGAATCTAAATTATAAAAATAAGTTTTGTCATTCATACATGTATAGCCACAGAACATTTCCTAAAAATAAAAACGTAAAAGCCATGGTCGTATTTAGGCAGGGGGCACATTCCCAGGGTGGCAATGACTTAGGGCGGCAAAATATTTAAACAAAATTAATTTAAAATTGTAATGGAAAATAATAATTAACGAAATATACGCGGATAGACTAATTGCACTGGCAATTTTAAATATTTAATCACAACTAATTTTTAATTATACAGCATACAGACGTAGACGAAGGTCTAATTTTCTTTACACTACCATCGTTTGTATGATGTACCTTACTATTTTTTCGAAAGCCGTCAACAATTTCAAACTCCAATTTAAAATTGAAAAAAGATAAAATGTTTTGAAAGACGCATCTGGGTTATCGAGCAAACGAATGTTGTAGGAATGGACTTTCGGTTATGGTTTTTTAATAATTCTACCTTTTTTTGTTATAACATCTAAATATAACCACGATACGGAGTGTATGTTCTTTATGGTATACAGAACGTGGACAGGACTCAAACATATTTCGTGTGTATTTAAATAAATGTTAAATATTGTTTTAGGTAGGGCATAATTTTGTTGAGCTAACGAAATTGTTTAGTTGTAGAAATTAAATTTTAAATAATAACGCTTAAATATAAAATTTAAGCGTTATTATCTGAATAATCGATATAGTATCACTTTGGTGTCTGAAAATACTAAAATTTGTGCATGGGCATGTTAATCATTGGATTTCCTATGTTAGTATTCAAATTAAATAAATTGTAATAGAATATAATAGCTAAAATTCATAACGATAAGTATTTTATTATTTGACACACATATACATTTTTCAGTAAAACGTTAATTTTGGTGCACGAAAAAAAGTATACATTTTTAACATTAGTGAAAAAATTTGTCTTCACTAGAAACATACATAACGTTCAACAAAATAACTTATTAAAAAATTAAAAAAAAAATTTTTAGTTACTTTAAGAATAATTGAAAATTGACCTTTTAATTACGAATTTTTGTTAATTACGTAATCAATTTTTAACTTAGGATTTTGAAACTTAACAGTTGTACTCAACGCTAAAAATACTACAAATAAGATGTGTTAATAATGATTTTTTACCAAAATTTTATAACTTTAGTCATATTTTGTTTTTTTTTTGATAATTTTCGGTCAAATTATTTAAAACGCGTTGAGCGACTGGTAAAGAATTTTTTTTTAATCTCAAATTTTCACCAAGTCTCTTTTTTTTATGTATAGAACAACTTTAAATGTTAGCTCATTAACATTTCGAAGATCGATTTTTTTACGCCACCCTAATAGGTATATAACATTTATTTACTAACATTTAATTTTATAAATTTTACAAAAAGAAATTAAGACGATCCTAGAAAATTATACTATTATAAGATCCGAGTCTTAAACTACACTAAAATATTATTTTCTATTTTGCATCAACTTATATTAAATTATAAAAGCTGCATGGACATAATTATAGAGATCGGAGTGTATCTATATATGTATAAACATATATCTTAAAATTATCCGCAATTGTTATGAAATAAATTGTATATTATTAATATAATAAAGCATGGGAAGTTGGTCATTGATGTGTTGATGGTAGAGAAACGGTAGCTTGAGGGTGGAAAGCTAGTGACGAGCGCAGAGGGTGTTTTTTTTTTGTAGGCGTGTCCTCAACAGGTGGAATAGTTGGGCTTTAAGAGCTTTCCCACAGACAAACTGAAGCCAGTCGTCAAAATCAAACTGACCGGAGCTTTTGTGTGCACGAATATACACTCGAAACTGATTTGAAAAATACGTGAGTACATTTTGGAATACTAGACTTCAGTTAAACGAGTTATAATAGAATTAATAATGTTAGTTAATAAATGTTTGCTATTACCCCGAATACGTTATCTAAGCAAATTTAACATGAGTTTTTTTTTAAATTCTATTTTTTACAAGATAAATTTACAAAACCCGTTTAAAAAATTAATTACTATTATTAAAAACGAAAATGGCATTAAAGGTATAACCGTATAAAACTAAACATCATAATGAATATACAGAATAAATAATACCTAATCGTTTTCTTCTTGATGAAAATTGAACACAACTGTCTGTATTATTGTGAATCTCTGTGATATTGTACATTTAATTTTTTTTTTATGGCCTTTATTAGGTAAATATGAATACATGATGGCTCGACAATTACATAAATATTACTCATACAATTAACCTTAGTTACCTAAGTTCTTTACAATGAGGTAAATATCATATTAAAAAAATATATCTTAAACTATAAAAGTATAAGGACAGATAAATCGTATTATTAAGTGTAGAAAATAAAAAATGGACAAATAAAAAAGCTATATAGTGCAGCTAGCGCTCAAAATAAATGATATAGTTATTAGTTGCATTAATTATAGGAACAAGACTAGAATTAAAAATAAGTATGGGGTTAGGGTTAGAGAGGCCATGCAAAGCTAGGAAATGAATAAGGGAGATCTCCTTGGAGTTAAGGGAAGGACAATCCAGTAAGAAGTGAGAAAGTATACTTAGTTGTTTTATACTTATGGTGTCAACTTATGAACTAGATAAATAATTATAGCTAATTTTAATTTTACGAGTTGTAACAGTAAAAAAACAAATAAAATATAAGCACCCCTTATGCGAGCCATTAGTACGTTTAAGTCCGTATAGTACGATTTTAATTTAAATACATCATTAAATTAGTGATGAACTCTTCTATCATAAACATTGTTTTATTAATATAACGTTAATGACATTATAAGGCCGATAAGTTGAACTATACATACGTTTTAAGTATGGTTAATGCTTAATTTTGTTTTAAAATTTTAATATTTTATTTTTAAAATATTTCAAATTTTTAATATTTTAATATTTTTTTTTATAATTATTAAAACTGTAGATTTTAAACTTTGATGTGCACATTTTCGCCGCCACCGACACGGCCCTGACCTCATGATCATGCACTCTCTCTTGACAATTTACTACACTAAACTTCTCCAGGTCATGTTTCCCCCGTCCATCCATCGTATCATTGGTCGTTCTCTCAGCCTTTTTCCGTATGGTCTCCACTTAATTATGCTCTTAAGTTTGCTGTTTCCGGTCTCTTCATCACATGTCCGAATCATTGAATTCTCCGCGCCAAGTTGTTATCTTCGGTACACTAGTCATGTACCGGACTTTTGTTTTTTCTCCTACGCCAGCAATGCAGATTATTGTCATATGGTTCAGAACCCTACTCAGATACTGATACTGGACCACAGATTATTCTCAGTATTTTGTTCTCTGACGATAGCATTTTTTGCTCCATTCAGCTTGTTACAATCTACATCTCACATCCATATGTTAGAGTTGGTCTAACTATTGCCGTGTATAAATTGCACTTTAGTTCTCCTTGAGAATAGTTTTGATTTAAAATATTAATTAATAAGAGCAAAATATGTCTTTTCTGCCTTGGCGGTACGTTTCGTTGACTCATCTGTGATCTGTCCAATCATAATTACCACAAAAAGTGGCATCTTAATATATTTAAATTGCTTAACTTTTTCTTATGTATGTCCTTCATCCACTAAAATATCATCATCGTTGCATTGTTAGGTAATAATTCCATTACTTTAGTTTTGACATCGGTCCTATGGATTTTGCTTCGTTAATGATGGTTGAGGTATTTTGTAGATATTATACCTTCTTTATTATGGCCAATAATATTAAGGTCTTCAGTAAATACCTAATACTTCAATTTTGTTTATGTCAACATCGATACCATAGTTAAGTTTTCGCACATTCCGTGTATTTTTCTTCACCACAATGTTAAATAGTAGTGATGATTGGTCAAAGAGCATCACCTTGTTTCCCTGTTACAGGATACTACTTGCAATTCGTTATACTGATAATGTTTTTTTCAAGAATATGAGTTTAAATGAAATAATTTAAACCATATTTATTATAAGCGCTCAGTTTTCTACGTTTTTAACCAACAAACCTTTTAAAACTATAATTATTTAGGGTGTTCCAGTATCAAAAAAGCAAAAAGATACAATTTCGTTTATTTATTTTTTGGAGTAAAAAAATTACGATTAGTGTTTAAGAAAATGTTGTAATATTTAAAGTTGAAATTCCAGTTACCAAATAATAAATATAAATCCATTGGTATGTCCAGGATCTGGTAGGTAAAGGTTCCTACATTTTTATTTTAGCTTAATGTCCTATGAGAAAAATTTTTTCCATTAAAGTATTTTTGAATAAATATTAATTTAAAAAAATACATAATTGTAAAATTATTACCTTCCCAACTTTACATCGAAGCTTAAATATATTTATTAGTTTTTACAATGATGTGATGTTAATGATTGGAAAATAAGTATACATAAATATACATTTATATTAATAAAATATGAATACTTTAAAATTATTCAATTAATTACTTCCTTTCTCTAGAGTGAGTTAGTCTAGCATCTACAATGTTCTGATCTCCTTTATAGTTACTTTAAAACCCCGCAACTTAAATTAATTTTCAAATGTTGACTAATTTTTTTCGTGTAGATGTGAATTAACTATAAATATTATTTTACAGCTGTTTTATGCCTATAACGTTTTCTTGACATTTTCAGCCATTAACGCAGAGACTAGAAAGAAAATAAGGCTGTTAGAGGTCTAGGGTTTTATTACTTTTTTTTTATTGTTATGATATTTTTATTAGGTTATAAGAATATGCTTAGAATTGTGTAACATTTAAAAGCCCGATAAAAGTTAGTGATGAAGTCATATTCACTTGTATTAAATAACACTTTCATAATATGTTTTTATAACTCTAAAAACAGAACTATAATATATGATGGAAAATAAATAAAAATCTATCATAACACTATAGTACTACTATAGTGTATAATATGGGTAATACATATTATACAATTGAAGTGACGCAAATAAGGGGTCAGGGAAGCCCCTTCCCGAGAAAATAATTGTTTGTATAGTGTTTTTCGTTTGGAAGTAATAAAAAAAGTAAAAATCTCAATATTTAAGGATTCGCGAATGATATCCGTATCCGTATCCTATATAGGATATTATAAAAATGAACAACAAATTCATGGATCAAAAAATTATGTGGGGGTAGTTTCCCAAGTTAAACATTTTTGTCATACAAACAAATTTAAGTGGCTTCGTTAAAAATATATAGATTTAATTAAGTTTTGCTTCATTCTAGTGTCAAATAAACTAAAATTTATTCTTTACGCGAATTCGCCGAATTACAGCGAGTAGGTACTAATTACAGAAACATGATTAACAATACAAATGATTAAGTACAAAGATAATTATAGGATTTATTTAAACTCCAACGAATATAGGTCTTCACTTTTCAATATTTCTTTTAAATGTATTTTTAAATAAAATATATGTTAAAAAGGTAAACATGTTTCATCCTTTATCATAAATAGAGATCACTAACAAAAGCACTTTAAATATTATAAAATATAAATGTCTTATGATTTACTTTCTTTTTTACATGTTTAAAACAAATGAATTATCTTTTAGTACATTGGGAGTTAAACTTTGAGTAAAGTCTAATCTATCCAAGTATTTTAAAATGCAGAGAGGAGAATGAAATTGTTTTGTTGAGTAGTTATTTTAAAAGATAATTATTTTTTTAGATTTATGTTTCTACTTTTGTTTACAGTAAGCTGTGCATAAATTACATTTTGTTATTGATACTGTACGTACTTAAATACTGCGGTTATAGCGTAGATACAAATATTTGCTATAAGTAGACGGCAAGTACAAAAATATTTATCTAGACATAGCTTTTATAATCTTTGGCGATATAATTTATTATGCCTATATTTCATTATAATATTATAAACAATTGTAAAAGTAAATAAAAACACACAACTAGGTATGTAATCGATAAATGGACAATGTAACTCAATATATTATACAGCTAACTTTAAGCTGGCTTGACAACCTTATAAAGATGTTGCATTATAAAATGCAACTTTAAAAGTTATCTTTCAATAGTAAGAGTAAATTAAAAAATAATAATAATTCATAAATTCTTGTCAAATAGTTAAAAATCAATATAATTTTTTTTCTCGCATAAAAAAAAATTAATCATTTATATTGAGTTTATAATCTAAAAATTGTTTTGTCGTGTTGCCCAAAACTTGAGAATTTTTCTAGTATTTTTTCTAGAAAACTGAAGAAATTTTACATAAAATATGTAAATTTTAAATTAGGATCTCCATAAAAACGCTTAGAAAAACAAAAAAAAAAGATAAAAATTCATAGAAAAGTCTATAAAACGGAGAAAAACAACCACAGTATTCAAAATAGTTGAAATAAATAAGTGTAAAAATGAGATAATTTTCCGTTTATTTCGATGGAAAATACCAATATTTTGCAGTAAGCTGAGATTATTTTATATAAGAAACCAATAAAAAGACAAAATTAAAAATAATTTTACGAACATGGCCAACATAATCGAAAAAAAATACAAAACAGTTTGAGAACATTCTTTTAATTGTAACAGACATGCAGGGTAATTTTCAAAAAAAAATAGTCGGGGAGTCGGTCTAATCGTTCGTTCGTAAGAATTTATAAACGTAATTAACTAAACACTAGAAACCTAAAAGAGAGCAAACGCTTAAAATTTCAAATAGTCTCTAGACTATTATCATTACAATTAAAGCAAACTTTACAATGAAACGCATAAAATAATAATTTTACTTTTATATTTTTATCTATATTATAACAACTGCAAGACTGTACCTACTGTACGATAATAAATTATAATGTTTTATGTAACATACCTATGTGTACATTAAAAGCATGAATATAGTTTATAGCATTTACTACCGGTTTACGGTCAATATATTAAGGTCTCACATTTAGTTTTAAACTCTGCAATATTTTGTATTACGTATTGTTAAGTTATTAAACTTGGCTGTATAAAAAAGTTTTACTATAAAAAAAGCCTAAAAATACTAAACAGTAAGATATACGATTTTTATCAAAAATTGTACTTTTCAAGTCACATTTTCTACATACTATAATATCAACATACAGTTTACAGTTTAAATCGAATAAAGTTTCACTTTAATACGGTTTTTTAGAACATTATTCAAAAGTACCAAACACGTTGAAAATATCACAAATCGGCGTTTTTTAATTTTTGGAGGTGATTTAATTACAATTAGTCAGCGTACTAGAGAAACTCTAATGCCACGGATTCAGCGAAAAAAATTAGTATATTTTATTTCTTATTCCAAAATCGAGTTGTACATTTTAATCAAACAAAAGTATAAACCATAACCGTTTTATAGTTCCAAAATACAGTAAGTAAAAGATACAAAATAAAAAACACTATGATGTCTCCGCTCTGGGCCTAGAGCTAAAACATCAATAACAACTAAAAATAATAATTACATTAAAACCATTGCAAATGATTTTATCTAGCAAAAGAGTTTAGAATATACGAATAATTAAGAACCTTAAGAACTCTTTACTACATAGCAATTAAGTATTTCGAAATTATAAAATTATCATTGTAAATGTCAACTGATTAATATAAAAAAGAACCTAACCGTCACATCGATATCAGGTTATTCAGCGATTGTTAGAATAGGTATACTTAGTTATTTCGATTCTTTACTGGTTACACTCATCCGTGTGCTCTGAACCTGAATTTAAAACATCCAGTTCACTATAATAGTTGTCTGTATATAATGTTATATTTATAATATTTACAATGTTAAAAAGTTAAAAAATCATGTTTTAGCAGAAGATTAAATGATTCATAAATGTTATAAAACATTTGCTTTATAATACTTGCAACTTAAGTTTAAATTATTTTACTTCTCTGTAGAATTATAATCTCTATAGATTAAAATATTTTATCTACAAAGAAAAAAATCTCTAATCTTTAGAGCGGCCAATATGTAAAAAGTACACTTACGAAGGGTGGATTGCTTATTTTACCGATAAATACAGAAAAACGTTAATATAAAAATGAAAAGAAAAAGTAAGAACTTTACAAAAGCTCATGAACAATACAAAAAGGAACTTAGTATTTTATAATGACTTTTATATACGAATAATAGGAAGTAAGAGTTTTTAATATAATAAGCAGGTATTGTATACAATTTAAGAAGTACATCAAAGGACCACGAAGATGGTCAAAATTAATGTCGGCTATATTAAAATGATGTATAGAGTAGAAAAGGATAATAGAAAGTATAGTATTAAAATTGTTTTATTTAATATACTATAGATGTATAGTATTCTTTTTAATATTAATATTTTAATTAGAACACATGAGCCAGGAGTCTCGACATGAATAAAGTGATACCCCATCAATTTATCACAAGCATAAAATAACATAGTTAGAGAATATTGAACACAAACTTTACATAGTTTTGAAAATATTTGAATTGTTTGCTCTATGAAATTATTTACATCTATTTGCTCAGTTTTCATTTATGTCACTATCTGTATATAACTTAGTCGTTACAATGTAGGTACTAGTATAAAACAGTAAAGTAAAATAAAAAACTCTGTATTTGAAGGTCCTTATTTGTTGTATACAAATACAAAATACAGAAAAAAATAGTTTAAATAGTATAAATAAATGCATAATATAAGGCGTGAAAACTGAGAAAAAGGTATATTTTCAGTATTTTTTGTGCTAACTTCTACAACCCGGTAGTTCATCAAGCATATTCTTTGCCAGTTGAATTCTATTCGGGAGTTACCCTAATATTGTAGCCAACTGACAAATCTATAGGTATATTTATAATTATTTTTAAAAAATTCGTCTATTTAAAAAAAAATAGAAGTAGTTTGAATTATCAAAAATAATACATTTAGGTACTTATTTCAGTGTCAGTTGTTGATTGATAACTATTAATTTATTATGTTTTGCATATATTGACGTTTGTCAAAAAAAAAAAAAATGTTTACGGCAATTTATTTTGTAGTACTTTTTAGACTTTTTTAAATTAAATTTATAGTGTATTTAATAATAAATTAAAATAATTTAATAAATTATAAACCCATTCAAATCATCTTTGTTTTCAAAATACACGATAAAACTACAAAAACTAAAGAAAGGGATTTTAATTTTCAGAACCGTGATTAGATTATATTTAAAGATTAATTATTTTTAATTAATAAAAATGGATTTCATAACAGAAATCGTTGAACACACATGACATTCATTATATAGTGAAATGAATAATGAAATATTACAACGATCACTTAGAATTTTAATGTAGTAAAATGTTTAATATTTATTAAGAGTTTATAAGGAATATCATATGAGGACCACAGCAATTATAGTTATTACACCACGTTCGGTTCACCTGTTCCAGTTCTCAAAAAATACTATGAGATTACAATTGTAAAACAAAACATTGTTATGAATAAGTCAAGAAAACATAAAAAAATATACGAAAGTTCACATTTGTAAAAGGAATATTATAGTATTTATGTACATACGTATAACATAATATTTAGTACTTCATTGTACTATCTATGCAGACATATATATATATATATATATATATATATATTACTATAAAACAATTAAAATATAAAAATAAAATGAATCGATTTTTATGCATTTATAACATTCAATATATTCATACCAATTATGTTGTTTATTATTGAATCAAACTTTTATGTTTACTTAGAAATAAATTGCACGTATAAATAATAATCGCTAAGTATCTCATGGGATACATTAATAGCATTTGGACATTTAGTTTTCTTTTGTACTCGAGGTTCATTTTCAGTCTTCCCTTTGGCTTGTCCATAAAATATTTACGTGCAAATAAATGAGTTTCAAATAGCGCGACCGCTCTGGAATATAAAATCGATTGTATACCTCTATCTTAAATATTTTAAAAGATTTAGACAAATGAAAAATAATAATATCAACGGTTTTATTTCTAGAGCACAAATAAATCTGCTATAAAAAAAAACGAAGTGACGATAGTTGAATACCAATTTTATATTGTTTGCTCTATAAAATCCATTTAGTTGCTGTGGTCAAAGCTAACATTTATTTGGAAAGAATGAATGGAGTATCGTATAAAAAAATACTTAAAAAAAATAATATGAATTTCATATTGAATTCTATTTTTTATTATTATTATTTTTCTACTATTAATAATATTATTAATCGATTTTTTTCTATTTTTATATTAAAATTGGTCATTTTAATGTTCAAATTTGGCAACTTGTGTAAGTCTTATAGGCAGTGGTATAACTAGATGTTCTGGTGCCCTAGTGTAAAACTAAATATGTCCTCAGTCATTGCCTTTTTGGAATTTATATCACTGTTTTCGATAAATTTAAGAATTGCTTTCAAATTTGTTTCTAAACATAATTTATACCTAGGTACTAAGCTTACATACCAGATATATGAGTGATTGTTATTATAATAGTTTTTGATCAATATTATAAATACCATACTTAGACACATTTATATTAGTAAATAACACTGTATGTGTATGTATGAATATATTTAGTGTGCTATTTTTAGTTAGTACTGGAGAATATCAGACCTTTTTAGCGATTGTGTCTTATTTTATTTTTTATTAAAATTTTAAATAAAATTATAAAATGATCTGTTAGTAATTTGAATTACATTATTGATTGAATGATTTTTGTCTTACTGTATCAAATACAGTAGGATAAAGTAAAAATGAACATGTACGGCAATTAATAATTATTTTCGTCTTCTTGATCCAATCTGCATTATCAATAAATGTTTATTATACAGTTTACTGTGTTTTATTATTATGCTTAGAACCTTTAGAAATTACTTAGTTACATCGACAAAACTACCTAGGAAATGTATAAAGTATAATACGGAGAAATATATCATTACATACATAGTTTATTTATTTGGTTTTATGTACTTATTGATATTGTAGACTCAGTTGTAAGTATTGAGTCTAAAAATATCGTTTATATTCCATTAAATTTAATGCATTTATTATCTGTGCTGCTTTTTTACCAATAGTGATTTTATAATAATACTGAGAATCAACCCTCTAAACGACATCTAATGCGTAATATCATTATGCGTTCGGATTTATGTAGGTCTTATACGAAACTGAAAGCTATTGACAATCATTTTTTACTAAAAAATAGAGAAACTGCCAAATTGTAATTAGTTTATTTTTTGACGGATAAAATAGTTGTTGACATCCACTTAAATTTTAACAGACGAACTTTTAAAATAAGTAATTTAATACAAACAATATTCTGCAAGTAGTTAATTAATATAAACATTTATTTAGTGTTAAATTTAGTAGACAACCTGTCCTTATAGCAGATTTTTAACAATAAAGTATTTTTTGTTTTTTCAGAATAGCCGTAGTGGCCCGGCCAATAGGCATCTGGCATCATGACTCTCCAATGGGTGATATTGCTAGCACTGGTCACAACCCTTATAGTTGCTGAAAGGAAATTATACGACGAGTCTAGCAACGAGCTATTACAATGGCTCGATAACAGTGCAAAGAGATTTGAAACGTGGAGTCCTATGGATGGCGAAGATGTTGAACAAAATGAACCAGAAGTCAGTTTCAAAAACGGTAAGAATATATATATATATATTATTTATAATTTTTAAAATTCACTTTTTATCATATCAATATAAGTATTACATGTTCTTAAATCCTTAGATTAGACATTAGACAATTTAGTAAATTATAAAACATCTTTTTTTGTTTTATATAGTTTTTAAACTTTAAGCAATTCGATCTTTTTTAGAATTATATTTTGCATGGTATGTTGCAGAAAATAGAAAACGAGCATTATCGTTTCTTTCACATTGGAAACCGTGGAAACAAATAAGTGGCAATGGCAGGCATGTAATTCGGTCACCATTTAGTTCTTTTTTTCCAAACTCAGATTCATCACAAGGCGGCAACAGGCCGGTCGGCCAACCTCTTAGATGGGGACGTCGCAGGCGTCGATAAGTTTCCTAAAAGTTGATTTGACAATAAACAAACAATGTTTAACTAAATATAATAACATAACTATTTATTTATTATGATTTTAAATTTAATTATTTTTAGTAATATTTATTTAAAAAAAAAAATTACATTTTATATTATTTGTTTTAATGTTTTAGATCGCCAGTTACTTGGTAACTTTGTAAGGCAAATTGTATAATATGATTTATTTTCTCCGGATACATTATAATATACATCGCAAAATGAAACATGTTATTATATGTTGCCTATTCTGATGTAAAATAACTAATGATATAATATAACTATTAAAAATAGCTTTCAAAACATAAATTTTGGTTATTCTTTTTAATTAATAATTTAGTACCCGGATAACTAAGTAGCTGTAGGGTCAAGGGTTCACGATGTATAACTTTTAATTTAGTGGACCGCAATTATATTATCTAAAAGATATAATATAATATCATTTAAATATTGTCAATAATGCTATTTTGCAATTAATTTAATAGCTATTTGATTTTTCATAGCACATCAATCACCATAGATTGACTGAACAACCGCTGCTTTGCAGGTTTAAGATTTGAATTTGTTACTTCTAAAATCTAATGCGATACAATAAAAGTAAATTAATTTAAAAATTTGTCTGCTACATCATAACGTCAACAGTTAAAATGTTATAAACGAACTTCAATTTACACATGAACATAATTTAAAGGAAACTAGGTTTAAAAAATATATAATGTATATGACATGCAAATCGAAAAATCAATACATTTTAAACCACACAGAAAATAGTTTAAAAATTGACGTAAGTATCCATAATATTACAAAATTAGAACATAGACCTGATAATGATTTAAATATAAAAATATTTGAGAGATGGTGTGGTCGCTGGGATAAGATGGCATAGTAGTGGTAGTATAATGCATGGTCAACGATTCTACTTTTGGTCCGTAGGGTCCCAAACTTGTTTAGTCAGCGTTGGGTTGGCAACCAGCTATAATCCCAATCCGCTACACCAAACTCGGTTCGAGCCAGCCAGGTAGAAAACTACTGAAGTTGGATGCAAGAAAAATCAAAAAAGAAAAGATTAAAAATAGTGCTATTAGTTATTACATACATGTTTTATCACTTAAAGAGATATTTTTTTTAAAACATTTAAAAAAACGTACTATAATACATTATTATTTCAATAACCACCATTCGGAACAATATTTCCAAGTATGACATTTCCAAAAACACATGCGTAACTATTTGTGAAATATGTATGTTTATGATTTTGAATGCGATGAATTCAAAAACTTTTCAACCGTCTGAATTTATCTACTTTGACAAATTTACATCAGCGACTTTCTACGACGGGCAAGGGCGTTATTCATCCCCAACATCTATAATATAAACAAATTTATGTGTACTTATAGAATACGACTAAACATAGGTTATTGTTCTTTAGTTTTCTTTTCATAATTTCCCTTTTATTCCGGAGTAAGTCGAGTTCATACAGATAGTGCACGTGTGTGATGGTCGACGGATGTATGTCATGAAGTCCGGAAATGAATGTTTGTATAATATTCTCCGAGATTAGTTTTACTTACTACGATAATAGGTTACTTACTGTAGGTATTATGAAATGCAAAGGAAAAGTAAAGACATTATTTGGACATGTTCCGTTCAATTTCTTGACATAAACTATAATATTGTATTAAATAAATGCAATTATTAATTTATAGAAATAAGGAAGGTGTTTTGAAGTCTAAGCAACCACTTTTTTTTTTGTAGTTTTTTAAAAGTTAAATTCGGACTGTCTGACACAAAAAATTATTGTTTTTTTTTTGGTTCAGTAAAATATAGCGTGTCAGTATTGGTATAGATACTATTTAGGATATCGATTTATTTATATCGACTCAGAATAGTTAAATGTGTTCATTACTTTTATTTAGTTGCGTGGTAGGTATTATACTTTTATCAATGTATGCAATCAATTAATACATTGGTTTCAAAACAGTTGGAAGTGGTTTCACTTGGCTAAAAGTATTTTAATATATTAATAAAAACTTAAAATATTATGATTTTATTTAAAAATAAAATAGTATTATATACTGTACAATATACAATATTCACCTTCCTTTGTTTCTAACATCTTGTACAGTTCATAACTCTAACTTTATCTCTTTGGCATAACTCCCGAATAATTCCTTGTATAAGTCCTAAGTCCTAACTAAGTATATTATTTTAGAACCCTTTCGTTTCACATTTGCTTTTAACCTTGTACTTAGTTTCCCGAAGATAACACATATTAACTTTCCTCCTCTTTCATAGGTACTTCGTTTTCTTCTTTTTTCATATCATTTCCTATCATTTGTTATCCCCGCGCACATTCGCGATGGGACAATCGCCTAAGTTTTGTCTAGGACTCCTCATACTTTTTGACGAAATTTTATACCAGCTGTCGACCTGACGCAACCTCATTTTGTTATTTGTACAAATTATGAAAATTCTGTATTGATATAACACAAATATGTATTTTATGCACCTATTGATAATTTTAATAACAATACTACAAATTTAATGTAATTACTCAATATTATTGACATAAACAATTTAAAAAAGGTTCGCTTTTATGTTCAAGCGCCAATAATAAACTAAATATTATATAATATAATATATGTCCATATTATAACTCATGTATAAATAAACCAATTAAGTATGTCAACAGTCTTAAGATAAAAAATATCGAACAGGTAAGTTTTATTTTTTAGTTGACTCTAAAAGATAACATTTTACCCATCAAAAATCAATATTATAGTAGTAATATTAATAATAAATACAAAAACCCCAACATTTAAACACCTTGTTTAATACGTAATATATTAATAATATAATTTATATAATACATATATATAATACTACTAATATATACGTTGTGCGTTACATCTGGAGTTTGATTGAATAGTTTGCCGCCCAACGGGTTAAGTTCATTGGTACGAAATGCTCGGTCTGGTTTATCTAATCAATCTCGTTAATGTGCCGGTCACAAGCCCACCCTGTTCGTTCATTTTAACGTTATGCTGTATGGCAATAGTGTTCATTATCAATGCTAAACAACAGATACATACACACACACACTTATATATATATATATATATATATAAATTAATTACCATACCAGTGATTACTAAAATATGTTTTCCGTAATTTATGGCCATCAATCGTTCATAGTACTAACGTAATTTCACCTTTTAATCATTAAAAAAATAGGCATTTGAAATAAAGCATTAAATAAAAAAACAGCATTTCACAATACTTACTGCATATATCGCCATCAACCAATATAAATAATGTTACAAAAACGTGTTTAACTCTATGGTATACTAAATAATATAAAAATTTGGTATATTATATTTAAGTTAAAAACGTTTTTGTATCATAATTTATATTGGTGGGTGGCAATCGATCGCAGTAGTTGTGAAATGCTTGTATATATATAATTACTTCGTTTGTAGCGATAAAAATCACTGCATGATTAGCGGTTCAAAAAGTATTGACAATTGGAGTTAGTATTTAATAACAATAATTATATTAGGCAGGTATAGTATTTAATAAAAATAAAAAGTTCCTATACTCCTACAGTAGTAGAATAATGATAGGTTGTATGAATATGTGATTTTTTATTTATTCGTTATTACTATTGTATATATTCGAACGTTTTTTATGAGACAACTTTATATTATTATCGTGTTAACCCTAACTCGTGTCATAATTCTTTTGATAATTCGGGTTTAAATTTCAGCGGCTTTTAACAATTTTTTTATGTAAATGAAGCAATATTGACTTATTATAATAAGTATAACTTATTAGTGTTTGTATCTTAATTTATTAATATTTTACATAATAACTAAAAAACTTAATTTAATTGTTATAAGTATAATAAATAATAACTTATTGAAGAGCCTATTAGGGAAACATGGTTTTAAACCACGATGTCTACAATAAATATTTTTTTATTTATTGCGTTTATCTTTCAATTTAGAAAAACGATTTACTATATTAGTTGACTACATTTAACTGCAACTAAAAATTCGAAGTACCCATAAATAATAATGAGATATCGACCGCATACAACGTTTTGATGTCCAATGGTTGAATATTTTTCTTTTGTACATTAAAATATATGAAAAATTTACAGATTGATGAGATTATAAAGATAAACTCTAAAATAGAAAACTCCAGTGTTATTATTAGCGAAAAAATACTGATGAAAATTTCAATGCAAAAACCACTGTTCTTTATTATTAATTGATATCCTTAATATATAATCCCCGCACTAACGTTTTGCGCTCTTGCTCAATACTAATCATCAAATCTTTTTTTATCTAAACGTCTGTAACGAGACAACCAGTCTGCGCGTAGCCGTGATCCATCGTAGATCACTTAGATCGGAAGGGACGGGATTCTCGTGTTACTTCAAAGCATTTGGTACAATAAGCCGACCGATTTATATTGTTTAAACTATAAACGCAATGGTGTCATGTGGAATTTCGCCACTTATACTAATGCTGTGCTTTTGCAGTTTAATTGTCATCTTTGTTTATCCGGTATTGGCGGATTCGTCAAATGGTAAGTTTTTTTTACATCATCTTAACATTTTAATTAAAATATCAAACATTTCACGTATCCATTAAAAAATGTATTGAACTAAATCAATAAAAAAAAATTAGTTTCACAGTTATCTTGGAATAATTAAAGAAAACAGCATATACTGAGTTATATAATGCATAACATTACTTTGTACAGGTTTTAATTAAAAAGTTAGTTTCGAGACTTGTCGCCAATATTTCGTTTTTAAATTTCATGTAGTTTTATTTTAAGGTGAACTGAAATCTAGTATTACATTTAGTATAAGTTTTTTATAATGACATTATTAATAAGTATGCAGTGCAATTTAGCGTTATGGAATTTATGATCCTTTTAGCTTCGATGCGGAGGAGCTTATGCGTGAGCTTCAACAATAATGCGTTTTTGTTTATTTGTTTTTTGTGTCTGGACTCATGGTATTTTCTAAACGACTAACCCGAATTTTCATGTAGCAACTCAATAGATGATAAATCGCACCTGTACGGTATTTTATGGGGCAAACAATTTAAAAAGCCCCCTCTTCCTTTTAAAAAACGATAAAAACACTAAAAAATGTACATATTTTTCATCTTACAATTACGGCGCTCTATAGCTTTTTAAAAAACGGTCGAATTATTTCCCAATTTTTATGAAATATTTTTTAGACATAGTACCTACCACCGATAAACATTGACAAACCAAACAAATATTATAAACCTATTCTTAGTAAATGAGTGGATACTTATTCTTAATTTCACTTTTTCCTGTAAACTTTTAGGACTTAAGATGAGAAAATTAAAGAGAAGATAAATCTAGTGTAGGGTCGTAACATATTATTCAATTTTTACGACAATCTATAACTTTGTTTTATTAAAGAAAACCCACCCAAAAATGGGGAAAATTACACTTTGACCGTACTCAATTTCTAATGTCTATAGGCAATATGTAGTGTTTAAATTAAACAAAAAATCAATAGAATTTAAAATGAATTTTTCAGTTCTATTAGTGTTAGAGAGCAATACTGGTATTAGTGATAGAACTATTGTTTTATCCAGGCATAATTGTACAAAAAAATTTATCAAAAATACAATAATATATATAATGTAAAAAAATAAAAATGTCTATGAGCAACAATAAATAAAATACAAAACTAAAAATTAAACAATGTACTTTAACAAACATATGATTTTAGATTTAGATTGAAAACAATGTTTTAATAGTATAAAATAGTATTTGATTTGACAGAATCACTATTCAAAATATATATTTTAACAAATTGATTCATTTATATTAAATAAACCACTAATTTTCGATTACCGTTAAATTGGTATTGAAGTTTTGTGATAAGGTCGACTAACCTATACATATTCGTTAATTATGCATGTACAGAATTTATCGATTAAGTACCTATAATATTACAAAAGCAAAGTAAATAATAGTTACTATCGGTATTATACAATATGTTTTCACGCTATACTATATTTGTTATCAATACTTTACCCAGCCTTTACAACTGACTAACTGACTTTTAACCCGTTGTGATTCATAAACCCAATTTGTATTATAAATAAATGTTCTTAAGACACAACTCGTCGGTTGCGATTATTCTTTAAACATCTATTTGTCCAAAAAAATTCCGATATTTATAATCATAATTTATCGTTTTAAAAAATACTTTTTAGGGTATTTTTTGTGTTATTTTAATGACAGGATTTTTTCCAAACACATCATATTATCATTCTATACAAAAAAACACAATATAATCCTGTACAGTTGTGTAGGTATTGAATATCATTCATCATCTTTTTTTAAATTTGTATAACGTAGTGTATATGCAATAAATAACTTGGGGTGCTTATTTGATTGCCAAGTGTCGAGCCAAACCAAACAGTATACATGATTATGTACAATTATAATATATATAATATTATAATAATAATGAAGCGAGATCACACGTTTCCATCGCTCCGTGTAATGCCCAACGCTGCTTATGTGTGCTAAGCGTCGTTTTACCCGTCACTCAAAAATGCAACAACTTTTGCAAACGACGTTTACTGTCCATGGTACGTGCATCATTTACAAGTCGATCAATTTCGGTTACACGTCCAATAATGATCGGGTAGCCCGTCAATCATCTGAAATTTAAGACTCCGAAACCACGAAGTACAGATGACGTCTAACTTATGGATTTTAAAACTTGTGTTGTATCTTTTTTTCAAGACAATTTCCGCTATTTTATAAATGTGATTTGGCCGAGGGGGTTCACAATAACGTTTTCGGCGTTAGTTGGAATAAGAAAAAAAAAATTCAAACAGTAGTCATTTGTTTGTTGGAAAATAAGCAATAATTTATTTTTTACGGGTTACCTATTTTAATTTCAGTCCGGAAAGAACAACGAAATTTAAAAGTTAACATTTTACAAACAACGAATTAACCGTGATTGGCCACGAATTTTTGTGAATTTTAGGTTACGTGAAAGTCTAATTGTTAATTATATACACTAACTAGTTATTTGTTCCTAACTGTGATTTCATTAAAATTAATTTGTCCACGTTCTATTACATATTTTATTGAAATTTAATTTAATTTAGTATTTTTTTGTATTATAATATTTATTTAATGTATGAAAAACTATAAGAGTCCCTCGTGGAAATATTCTACAGACAAATTTGCAAAACTAGAATGACATTTAGTCATTAAAATGACTACTTAGGCTTTAACACTGTAATAGTAAGTTCTCTAAACCAGTGGGAATAGACTATAGCTTTTAGACTAATTTGTTTGATAATATCCAACATGCTTTTGTATGCAATTTAGTATTATGATTCCATTTCTGCTTAAAATATACATATAATACAAACGCCTGGGAAATATACTCGGTTCTACCGCTTAAACCGTTATATTTAAATGTAATAATATCTTAAAGTACCATTTATTATTTTAAAATTGTATAAGATAAAATAGAATAAATACATCATAAATAAGGATATGAGATCGTTTATAAAACATTTCAAATGTGTAATTTTACCTACCTACCTTTTTATTTTATTAATGCAAACTTACTTTGGAACTTTTTGTAAAATTATTATTCTTATAATAGTCTTTCACAAGCTCGAATTATATTTAAATACTTTATAATTGCAACTAATTAAATTGTTCAAAGTTAAACACAAGTTTCGTTGGTACAATTTACAAATATCCACATTAATAAGTTTTGATAACAACAACTACAATAAATGGCAGGCAATTTAGAGAAATTTAGAAAGTTATAAAAATGTTGTGTCTAATGAAAAGGTGGTACTTTTGGCTACCCAAAACATTTTTTATAATGATGACTGAAATATAATAAATAATAATTATTTGTTGATAATAATATTATATACCTAGTATTTAATTTGTATTATATATGATATACAATAAGTCACATTTGTACTTTGACAATGTTCAATTTTAATGTATTGGCTTAGTGTTAGGTACCCTTTTCCTTTTAGGCTTAATACAATAAATAGTTGATAAAACTAGTACAAATGTTGATATTCTGCTAGATCCACATAATATATATTACAGGTTTAATAATAAAAAAAGGTTTTGACATTCATAGTTATACCTACAATGTATGCAGTTGCAGTATGCTCTTTGCAGTTAAATTATTAAATGTTGCTATCCAAACCATATTATTTATTAATTATTATAAACTTATTAATTACACGACAGCTAAATGTGTTGAAAAATAGCTTATTGGATTTTACAAACATTACTTTATTAATTTTGCTACTAATAGTTGGACTATAAGTTATAACTATAAAAACTGTACAACCGTTACTCTAAAAATTGTAAGAATACAACCGTAAGTAAAATTAGTTGTTTGATTCATTAACTATCGCGATACGCTATGATTTGATTTGTGAGGTAATCATTAGTTCTGAGCTATACCATAAGGTATCAGCAATTTTAAGAGATAATAGAGCGATTCTCAAATAAAGGCACAACTAAGGAATACATATATACACCTCAGATGTTTTTATTCTTTAGGAGTAGGTCCCAATTATATGTTTCAGCGTAGGTATTACCTGTTATTAAAATAAATCATTTTATAAATTATAATGATAGGCTAGGTATAAAATCAACATTTAGTAAATCTCTTTATGTTACAGTATAGTTGTAGCTTACTAGTAGGATATAATTTATTGTTTTTTAGAAAACACTTCTTATTAAAAAAATGGACTAGGTACTTTCTTAAATGTTTTAGTTTGTGCTTACAAAAAACAGATTGTGTTAGAAAAAACTATTTTCGTGAAATTCTGTAACAGAAAATGTAAATTTTAGTCATTAGTGAAAATGGCAGAAATGGTATGCGTTACGGTCGAATATAAATGTATTAAGAGGACGTCATACAGCCAGTTTTCCAACTTTAAAACATACGGAGAATTCGTTTCACAAACTCCATGATGATTTTAGAGCAAAAATACTTGTAACTATGTTTTGATAAAAAAAATATTTAAACTCGCTAACAAAAATGCTGTAATAGACCTAAAAATAAATTAACCACCAAAAAGGGTTCTTATTACTAAACTAATAATTACACATTACAGTTTAAGCTTTAAGTTATATTTTACAAAAAATTGCCTGTACCTAGCTCCTTAATAACAGAGGGTATCATGTCCGCTTTTTTTGATTTTTCCTATGGCTTGCCCTTTCAACTAAAACTAGCCATTCATACTTTATGTATAAATCCTTAAAATTGCAGATCCCTAGATCAACTATAAATACTTCCTCGTGCATTTTAGTTTGCATTTAATTAACATGGGAAATTTAAATTTGTCATTAAAAAAATTCTAAATTGAAAACTAATCAACATTTTTTCGATTTGAAAAAAGATTCTTTAAGCTAAAATATGAAACTTTAAAATCATGAAATAACTATTTATTTCGTGATAACATTTTTTTAGCAAGTTATCAAGTTGTCAGTTTTGTCAGTTTCAATGGGCTGTAACTTGATAAAAACAATTTGTATCTTGAAGTATCAAGTGAGTGATTATTTTTAAGTGAATTTGTGAAAAATTAATTTGTCTTATGTTCGTAGTATAATTATTTAAGACATCGAAAATTCGAGTAAATACTATTCATTACTATCCAAATGTTAAATAGACTATAAAAAGGAAAGTAACTAACACGCGCTTAATGCATTGGAAAGATTGTCGATCAATGTGGAGGGTTTACACTTAAATTCATTAATTTCCATCACGAATGTTAATACCAATAAAAATGTCTTGGTCTTTATTTTTCTTAAATACAGTAATATTTTATAAACTATCACAAGTTATTAAATAAAGGAGAACTCATTTAAATTATTATTATATGACAACTATAAATGGACAATTATTAACGGTATACAAGCAGCAATCAGTCTATTATTTTTAATACATTTACTTATTGCTTTAGGTAGATTGTCATTTGATAAATGAAGAAATGAAAATTCCTTTCAAGTGTTATTAGACTTTTACAAGGATACTAGCTAATACTTATAAAATTGAATTATTTCACTTTTTTTTGCATTTTAAAAGCGTTTGTAATTTGTTTTAGTTAATCTTTTTAAGTACCTCGTGCAACTTTTTTGTTTGTTCCCGAAGTAATTGTGAAAAACTTAACAACGTGATAAATGTGTATGCTACTATTGTACTCGTTTAAAAAAAATAGGGATATATATATATTTATATATAGCATACAGTTATATATCGTCGTTTAAAGTGCAACATTGCGTATCTCAGCTTTTGAAGGTTTACAGGAGAAGCAAAAAACAAATTTTTAATCATAACATTGTTATCATTTTAATCAATAACAGTGAAACATTAATCTGACAGAAATTTTCTGTCTTACTTAAATTGTTGGCAACAGCTCAATTTAGCAATATTGGCAATATACCCATTTTTTTAAATTTTGAGATACGCACTGTTGCACTTTAAACGATAATATATAACTGTACGCTATATATATATATATATATATATCATAAATGTGTATTATTTTAATCTTACAGTGTTTTTATTGTTTTTCCTCTCGTATTATTTATTTAAAAATCGTCAATCGTCTTATTGTATATTCGATTATTTTTTTTCGGTATTATATGCATTAACAATTAAAATCCCTATACTTTAATTGTTAATGCATATGTGTGTGGTTAATAAGTGTATTATAGCTAATTGACTCCACACCAGTTTTAGTCATAGCTGCTTGAAATAATACATTAGAGTTACTCGTGTACATAATAAAAATTGATTTAAAAATATTTAATTGATTACGTTTGAAGTATACAAACTAAATTAATGTATATTGATGTCCTTTAGCCATTATGTCTAGGAATACATTATAGATATATTTGGGTTCATTCGTTTTTTAAGCAGACAACATATTCATTTATTTTAAACAAGTTTAATTTAATATTGCATTTTATACATACCTTTAGATTTGCCGATATTTCTAATGAGGTAAACGCATTAATTTTAATTAAATATTATCTATCTATATTGTATGGGAATACTGTATGTGGAATATTTTATTTTCGGTATGTAGCTACAAACCGAAAATAGACCTATTAGGACGTCATTTTATTTTATTTATATAAATACCAAAAATATAAACATCTTCATTAAAAAAAATCGTATGAATTTGGTATTTTACTTTGAGAACATCTTAACTATTATAAAATAATAATTAAAAAAGCGATTTATTTTTATCATAGGTATGCACGACTGAGCTAATGCGGCAACAAGCTTAGGCTGTGTAAGGGCCCTTTGGGCACACAGAGTTTGGGGGCTCTTTAAGAAAACAAAAAAAACGTAAAGATGTATTATTCAGGGCCCTCATCAGATCGGAGACCCTGTGCTCGTGTCCCACGTGCCCTTAGGATAAAGATGGCACATAACGTAAATTAGAGCGTTTATATTGTTAACCACTAAGTTTATTTTTACGGTCCTGCCACGGTGATCGATAACAATGAAGTACACACAATAGTTATGATCATAATTCATACTATTAACAAAATCAGAGTAAATTGCCATAAAATACTATTATTCTTTAACAAACATTATTTAAAATTACTATTACCGGACGAAGATGTTCAGTATTTGGTATCGGTAGATGCATCGTTCATAATATATTTCTCAAACTATAATAGTATGCTTGGAAAAAAGAGTCATATTTATTTTTTATTGCACTCAAGGCACAAGAGAAAGTGCGTTTATTCTGTTGCAAACAGTTTTACTGCGAAAAATATCATTGATATTAACATACCCATTTTGTCCTCAATAGACAACCCTTCAATTTGTTTTGATTTTTAAATTCGTGTGTCTAATTATTTTTTTAAAAATTTAAACTAACATATTTTCATAAAAACGATTTTATCACGTTATAAATTATCAATACCTCCAAAACTTTACTTTCTATAATAAAAGACTGAATACAAATTAAATTGATTAAAGTAAATTAATCATTAACCATATCAGATTTCAAGCACTTTAATAAACTCGACAGTTCGTTAAAATACCTTATGGATTAATCAGTGTAAGGACCCACTAAACGTTAAAGATTCATTAAAACCTAACGAACGTTCGTATTACCCGGAATTAAATTAATATAAATTGGAAAAGGGTTAATGATTGGCGAAGTTGGCAAATATTATGCTAGTGGTCGGTATAACTTACATAAATATCTTTATTAGACGTGTTAGAAAAGAATTCAATTTTTTTTTTAATTTTACATAAATGTTTTGCACTTGATGTGACTAGTTAGTTATATATAAATAACTTATGTATTGTTTTTCTACGGTTAGTGAGCTCGAATAGAATGCCTTATAGGAAAATATGTAGGTATTTAAAAATACGTTGAACCTATTACAGCGTAATATTGAATATCAAATGACTAAAAAAGTCCATTGTTATCTCTTTCGACTTCCTAAAGCAATAAAACGTGCTGATTTAAAATAAAATTAATAAACCAAAAATACGTGTATATATTTATATTTGTGTATAAGATCAATAACTAACAATTAGGTGTGTGCAGTACGTATATTCTTTCAACCTTAAAATGATAACTTGTCGACTGACCTCCGGTATCGCGTTCCGTTTATGTTGTCTTATTTAGATATATTTCGATCACCAAAAGCACAAATTCCAGCAATAACAGCTACACATAAAGCATATTGAATATAATCGGTTTGTTTTGCCATGAAGTGCATTTGACCCGGAGAGAATTATTAGTATAAAAACATTGAAATCGTTCATTGCGCAATTATCATTAATGTAACTTGTAACAATTGAATTATTTTAATACCATTTAATCGATTTTTTTTTAATTTGTTTTTTTTTAGATATAAATCTTTTGCAAGCACCGTACGTTACTGAACGTGAAGGATTTGTCATTACTGGTGGACGATGCCCCGACGACAAGGCTTATAAGTTCTACGAAAGGACAATGCTGAGTGTTCAGACTTTGCAAATTTTTCCTTTGTTCGACCAATTTCCATTGGATTTTTCCGTATCAGCTACATTAAGAATGGACCAAGGTTGAATTATAATTATTAAAAATGAGTGGAATCGACTTACGTTTCACTAGTCTTGCCTTATTCCGCTAGAAATTGTACCGACCAAGGGTCCGGATAAAATACACACTCTATTTTCTAATTACAAAAAAATTATTTTTATTTTATTTTTTAAATGGAGAATAAAATGTGAATTTTTCCCAGAACTTTGTCCGGACCCTAGGCATAGACAATGCATAGTTACAGAGATAAGAATTCTTACAAAATTCAGTTTATCTACTGCTATTACTATCGATTTCTGTTTTGCACTTCATATTCTTAATTATTGTAAAACGACACAATATAAAACACAATAAATTAACTAAAGGTTGTATCGGAATTTAATTCGGTCCCAACGATATCTAAGTGTTGTTTTATGACTCGTGTCACAATTCTATTAGCAGCCCGATAAATATTTTTTGTAACACGCGTGCGCAGTAATGGTTTGTCATTAATTTTGGGTTGCGTGACTTAACCGTAGTAAATTCTGTAACACGGACAACAGTTGAGGTAGGCAATAATTCCATCCATCGTAAATGATCTAAGATTTCAGAGAAACAACCAGACAAATTCAATTATTATTTACAGAAATATCGCAAAGTGCGATTATTTCAATGTGCAATTGTGGTAAATAGTATAACGTATTTTATGTTTATTACACTGAAAATTCAAAAAGTGGACTAATCTAGTTACTGCAATAAGCCTTATTTATATCTGTAAAAAATAACCGATGGAGAGTAATTAATACAAAAGTTCTAAATCTATTTGTCAGGCTAGCATTACTTAAAGGTACTTAAAATGTAATAATTTGCTCTGTTAAGTAGCAAAATAATAAAAAATGTTCATTTATTTTAATAAATAATACAATTCTTTTCTTCCACAAATAATCTACTAAATATGATTTAGGATAGGCTAAACATCTGAAATGCTAACTTACTGCTTTCAGTAATACTGTGATACTAATTTGGTGCAAAAACCAAAAGGTACCCATAATTTTTTAAACTTGAATTGGAGTTGAAAACCAAAAGTATAGATTAATATATATTTTTTTATTAATTTTAAAGTCAGTTTTAATAATTATTATTTAGTTAAGCCTATATTGTTTAATAATAAAAAAACTGATGCCGGGTTGTATCAATTATTTACACAGAGATAAACTAGTTTAACTAGAGTTAAAATAAATTCTGTTGCATAAACCATGTTTTAAATTTTATCTGTTGTTAAAAATGTACTCTATCACGAGTTAAATTAGAGGGTCATTTGTCGCTATGTAAAAATATATGTATAGTTAAATTTTGTTATCAATGTTTTGTGTTAAAGTGGTGAAAATGGAAATGTGCGTAATCAGTGTATCATTGATTAGACCCTGTTTGATAATAATATTAACGCCTACTGCTGATACCATTTATTCGATAACCGGTATACAGGTAACCTGAATATAAAACAACGTTTGAGCAACACTTGTAAATTTAACACATGTTAATTTAACAAAAGTTAGTTTATTATGGTAGTAAATAATTTACCAATAGATAACGACAAGTTTGGTGCAACCGGGCATAAGTATTATACAATTAAATTAAGATTTTAGTAATTATTTTTTCGATGTATAACAACAAAACGCCAAATCTAAATTAACGTAGATTAAAAATAAAGTTCGGAAAAAATAATGGCCCTTAGTGATTTTTATGAATTTTTATTTGAATTATAGTTATAACATCATAAACCTATAATCAATTATTATAAATAGGTCCATGTATAACATGTTATTGAAACGGAATTACTTTCAAAATTGTACGTTACTTTTTAATTTTTATCGGTGTATAATTTCGACTCTTGGTTCGGATTTGTTATCTTTTTATTTAAAAAATTGACTATTAATTATAGTAATTAAAAATCATTAATATCTTCTAAGTGGGAGTCTTAAATTCTATTTCTGTTTATTTATCATTTGAAATTTCGAAAATAAAATTTGGTTTTTTACAGAAATAAATAAATACATGTCTATTATTCGGAAGTAATTAATTTATGTTAGTCGAGAACAAGTTTCTCAGGAATATAATAGTTTTTATTTAAGGTTTTTTACTTCTTAGTACTTTGTATTTACCATTACCGGATTAAATTTGAAAGTTAGCCGCTTTAATCGCCCTCTTAAAGGAAAGAAAATTGTCTATGTTGTGTACTTTCAGATCTTTTTTACCTCCCCCATTCAATCAACGTTCTGTTCTATATAACTTTTAAGTTTCTTTATACTTTATATTTTAGTTTTGTCTCTTTTTTCTTTGTAATACACAGACAACTTTTCGGGTAATGGTAATAAATAGTGAGTGAACAATAAAATTAGGGGGGAAATATGACGCATTATAATATTTAAGCTAATTTAACCTTCTCGAAATTATGCTAAAAAAGTGTTTAAATTACGGATGGTTCGGCTTTTGTAGCTAATTATTTTCTGAATTTTTGACGGTTTTTACAATTGCACACGTAGAGAGCATTCCCTTCCTCGTTTTCTGCCAAGTGCCATTGTCAAAACGGGTAGAAGCTAGCAGCTACCATCGGGGCACAATGATAAATTAGCACTGTTGTTTATGGTGTTTAATTAGTGAAGCTCCTTGCAAAAAACATCATTCGTCTTTATGGTTTTTCGCACTCCTTATACACGATTACTATAACACAAGTACAACAACAATAATACCATTAGTTGTAACCTTTTAAGTGCAACGATAGATTAGTAGCAATAGAAATATTGCCATAAATTAATCGTGTATATTTAAATCAAAAGTCTAGTGACTTTTTAAAATATCCATATTCACAATAATTTTGTATAATATTAAAAATAATAAATGTTAACATATTGTAATTAATGTTAACAGTAGCTATAAAAAGATGTAAGTAATTGATTATAGGGACATTTAGGAAGAGGGGCTTAGTATTCCTGTTAAAATGAGCACGCTAGAATTGTTTTGCGTTGTATGAAACAGTTTATTGTTAGTGCTTAAGCACCACCAATTTTTTTTAGAAAAACTGCGTCCTTGCAATGAGTTCATAGATGTGATGTAGATTAATTTAAAAATCTGTAGCTTTAGTTCTTATAAATCTTGTAGTACCCGTGTACCTTTATTTCTTATCGTAACATTTTGGGTAAAAAAGTACTAGTGGCCTCTGGTGCCAGGTAGTCAATATTTTTCATTCGAGTTGCCTCCCAAGGCTATACGTATTTCCTCCCAACGATCCCTTTTAAACTAGGCAAACTTAATAACATATAAGTATTAGTTTTTTTATAGCTTCACATACCTACTTGCTGCTTGCCATCTGCATACTACCTTACATTATTTTAGAGTAATTAATCATAGTGTAAATTTTTTACAAAATTGCCCCTACTAAATAAAAATTAAAATCAAATACCACGCATCACTGCTTTATAAATATAAATACTAGCATAATAACATTGATATCATTATTAAAAAAAATATGAATACATATTTTTTGAAATCAGATAACGATATTCTTGGGAGTTAATTCAGAAAAAAAAATGTATTACCTGGCACGGGAGGCAACTAGTATTTTACAACCTAAAGATAACAATAAGGAAGAGAGACAATTCGTTGCGTTCGTTTCACCATTGTATGGATTCCTGAAAATAAAAAACCAAACAGACTTAAAATGTAAATACAATAAGATACAAATTATTTTTTGGCTGAAAATATGTATACAGGTATCGAAAAAAACACAGTTTTTCTCGTGTATAATGAAGTGGGCGACGAACAGTTAGGGTTGACTGTGGGCAGAAACATACAGCTGCATTACAATGACATGGAACCCCAAGAAGACCACAACAACACATTTATATTTGAATATCAAGTCAATGATGGACAGTAAGTATATTGAACGCTATACTGACGATTAGGTCGAACTGATAATTTTCCTAAAGGATTTCCTTTTATTATTCCTGTGTAGATCATTTTATGCCAAATGTTGCTTCTAACCCTTAATTATCGAAAAAAACACGCCTATTTATTGAAAGATACATACAAATGACACTAAATAAGCATTTTAATAATCATATAAAAAAAGTTTCAGTCTACTTTAGCCTAACGGCTAAAATGATAAAACATGGAATATGCTTTATCGTGCTGGCTCCTGTTAATGATTATTTCTGATCTATAATCTCATTACGATTTATGATGATAATATAGTCTTAACTATGTGTTTTGGCCGAACGTTTACATTAAGACAACGACTCGTTATTATTTCGATGGCATCTTATATGTTATTAAACGTTTAAAGTAGGGGCGCTACTTTAGTATCGCTATTTAGTGTCGTTTTCGGGCTGGGCGGACAAGGCTAAAGCATGTTCTATGCTAAAATGTGTATACGTCGTTTTACATTTCAGGTGGCATACATTGTCTTTCAGCGTGAAAGGAAATTCAGTTACGATGATTTTAGACTGCGAACAACAAGATACGCAAGAATTAAAAAGAAACACTACAATAAGCAAGTTAGGAATTACTCTGGTCGGTCAACAGCTCGATGAGAGGTTTTTTTCGGTATGAAATGCATAAACTTAAATATTTATAAATATTAATAAGGAAAAACCGAACATAAAATATATTATACCAATACATTTTACATGATCCTTATAATTCAACTACATAATTTATGTGAAGAGTTAAAGCCTTCGAACAGGAGTTTACCATTATATTTATACCTGACTTCGGCAAGAGACATAAAATTTTCATTTATGTATCATAATATGATGATGAATATTATTATTGTAGTATAACAGAATATGAGTGTTTGATCTATAAAATCGAATATTCAGTCGTAATTTGTTGATAAGTAATAATTTTGCGCTGAGAAAACGGACGCTATAAACTCCAATAAAATAAGTAATAACAAATCGACTAACATACTAAAAAAAATCACCCCCTCCCTCCCTACTCGGGACAATTAAAATACCTTGTTTCCAGAAAACGACCAACGTCTATAAAAGTATTTAGTTGTATTTCAAAAGCGAATAGCGCATAACAACGCCACAAGGGGCTTGCCAACATTAGTACACGTTATTTACTTCAGTGAGCATTTCAAACAATAACATTTGAATAGCAGCTATGTATTGTATAGGCCGCGTAAAGTCCCGAATGATTATAGATTATAATATTTGCTATTTCCTCAATTACCTATTAATTTTCCAATCTGACAAATTAATGAAAGCGTTTTGACGCTAGCTGTTGTGGTAAATACTACCGTAATTGGGCAGAACCGAGTTAGATCCACAAAATACACATTGATTTGAAGAACTTGTTACAGCTAGGGTTGCCTAACCGTTAGCCAAAATTATTATTACTAAATGGACTATGAGCATCGTGAATAGCGTAGTTTTGAGCGATGGTAACAAGCAGTAATTGCTTATATTGTTTATAATTGATTTATTTGTAAAGACTAAGGTGACATGATAAAGTCAATAATTTAATAAAACCATTTATTAAAACAAAACATAATTCTGCGAGGCTAGGTATTAATAATTGGGAAAGTTCACATTTACTTTTTACTAACTAATAATAATAACTTCAAACTTAATAAGTCACTTTGAAACTGTTCTAACTTATCAGTTTAACGAGTTATTTTTTTCATTTTTCATGCATTATAACTTTAACAAGTCGTTATTCAAAAACATAAAATTTACCCTGAAAATTGATTTATTTATACTTAACTGTATATCATAAAAATTGCTTAAAAAACAACGTTACAAGCATTGGCTTGAGTTTTTCCAAAGTGTTAAATGTCTTGTAAAAACCCATAATTACAGACTGAGATGAAAATATATTAGTCAATTTTAATAATTTATCTAAAAACTTTGATTTAGTTACTAATTTTTTCAAACCGTTTGTAATTTATCCGACCGATTGTTGAATCATTTTATTTTGTAGATATAAATAAAATGAGTGTAACAATAATTATAATCATCATTTATAATATTGTTAAATAACATACTTTAAAATAACGACGTAAAAAATCATCAGGTGACAGGCATAAAATAATCTGTACACAAACAATTCTAACACCTAGCAGCATTAATACACGTATAGTGAATTTTAGTTTAAATATAAAAACGGAAATAAAAAACATAAAGAACACAAATAGGCATTTTTTCAGGTTAGCTCAGAAGTGACTACACTTCAATATTTAAAAGTTATAAAATACTCGGTGCGCTTATTTTTAAAAATCTTATATATGAAAAAATGGAACATTTCACAGTTGGAAATTATAAAATGTTTTTTATACCCAGGCTAATGAACAAAGAGAAACGGTGTTTATTATTACCATTTTTTTACTTTTTAAGGTAGATAATGTCATCGTACATTATGTTAAAGGTTTTGAAACTGTTTTCTAAAATAATTATTGAGCCCCCTTACTAGTATGAATATTTTTAATTTCATACTACTTTAGAAACACACACGAATACGCGTTTCTAGCGTGATGTGAAAAAACGAATAAATAAAACCTAAAATGTTATTAAACTAATTTTAGACTATCTATGTTTTTTGCTCTTATTATGTGGTCATTGAGATTTTGTCTAATTAGAGCATTCATAAACGTTTTAGGGTGATATTCAAGAGTTAAAGTTTTATTCGACACCAGATGCTGCTTATGATTTTTGTACCAATCCTCCCAACAATAGTTGCAATAAAACAAGCATCGTTGATAACAATTTAGACAATTCCGAGATAACCGATGAAATCGATAAATATCCTACAACTTCTTATTCGTCTAACTTAGATACCCTTGTGAGTATTATTTGATAATTAACTTGAACTCGGATGTACAAAACGTAAGACCAAAATTTATTTTAGATGAATAACTCGATAATTCCAAATTATGCAAACAAAAATTATTCAATTTCCTCCAAAAATCGTATACTATCTGAATCTGTCTGTATTCCAGCAGTTCGTGGATATCCGGGTCCACCTGGAGAATCAGGGGTAAGTCGATACAATGTATAAATAAAAATTTAATATTTTGCAAAATTCGATTTTTGAATTTGTATACGTCTATCAGTTTTTTTTAATCGTGTTTTGTAAATAAACAAATAAAAAGCCTTTTCGATAATGTTGACAAACTAAATTGTATTTTATCATTATCCACATATTTGTACTCTAGCCACAAGGCCCAAAAGGAGATCCCGGTCGTGACGGTATAGACGGATTTACTGGCGTCCAAGGCCCTCCAGGGCATGTGTTTCTAATACCAGTACGTACCACATAGTCAAAGCTAGTAATTGACTATTCCCAAAAGAAGCTGTTTTAAAAATATCTTTTTCATTTTAGTTGAATCAGAATCAAGGAGAAAAAGGTCCCGACAACCAAGTCGAAATGTTTAAACAAATGCTTTCACAACACATGGTGAGGCTCTGTTGGGTTTTTAAAAAAATGCCACGCTTACTTTTCCAATACACGTCACAGCAATCTAATATAGCTTTTTTTCAGATGTCAATGCGAGGAAGTGATGGACCAATGGGTATGACAGGCGTCGTCGGACCTGAAGGTTAGTTATTAAATAAAATTTTACTAATTTTCACATTTTTGTAACAATAAATAACGAAAGCTTATCAAAGGACCTCCTGGCCCCGAGGGGTTGAAAGGCGATTCAGGAGAACAGGGCGAACAAGTACGATTACTTATTGATTTTTTTAATCATCACTTATGTATAAATATATGAACGGTATAATGTTTAGGGACCAAGAGGTGCTCGAGGAATGACTGGACCCCCAGGTTAGTAGTTTTGTAGGAATTGATACATTTTAATTTTGTTATAATAATTTTTACTTGATAGTTATTATTTATTAGGCTTAAATTTTGTATAATTTAACTCGCATTATTAAAACATTGTTTGTCAAATAATTTCGTTAAAGAAATAAGAATGTTACTTAGTATTTTATTATTAAGATCCGCATCAAAACTAAAATTATTTATTTTTATAATTGTATTATTGCAGCTTTACTTAATTGAGTTGAATACACCTTAATTAAACAATATGAAATTAGAAAGAACTTACATACTAAGAGATTGCTTTTTATTTTAAAATTAAAACACGTTAATATAATAGCTTCATTTCTTTGATTATTTAATTTTTCATTTTAGAATCTCAACCTCACTACTTGGGAAAATGTTTTTATGACAACATCATTTCTACGACCGTCGTATTTTCATATTCCGACAGTCGACACAATGTTTAAATTAAAAACTATATTATTGTATATTTTTATTTAGTGTCCATGAAAACACAAATTTAGTTCATTTTCTTAGTTAATATTATTACAAGGGTTTTAACGAATAGGTCATCTTATTGCATTAGTTTAAAAAAACAATACCCTAAACAAACTTAAAATAATCTCTTATTATAATTTAAATATATTTTGTGATTTGACAACTTATTATTTTATTATTAACCTGACTTTCACAGGTCGTGATGGTCACAGAGGTAGATCGGGTAGAGATGGAGAACGAGGAGTGACTGGACCACCTGGCGTAAAAGGAGAACCTGGTGTCCAAGGAGCCATAGGTAAAATTAAAACACTATAATAATACAAGTATAATTATATTGTATTATATTGTACGAACCGCTGCGTACTTTTCTCTGAAATGATGTAGACTAAGGTTCCCTATTAAGTTCTTATATTTGATTTTACTTTTTAATTATCATTTTTTACAAAAACATCATACCCATATAATATGTTTAAATTTCTCCCCTACACTATAATAATAGACCTTTAGAAAGTATAAAGATCTATATCTAATTATTTAAATATTTCTATGTATTCATTTCTAATATAATTTTTTTTTCGTATACATTTTATTTTTTCTTTACTCTTTTTTGGTTGACAATACACATATAACTTAATGCATTATTAGTAGTCTTCATAAATGGTACACAATACACATACATATTAATTCAAAAAATGTTTGCAAAATAAATGACAACTGTAAACAATAATTTATAATTATAAATAGTAATTAAATTTGTTCATGTGTATTTTTGTTTTTTTAAGGATTAACCGGAGAAAAAGGAGATCGTGGTTTTCCGGGTAAACATTTTATATTAAAATACATTTTACAATTGGTATTATTATTTTAATATTTTACCCCAAATTTTCAAGAAAATACATTAGGCCGCTAGTCAAATAGTTAATATAGAAAAACACCTAACTTTTGAATATCTCCAAAGTTAGGTTTTTTTGTTGTAAAAGTCATCATTTGTATTTTTACAACTAATCAGCAATTTTAATTTTGTTTATCATGGTAGTATTTTCTATAATTTACGATTTACATACTAATACTTTGTAAAACGGGACATTTTTTAATTCATGATTGTAAAGGTCAAGTTGGTGCTACTGGTCCTCGTGGCAATGATGGACCTCGAGGGGATGAGGGTCCTCAAGGCATAGCTGGTTTACCCGGAGAAATGGTAAGGGCTTACTTTTATCCTTTAAAAATATATAAGTAGAAAAAATTCGATAGTTATAAAAACAAATTAAAATTAAAAAACATCACAGTATATAAGACAACGTTGAAAGTATATATTTTCTCTCTCTTAAAGTATTATTTAAGTCACTTCTACCCTGTTGTTATCTAACCACTTCAACATATATTAAGTTCTTCTATTAGATAAAGTTAACTCGATTCAGGAATATCTATTATTTTTAAATTTATTTTATTTTCTAGAATTTGTGAGTATTAAAAAACATGTAGGTTAATTAAATTCATATGGAGAAACTAAATACAAATATTTTTATTTTATAACTAAACCCTCAGATTTGTACACAGCACAGGTTATGTACTAAATGCCAATAGAGGAGATACTTGATGACATACAAAAAAAAAATCGATAATTGTGTTTTTTTGCATTACATTTTATAAATGGTACATTGGGCTGAATCAAACAAAAAAATATTTTGCTTCTCTCTAAATCGTTTTTATTTGTCAAAATAAGTAATTTGTTCTTGGACAACTCTAAGTAGTTCGTATAGAGCTAATTATTTGATAATTAAGAGATTCCTATTGATTTTAAACACACATACATATAGGAACAATATACCTAGGATTTTCGAATCGGTAATGACACGGTAACTGTAGAATTGTCGATAACATTTTCACGTGGTTGTTTAACGATGCAACTCACATACATTTTCGGTTAAATTGTTAATAATGTTCAGAGATAATAAGCTTTCGATGAAACAACGTATTATACTTAGCGACTGGCAGACTAATCAGCATTCATGTAGGGGTTGCACATAGGCATTCGTTTTACAGGTAATCCAATTCAATGGTTGTATACTCGTCGCGTTACATACAATTTGTTTAAGTTGTTCGCTTTCAATTTGTAGAATAAATTATATATTATATATATATATATATGTGTGTGTGTGTTGCATTTGTGTTTATTAAAATATTACAGTCATTTTCTGACTCAATGAGTACCTAACTCTCAGTGATAATCATCGTTGAAAGTCTACCGTCACTGTCAACGGTAATGTTAAATTGTATTACAAACTTTGTCTATACTCACATATTATATTATCATACTCTTGATGAATAATTTAAGTCACAAGACATGTATCACAGTATTACAACTGTTTCATTCGTAGAAGTTTACATGAACGCTCAAACAGATGTTATTTGTAATTAAATAATTACTATGAACGTTGTATAGAAACAATATCACCCCGTATTTAATCTATGTAAATTCTGTACAGTAAGTACAAAATACATGTTATTACTCTAAATTTTGATTTTAATCGTGATGTTATAAATGACTCAAGTATAAAACTACTTACAAAATATTTCATTATAACTTACATCCATTCAACCCTCGCGTATATTTTAAAGGATATTAGGACAATATTACTCATTCCAATCAATAAGCGTAATTAAACAAAATAATTATTTTTTAATCTAGTAGGTAAAAGAAAATGTATAAATATCTGTGCCTTTTTTTGGTGACAAAGTTTACTCGTATTTCAATCACATATTATCACTTGTAGGTATACAGCTAATATAAAACATATCAATAAATAAATACTAAGTATCAGTTAAGATCTAAGCACAATAAACGATTATTTGTCAATAATTTTAGGGTCCCAGAGGTTTTTCTGGCTCTCGGGGATTTCCTGGCTTACCAGGCCCACCAGGAATAGCTGGAGCTGAAGGTCCAGCAGGTAACAACACTAAGATTTAAATAATATCTAACGACTTTTTAAAACTTTTCTATGTTGACATTCTTTCAAATCAAATGTTTCATTAGTGTGGTGTAACCTGTTTAATAATTAAATATTTCGTTGACTTTATAAAATACAATTTTGTAGTATTTTAGTTCAGTAATATTTTAATAATAAATTAATATTGAGAGTTCTATATACAATTAAAACAACTCAATACTAAATTTATTTTATTGATTTTTAGGTCCAAAAGGAAATACTGGAAACACAGGTATACGTTATATTATATTTAATATGAGCATATTAATTAATAAATACTAATTTCTATTAGTCTAATAATAAGTATAATTTATAATGTCTTGCTGATCGTCGTCATAGATTAACCGTAATTTTGTTCATAAACTTCTATCTGGTGCAATCGATTCCCCATCTTTGTTAATGCTGCTCAACTTTAGAGTCCAGTCTCGTTCAACTCGATTTCATGCCCCTTTTGTTGTCCCTTTTTCATCCACTAATTATTCCTTTAACTCCCCTATATCTCGTCTCATGCGTATTGCTAACGAGGACTCATCGTTTTCAATGTCTTAAATTGTATAGCTTTATTTTAATATTACTTCTTTTTGTAAATAAATATAAATATTACTGTAAATTTTGTTTTGGGCACTTGTGCCTGTTAAGTAGATAAATAAATAAATAATGAAAGCAAAAAAATTTTCAAAATCATACCAATTTAGTAGGGAATTATTTTGTTTATTAAGAGGATGCCTCACTAATTTATTAAGTATTGATAACAATCGATTCTTCATAAAATCTTAATATAAAGCTAAAAAATAGTGTTTACTTATTCAAATAGTGATGAAGATTCTTTTTATTGTATTAGTAAATATTTTTTTTACATTCTATCAAATCTACGTCTATAAGACTAATTCCAATTTTTCCCCAAAAACCTATTGTTATATTTCAATGTGTTTATTCAGTAGACATACGATAATAATCTGTATGGTTTTTTTTTTTGACACCAATTTTGGAGAAAAAAATAAACTTAATTCGCCAATCGCCAATATTAATTTATGTACTATTTTGTTTAAAACGCTTTTTTTAATTATATTTCTAACAATACATATTTCAATTATCAAGCTTTAAATGCAATATATTGTTCATGTCTGCGTTTACTATCGACTTGATATTTTTTAAAATACGAAAGTTATATATTACTTCACAAATTGTTTATTGCACTGATGACATTATAATAAATACAATAGTTATTACAAATTAAAAACACTACCATCTTGTATAGAATAATAACTAATGATGTGTTATGCTTAAGTTATTTGACTGTATACACTATAATATTTTTTTTTACCAAAATAATTAAATAAACATATTAAAATTAAGTCTTTTCGTATTTTTAGGGAATCCGGGCCCTCCCGGACAAGTAGGTCCGCCTGGTCCTACAGGCACTATTGGAGCACCTGGAGTGTTAGGGCCGCCAGGAATAATAGGTAGGTAATGTAATTAAATATGTATTTTACTATGAAATGTTAAAACAACAATAAATTACTGTGGTCGTATTTACAAAAATAGTATTTATCTTTCAGGTCCTCCAGGAAAACCAGGGTAAGTTAGGAATTCGTTTTTTTGAAAAATCTATTTTTTATTACCAAGTTTAATAAGTTTTAATTATTTTATTTCTTGTTTTTGTAATCTAACTTCATAATTTATTGCTTAACATTTTAATTATGCTAAAAAAGAGAAAATTGACACCTGATCTGTTTATTTACAAAACTTAATTACCTCATTTTTGTTCTAACAATTCAATAACAATGTACAAGTTTATAAGTCATTTCACAACATTTTAAATTAAAAATAAAACACCCCTTTTTCTTACTGTAAATTTTTGGAAAAAAAAGTATTTTGAAGAAGGTACATTTATTGTCTGAAATGATATAATTTTTTTAATTAAGAGCGAAAAGTTGGGGCGGGATTTCGTATTTCTAATTTGTTTTTCGGGGAAGATGCATTTGATGTTATAACAATTGTATTGAAAATTAATAGCAGTAGAGAGTATTCACAACGATACTTATTAACTGGATTGAAGAATAAGGATTTGTTTCATAAAAATATTCGTATTCATCCAGGGTGAGCTTGGACACATACAAATAATACCCAATAGAATGAACAAAAAACACATTATTATTGCCTAACTCTAATTAACCGATTAACTGTACAAATAAAACATTTTACTGTAAAGTGCATTATATCGGGTAGGTTACCAGGTTTACCAGGAGCAGACGGGGCACCTGGCCATCCAGGAAATACAGGTAATCATTAATACTTAACAAGATAAATTTTGAAGTTGTAGAAATAGTGCAATACACGTATAAGTATTTAATTAACAGGGCCCGTTGGGGCAAAAGGAGACAATGGTCTACCAGGAGTAGCAGGCCCAGTTGGCTTTTCGGGAGCACGTGGAGTAAAAGGGGATATTGGTGTTCGAGGAGTTGCGGGGGATAAAGGTATACAAAATAAATAAACATAAAATTTGACACTAAAATTAGTGAACTCATCTAAACTAATATCTGATATAATATTATTCAGGAGACAAAGGAGAACGAGGAGCTGATGGCGAAAAAGGAGATCAAGGAATTAAAGGTTTGTAGCATTGAAACGGTAATTGTACTTAATTATTTAACAGTTATAATAAAAAACTAAAATAATTAGTTATATGATAATAATTTAAAATGTTTTTCAAGATTAAATCGTTAGTACAAATTTAGACAAAACTATAATATGAAAATTTAAATAATTTTTAAAATACCTCTTCAGTTCAGCATAGATGCCAAAACATATTATATTGATAGTAAAAAATATTAAATTTGATAATAGAAGCTATTGAGTCAAACACAATTATTTCGAATGAAATTTTGTCCATCAAAACAAACAACTAAAGTTGTTACTAAATGATTTAACACTTAACTACTCAGCAATTATTGCTACTTGCCAGTTACTTGAAAGTTGAATGTAATTCATTAATATTCAAAACAATTCATTACCTTTTAGTGTGTATCGCACATATAAATTGTACACAAAACGGATAATCCTCCACGGACGAGGAGGAATTGAGTATCGAGACCTAAATATCTATTTAGATGATGATGGAATGTTGATATTAAACAAGAGTCATATATAATGACAACTATCTATAGCAAAATTACAAATTTGAATAGAAAATCATTATGGCATTCCAAATAATATTCAATCAATATTAAATTGTATTATACTCCCACGTTTTACATGAATCACAATTGAACAACCTTTGACGTCTATTGGAGTTCCATTTCCTCAATAAAGGCATATATTTTCTAGGTGTATATGTAATGAAGGGACTAAATTCCAAGAGATTTATCCTCATAAAAAAATAAGTACTTAAAAAATATATATCTAATAAAAAATTATACAATTATTGTGGTTGAACCTTTTTTTTTTCGACTTCCTCGTTTTATACGAGTAATAAACTATAACAAATAAACAATAATATAATCTTAAATCACTTATTTTCTAATATTTGAAGCAAATCTATTTATTTTGATAAATTAAAATAAGTAAAATTTGTAATAAAAAATATAACAACAAGGTAAGTATTTGTCAGTTTTTTTAATCTAATGATTGGTTAACTTACAATCTATAAAAAAATTAGAAATTAGGTTTCTAAATCTATATGAAACATTATAATAACACAAAAATAATAATAATAACGCCTAGACATTTTTATCTTCATTTTTTCATATAACTTTAAGTTTATGACCAACAGCGAAAATAAAGTTTTTATATGTTGTTATAGGAGAGCCTGGATTGGTCGGTCCACCCGGTCTAGTGGGCATTGAAGGTCCTGAAGGACCAAAAGTAAATATGCAGCATAATATAAATTTCGATTAGAAGTAATATATTATTAATAAAAAAAACCCTAAAACCTTTTGGCAATAATATCAATTGGTTCAACATGATGATATGTTCAACATTTATAGAGTTTAAAACACATTAATTCTATACTACTAATTATTTTAGGGATCGGAAGGACCACATGGAGAAAGTGGTACCATAGGATCACCAGGTAATTGTTCTTTACATATAGGTATATTATTTTCTTACAATAACAGTTTAGCATAAAAAATATTACATCTTTTAAAGTAAATAGGGTTTATATTTATGTTCAAAACAAACAAAAGTCTTTTAATTTACAAGTCAAATTGTCTTTATTGTTTATAATAGTTAAATACGAAAAAAATTTAGTAAAATGTAAATTATATTTATTTAACTTTACTAATTGACTATAGCTATTGACTGTAGCTATTTTTTGTTTTTTTGGCTATTCGTATTTCGAAATAATTAACGAGATAAAAATGTACAGGAGAAAAAGGTAAACCAGGACCAAATGGCTTACCTGGATATCCAGGATCACCAGGCGAAAAAGGCGACAAAGGTAATTACGGGAAAGACGGTATGCCAGGGGAAAAAGGAGAGCGGGTAAGATATCATTATTAAATATAATTTAATTATATTACTTAAATTCAATAAAATCTAAAAAAAAAACTATGACTGGGCTGTGGCTAGACGCAATAATTAATTATTTGATTTAAACGATATTTCCTGTACATTAGGGTGGTCCAAAAAAATCAAACTTTTTTTTTTAGCTTTCTTTCACCGATATTCAAATTTCTCATGATGAAACAAAATTTTGTGAATTTTTTTAGTTTTTTAAAATGACTTTTAGGGGTGCCGGATCACCTTTTTTGAAAAATTGATTTTTCTTTTGGTTTTTTTTTCACATTTATTCGATTGTCAAATAAAAAAGTTCACCTTTACAGAAATATTTTGAATGATGTATACAACCCGAGGCAATTGTTTGCACAAAGAAAAAAAACGAATTTTCGTATCAAAGAACCAAAACAACGTAAAAAAAATTGGATATCATGACGAATCATTGGTCTAAAGTACTCTAAAAAAAATTATTTTTGTAAAACAATATATTGTAATTTATTCTTTGTATAATAACAAAGGAAAAACATAATAAACATTTGATAATATCTTTTTTCAACATATTCAAAAGAAAATTAAAAAAGAAAATAACAAAAAAAAAACTCATTCAATAATTTTTTCAAGAAAGTCAGTTCTAAGAGAAAGACAAATATATATCTATGCATATAATATATCTCGACATATATATCATTGTTCATATATTAATTTAATATTTTATACGGAATGAAAAATAAAATGAACAAAAAGCAATACAAATCATTCTTCTCCTTTAAGTATGGAAGATCGTGTCGACTGAGGGAATTTCTTTCGATGTGTTTCGATGATCTGTATGAGATATTGTTGTTGGTCTTTATGTTTCGTCAAGATACAATTAAAATCAGAAATCTATGCAATACCCCTCTTTGCCAAATCGTTAACGACCTTCAAAGTTTTTATTTTTTCTTGACCGTCAAGAAACACAGCGTCAGTCTGCCAGGAATCTGGGTATATCTCAGTAAATTTGAGAGAAATATCATTCATTGAAAACAAATTTCTACTGTTTTTAGTAATAAATCAGTTATTTTTTTTCTATTTAATATTACATTTGTTCACAGTGATGCGTTGCAGAGAGTTATCAGAATCTTTTTTTTCCATTGCAACAACAATTTCTCTTTTTTCATTCTCTGAAAGTCGAGGATCAAATAATGCTAATCCCGATAGCGTCTCAGTCAAGTACCACAAGTGTCCTGAACATTTTTGATAAGCAATCTCTGAAATTTTTCTATTTATCACTTTATATTCGACTAAGTTCTTCAACAACTCAAGATCATTAACTGGTGCATGAATTGGGCTTTGACAAGTGTACCAATTTTTTAAATAAATCCGAATAATAAAGACGTTGAACTGACGTAAGTTGTTTAAATCACTTTTTTTCAGTTTCAATTGTCCTCGGAAAAAATATAATTTCAAACAAATTAATAAATAAACCATTTTAGCCATCCATCTCGCACGATGATAAGCTCCAGGTGCAAGAATTTTTTTTTTTCCTTTTTCCTCATCTCTCAGAAAACACAAAGCTAATTGTAACACATTTCTCTATAATCATCACTTGTTTGAAAGATGAGTAATTGTTGTTTATTTTCTTTTTGAATTTTTTTTAAACATGTTGAAAAAAGATATTATCAAGTTTGTATTATGTTTTTCCTTTTTTATTATATGAAGGATAAATTAAAATATATTGTTTTACAAAAAAAATTTTTTTTTAGAGTACTTTAGACCAATGATTCGTCATGATATCCAACTTTTTTTACGTTTTTTTGGTTCTTTGATACGAAAATTCGTTTTTTTTCTTTGTGCAAAAAATTACCTCGGGTTGTACACATCATTCAAAGTATTTCTGTAAAGGTGAACTTTTTTATTTGACAATCGAATAAATGTGAAAAAAGAAACATTTTTTTTTTCAAAAAAGGGGATCGGCACACCTAAAAGTCATTTTAAAAATCTAAAAAAATTCACAAAATTTTGTTTCATCATGAGAAACTTGACTTTCGGTGGAAGAAAGCTGAAAAAAAAGTTTTTTTTCTTTTGGACCACCCTACTATACATAATACATCGTTCTTACACTAGTAACTTATAACAAACTTAACTATTTAGCAAAAACAAAATGTATTATACTTTATACTTATAATGATGTACTCTTTTTTTTAATGGACATTTTACTAATTATTTATTTTTTTAATGATTTTATTATTATGATTTTTTAAAAAAAAAATACCTTAAGTACTACTGAAAGATGGGTTGTAAGCAACGAATTTAATACTGAATAAATAATATTTTATGACTTTTAGGGTAACACTGGATTGCCAGGAGAGCGAGGAGAAATAGGACCCCGTGTAAGTATGCATAATATAATATGTTATTATGTTAATACATAGGAAGTAGCATTTATATATATATATATATTTATATTTGTTTCTTTTCATGTATTAGTATTTGGGATGATTTGGAGCAACTTTGCATTACTTGTAGTAAACTTTACCCATAATATTCTAAGTTCTAACGCTGTTCTTGTTAAAAATTCAGTGTATTTTTTTTTTTACTCAAACAAAATTGGAGGGTATGGAAAGACTTTTATATTATTTTAGCTCGTATACTTAAAATACTTCTTTTTGTTTAGCGCATATGATTTTCATTGAATTTCATAGGTACAGCCATTTATTTATTGTATTATACAACATTTTAAACCATAACTCTTTTAATAATAATCTTGGTTATATATGTGTTTACAAAATGAAGGTTTTATGTTAGTATAATATAATGCTCGTTTACGACTTTAGGGATTTAGAGGGACAAGAGGACGTGCAGGAGCTGAAGGAATTCCTGGACCCAAGGTATGTTAATTAAATTTGTTTTATGTATTATATAGAAATTATACAAATTTCTATTGGCTTAAAGTTAATTACTTACCAATCTGAAAACATATGTATTGTTAACTTAATAAATAATTTGGCTAAAGCTAGTAATGGAGCACGACTGGGACCCGTAAAAACAATTGTGTAAATCTTTGATATTTTAAGAATAATAAAAAACCAAACAAATTAAAACTGTCAAAATACAACTATGTTTGTGCGATTGACTAAAACAACAAATACGTGTATACTTTGAAGTTTTTAAATTTAACTAAACAACATTTATCCCAAGAACTTAAATTAAACCCGTTAAATCATAAATACGTTAACTTCTATTATTATTGTTAGAATTATAGTACCTAACCCGACATTACTATATAACAGTAAACAGTTAATTATTTTTGACAGGGTGATACTGGGCAACCTGGAACTACCGGCGCCCCAGGAGAACGAGGAATACCCGGTTTGTACCTTATAAACGTTATTGTATTTCGTATATCACTCATAATACTTTTTTTATAATTTTTACTAAAAAAATAACTCAATAGAAATTATCTATAAAACTCTAAAAAAAAAAGGATTCCTTAAAAGTGTTATGATTGGACTTGATTGAACAAATGAAACAGACCAAATGAGTTTATGACTAGTGTTTATTAACAGCTTCGTTTGCATAGGACAGGCGCGGACGGATTAAGAGGTTTCACCGGCCCATCCGGAGCTCCAGGTTCTCCAGGTAAAGATGGACTTCCAGGATTTCCCGGAGAAAGAGGTCCTCCAGTGAGTATATTTTTTAACAACAAAAATTACTACAACGGGCAACGATTATTAAAAAAGGTTTTGTTATGAATAATATTTTCGACTACTAATTGCAGGGTGATACGGGACCGATGGGCGTTACTGGCGTGCCTGGAGTAGTTGGACCACCAGGATCAACAGGCGAAGTTAGTATTTTACTCATGTGCAAACGATTTGGTGATTGAATGTTTATCATAAAATTAAAATTAAATCTCTAGGTAGGGTCTATAGGCGAATCAGGTCCTTCTGGACAACCTGGATTGCCAGGAGAAGCAGGAAGACCCGGCGATGCTGGTAAGACTTTAATATGTAATTCAACATAAGGTACTATAAAATATTTGCATACGCTTTAAGTCTTATAAATAATATGTTAATTATTATTGAATGACAATATAATATATAATATATATATATATCAATGTCATGTTTTCAAAATTTGTTTGAGGGGAGGGTTCCAAAATGTTATGAAAAAATGTAAACAATAATAAAAGCGAAAAATCCAGAAAACCCAGATTTAAATACCTGGATTTTAGTCGTATGCCTAATTTCTTCCTTTAAATGAGTATTCGCAGTTTTATTTTAAGATTGGTACTTGACAATACGCATATCTTAATCTTAGCAAACACAGTCAGAAGAATAAATATTTTTGTTACAGGAAAAGAAGGACTACCAGGGCCAGTCGGATTACCTGGTAAATCGGGAGAACCTGGTTCTCCGGGTTTACCAGGATTTCCAGGAGATAGAGGTAATTACCATTCAAATATTTGTTATAGTGCATATAAATTTAGCAACATTACAATAATACAACATAATTGAAAAACTGGCCATTTGTTACATTTTTAGGGCTGCCGGGAACACCTGGAGCAACTGGATTGAAAGGTTTGATTACTTTAGACTAGTTATTTTAACTGTTTTGTGTTCGGAAAAATATTTTAAACCGTTTTTAATTGGTATAAAGCATTATAAAGTAGTGCAATACATACACATGTTCACCAAGCTAATTCGAGAACGTGACTATTTTTATAACAAAACTGCAGAGAGCTCTAATATCATTGTGTTTAATCTCAAAAATACTATGTTAAACATATCTGAAGGTTATGATGTAATATGTAAACGTGTTTAGGAAAACGCTTGGGAATTAAGTAGTAAATATTTAATATTTAATATTCCCTAGATAATGTTCTCATTTAAGTATGGGGTTATCTTATAATATTCAAAACACGACTGTTTGGATAGATCTTAATATCGTATCTATTTATTTGCAACTGTCCAGAAATTTCTCAATTCAAATTTACATTAATCTCTTTTTAAAGTATCCTGCCAAGCCTCGCCTATTTATATTTATGTACCTATCTATTGAATATTAATTATTAAAACCCACCGAATATTACTTTTTTACAATTTTGATCTTTAAAAAGGCAAAAAAACGTGAAAGTTTCAGTGTTTCTTAAACTATTTAAATTTATTCGTAAATAACTAAAATTGTTAAAGCACATTCATTTTGAAAACAATACTACAAAACTATGATGTGTACTGTTGTGGGACAAATAGAATTGTAAAAAAAGGCACTAATAAATTAAAAAAAGAGCTGTCAACCCGAGAAGGGTTCAATCCCGAGATTAAACGGGTAGTTGGTCGTGCCCACTGTCCACTAATCAATGGTCCGCAGGAATATTGTGGCAAATAAACCCTATACTATCCATATATAATACAAAAAAGAAACTTGTGGAGTCTGATTTATAGATGGTACAACTTTGTCTGTCTCTAATCTGAAGCTGACAGTTCTAAGTATTGAAATTCAAAACAATAATTTATACGTGTCAAAAAATATCTATTGAACCATACAAATTTATTTTATTAACAAAATAGTCATTTACTGAAGTAGCTACACTAAGAAATAAATTTAATTTTAAACTTAAAATCAAAAAATAATATATTTGCCTAATAGTTGTATAAGCGTTAAATACCTTTAAATATCTTTTCGTAACTAAATAAACTCAAATTTATTATTATTCATTAAAAACCCCTATTCATTCATAATTCTACAAATAAAACGTCTTATACAGTAAGGGGCATAATTCTATCTATTTCGAGAAAGTGAAATAAAACAGCAGTTTATTTAGTTTTTATATCTTTAAATGTCAGTAGCATTAATTTATCTAAGTGATAGGTATATAACACACTATTCCTGAATTTTATTTTTTTCGTGTTTTTGTTTCATTGAATTGCTTTTAATCAAAATTATTATTTTATTATTTATTACCATCAGTATTTATAAGGTCCGACTTTATATTACCTACACTAGTTATTAAATAAAAAAGTAAAACATTCATAAACATTATTTTTATGCATAACCACTTCTTTAAAGAAAACTCTGCATTATATAAAAATCATACTACGCTATATATGTTATAGGGTTTTAAGCTAAACCCTTATAATAAGCTATAAAAATAAACCAAGAAATGAGAAATAACAATCATTTTCAGTATTATTCTACAATTTATTTTCGTGACCATATAACATAATATACATGTTATTATTTTTCAAATAATTAAATTTTTTAATAGTACTCACTTACCTAAAATAAATGGAAAATTACAACTTTAATATAATAAGATAAATATGTACATAGGTTCTTTTAATAACCAAAAAAAAATTACAATCATAATAAAATATTTTAAATAAAGGGTTTTCTTGTGTATGAGTAATATTTTTTATATACATATGTTATACTAAAATATTGATGCATACATTTTAAATGTATTGTATTACATATGGTTTATTTGTAGTTTATATTTCACTCCGTTTTTGAAGAGTTTATCACTGTAGGTATAGGATATCATTTTTCGTTGAAAATGCATGTTATTTTAGAAAACTAATTAAAAAGTAAATGTACAATTCAATCATTTATTTTAAGCAAATATGTCCGTATAATAATTCATAAGATAAGGAGTAACAATAAAAATACTGTGTTACATTTAATTATAAAAAAATGTGTTCTTTGCTTCTTAAGGCGATGTGGGACCAATAGGCCCTCCTGGATCTACAGGAGACAAAGGCCAACCAGGTGAATCTGGAAAAGAAGGACCTCAGGTAATGCTGTATTTAGTATTAAATTATTGTCGTAGGACTACGTGTTTGTTTCTAAATTACTTTATTACATCATCAAAGGTATCGTTACAAAGTTCCTACTCCGGTATATAAGTACGATAAAATTAAAAATAATTATTTTTAGTCAATCAATAGATACTAAAATTAATAGCGATAACTTAATAACAGCTATACTTACACAATAATCCGTTCCCAATAACCTTTTTTTATTTTTTTTTTTATAGAAGGGATGATTTTATCTATTTTTTACTTGTATGGATGGTAAATTTGCTTAAAAATGTTATTAGTCTGAAAATAGTTAAGTGTAATAACTAATATGAATTAAATTAACTAAGAAATGTTCAAAGGGAAAATTTTGATATTTATTTTTTGCTTATAGAACTTTATAATAAAAGTAAATGTTGTTCAGCGCAACCCACAGTTTTTCATTAAAACGTTTTTCTTAAGTACGGCTTTAGTATTCGTTTATTACTACCTTTTAAACCAAGGGTTGCTCCAATCCCACAATGGTTCTAGTTTCTAACCTAACGGTCTGCATTTTATAAAATATTTTATGAATACGTCAATGTAGAGTTATACTTAATTTATTCTTCTACTATAAATTTTAAAGCAACAAATTTAAGTTTGACTATTATTTGGTAAAATCAGGCAGCACAACGTTATTAAGTTATGAATAACCTATTTAAATTAAAACAAAATGTATTCAAAACAATGTACGTAATCTAAGAACAATTCTCCAATTTGTTTAACCCATTGTAGGCACAATCTTGCTTAACACGTTCACTGTCCAATGACCCCTATTTATTTTTAGATAAGTCCCTAATTTATTAATTAATTAATTAATTAAGTCCCTATCATATCACCTGTCCAATTGTGTTATTATGAATTTTATAGAATATAGTCCATACAAATAAATCTCCAGAGAAATAAATGTTTGAAATAAACTACATGTGGATCATGAACTACTAAAATAGGTTTAACGTGACCCATATATGGATTATAGGACTGATTACTTTTGGTTTAATTTAACATTAGAATAGTGAACGTGAGAAACACTATTTTTATAATACAAAATATGTAATACCTTAATGATTTAAATACAAAGACTTTTAGAGTGATTTTTATCAATCCAACTATTAACATTATTATTAACAATATTCAATAATTTGCAAATAAAAACTTTAGGGCGCTGAAGGACGTAAAGGACCTCCGGGTACTCCAGGTTTAGTCGGCTCAAAAGGAGATAAGGTATATACTGTTAAATATTGTATTCTATACACCATCAAAATTATAGCTTCTGTCTAATTATATGAATAATGAATTTTTCAAGCATGAATTAATATAAAGTTTTTGTTTAATATAGTAAATATTTATCCATTCATATTTGAAAAAGTAATTTATTAAAAAAACGATATAGAAATCTCAACACGAAATTTAAATTGACGATTTTTATGTAAAAAAAAAATTACAATGTGATATTATGAGTGAAAATTTAAAGCATAAATTAATCATACCATAAAAACAAATGGGGTTAGCCAACTCATACCGTATAATATATATTTATTTACTGCTTACATTGTTTTTTTATAGGGTGAAGTAGGACCTGCTGGCCCTATGGGAAATGATGGAATAGTCGGAACTCGAGGCGTTCCAGGTAATGTATATTAAATAATATTTAACACTTAAGACATTTCAATTATTGGTGGGGATCCGAAAATCCAGATTTTCACAAAAAAAAACGCTACTTAAGCTACTTGAAAATCATATAAGTGTTAAATTATTTTACAATATAAAGCTGCGCACCTAAGTAAAATTTTTTTAATAAATATGTAAAAATAAAATAAAACACCAAAAAGATAAACTGCTTTTGGATTTCGGATTTGTCGAAATGCGACAATCCGAAATTCGAAAGCATTTTATAGACAAACTTAAGAATTTTTTTTAAAATTTTTATCAACAAATTTTACTTAGGTGCACATTTTTATATTGTAATAGTATTTAATATTTTTTATAAGATTTACAAGTAGCTTAAATAGCGTTTTTTTTTTTAAATCCGGATTTTCGGATTCCCATCACTACGAAATTCAATAGTAAAAATGCACATGGTATGCATATCTTCATAAAGTGAAAAACAAAATTGATTTTATATAATAATTTTATTTTTTAAATTAAATATTAATAAAAATATATTTTTAAACTGATATATTATACTCGTATTTAGATTATGATACTTTCTATTTTTTAATGTTTAATTTAGCTTCAATATTAAAATAATAATAAAATAATTTTGAAAAGTGGATAGTTATTTAAACGTTGGAAAAATAAATATGATTATAAATGGACTTGATTACAAGTTCTCCACCTCAAAAACCTAACAAATATTATATGTATTTTTTCCATAATCGAATCTCAAATATTCTGATTCAAATTATTTTTCAAATAGTCGAATAATTTCTATCACTATTTCCAGTTAGCTGTGTGATAATTATTTTCTAACTTTTGAATTTCTATATGCTTAACACACTTTGGAACTGTATGTTACGCACTTTAGGAAAGCATAAACTATTAATATTGCATTATGGAGTTTCTTTCTAAATTCTCGATTATTTTTTATGTAACGGTTATCATGTTGCCCAAACATGGTCATAAAATATATTTTATGATTAAAGACCCACATAAAATAATGACAGCCTAATTCATGTCCGCCCACTCACCTTGTCATTTGGGTCAAATCCCATTTTTTCGGACATTTTCGTAATTTAATATACGTTAAAATAATATATTTCAGTCGTATCTGTTTTGAAATCACAAATTCCCATGTCACCATGCAAATCTTTAATTGATTATATGAAAGTTTTAAGTTCACAATAAAAAAAAGTGGAAGCGTCTTCCCTCCAATTTCTCCCAAAAAAGTTGCTGAAAAATCTATATTCATTGTTTTAGATGCTTTATCGAATTTTTGGATTAATTTATTTATTGAAAGTTGAAACTGAACAAATCTTTTTAGTCCAAAAATCAAGCTGTGTCCGATCCTTAACCAAGTATGTCGTGTTATTGCCATCGTTATCTTATACTAACAATGAGCTATTATTAATTACTTATTTAAGATAAGAACGGGACGAGTCTAGTAACACGATATCATTTACACTTGGATAATTAAGACATCAATGTTAAGAGAATTATAGAAAATAAAAGGAGCAATATATTTTTTTAAACGTATCGTTTATTGATGAAATTTACCAAGCCTCTTATTCGAGATGTGCTGTATCAACTTGATCGCTGATGTGTTTGCAGGAAATAATATTGTTTTTAAAAGAAAATATTTTATTAGATAACAACTTTAAAGATAATTCAATTAATTAAAAATAAAATACGAAATAAATGATTATTTATTGTTTTCAATTGCGACAAAAATAACCTATATTTTATATGATGTTTAATCAATTATTATACAAATTTGTCATGTTTTAATAAAAGCTAAAATCAATTTAATTATTTAAGAAGTATAAAGTTTTGTTATATGTTTAAATTATTTTTTCCCTTAAATTAGATACAATAGTTAGATTTTTAAAATTACAATAACAACAAAATTAACATGTTTCATGATTTTCAGTTTTGTCGAAACTATATTGCATTTAATTTGAAAAATCAAATTTATTCTACAAAAAATCAACCAAGTGTTTATCCTAATATGTATTGCATTTATAGGTCCACCGGGTCCCGTCGGACCACCGGGAGAAGATGGAGATAAAGGTGATATTTCGTATAATGTAGTTTTAATATTATCATGTTAGCCTAACATCGGGGTTATGCATTATTCCATAACAGGTGAAATTGGTGTACCGGGAGAAAAAGGATTTAAAGGATCAAAAGGAGAAATGGTAAATTTTAATACATATTGTTCTTAAATAAAACATATTTTATTATCTTATAAAAAATTAAAACACACTTTTAAAATAGACTAAAAACATTTATCTGTAACATTTAAGCACTATTAAGGTTTGTCTTGAATTTAAGAGAATTTTAGCGAACTCATAAGGTTATCAATCTCAATTTCAGGGTCCCATAGGAGCATTAGGAAACCCGGGGCTCAGAGGAGAACCAGGACCAGTTGGAGTATGTATATAATGATATAATGCCAATTAGTGTAGTCACGATCTAGTTATTTTTATTTTTGCGTCGATTAGGCTCAAGGAGAAAAAGGACCGCCGGGTGAAATTGGAAAGCAGGGTTCCAAAGGGGAAGAAGGGCCCATAGGAATAACAGGTTAAAAAAACAATTCATTTATTGAATGCCCTTTAATTCGTGTAAAACTATAAAAGCGTGAACTGTTCTTATTGTTTTTTACTAAATACACAGGACCGCCGGGACCACCGGGAACTCAAGGTATGCCAGGCCCTATAGGACCAAAAGGTGAAGTCGGTGATGTCGGCGCTAAAGGTAAGCTTACTCTTTCAAAAAGTAATGCAATTTTCGAAAAAGGGACAGCAGTAATTTTTAAATCAACAAAGTATACTTTTAATGCGTGTAATCAGTCTAAATACCGAGTTTTACGGCTTGTGAGCGGGTCGATTTGAAAAGGCGGTACGCCATCACAGCCACTTTGATGTAAACTTATATACATTGTACATACGTTCAACGAATTAATTTAATGTAGTTGGAAAGAGGCATTTAGTAGATTTACTGCGTGTGTACAAACCTTATAACACTATTTAACTTTATTACTGCTCGTGGTGTTCGTTAATATAAAATGTTGTTTAATTTAGGTCCGGTCGGGCCACCAGGAGCTCCAGGCGAAATTGGGCCCAGAGGATTTAAAGGCGTGGAAGGACTGTTAGGTAAAAGGATTTACTTTATTAATTTCAAAAACAAACTTGAAGCTTTTAGATTGAAAACTATGGACCATGATTTATGATTATGAATTGACTTGAATATTTTAAAATACATATGAATAGATATTCTAATATTTTATTACCTTCTTTGTTATTTCTTTGTAATCATATATTTTACGATAGCAATATTATAATCTTTTCGGTATAACGCACTCATTTGTTTATAATATTTATCACTTACAAATTCTAATATGAAATCGATATTCTAGGTCCAGCGGGAGCAGAAGGCTTACCCGGTCCTAAAGGCGAACCAGGTATAACAGGTCCTCCGGGCCCCCAGGGTCTCGATGGCAAGCATGTAAGTTTAATTTATTTATTCCTTACAGACGACCTTAGACTGATCAGCTAATACTATTTTCGCATTTCTTTATAAAATTACCAAACAAAATAACAGGGTGAACGCGGTCCGATGGGTGCAAAAGGTGACGAAGGAAAAGTCGGTCCTCAAGGTTCGATTGGACCTAGAGGTAAATACTATCATAAACATATCTTCTATACAATCATTAATAGTTACTATCTTTGTATACAATTCGAACAAAGAAAAAATCATTAAACAAACATTTAATGTATAGGTCACGTCTTTAATATCGAACAAAATCATCCTAATAAAACTTGAACTACATGTTTTTAAGTATAAAATATATTCTATATAAGATTAGGGCTTTAATTAAGTATTTTACTATGGGATTCTAGACTGTCGTAAAGTCATAAAACAGCATACAACTCAGTGTAACGGCCTATGCAGTAAATTGAACATTGAAAACGTTGTAGTTAGTGGATTGGAGATAAAATAAATATTAAATGTACCTTTATGTAGATACATTTTTAGTAAAAAACAGCCAATGTATAATACATTTGTAATATTAGAAATTGATAGAGTATACAAATTGTTTGTACTTTAACATTATAATGGTAATTTTTTTACTTTTGTTTGATAGGAAATATTGGACCAGACGGACCTAAAGGCAATGCGGGAGTACCTGGATTTCCAGGAATACAAGGAGAACCTGGTACACAAGGACCAAAAGGAGACAGGTATACCATAGCTTTATTTCACACTAGACCAAAAACCAAACAGATTTCATATACAAATTTAACGGTAACAATTAATAGATGTCTAAACACGCAAACCATTTATATCATATTCACTCGAATAATTTGTAATAACAATGCAAAGTAAATGAATCTTCGAAAAATATTAACTAAAGCTTAAAAAATAATAAATCCTTTTTCAGTTTAGTTAAGTTAATGAATTTTTTAAAAATGACACACATGTTGATCATATAAAACAATTTAAAAAATAATTAAGAACTATATAAATTTATTTGACTAGTAGAATAAGTATAAAGTATTCAATATTATTTAGTACGCTTTATGTTGAATTACTTTAAAATGTTTAACAACGTGTTACAAACAAAATATTTTCTAAAACGAAAGTACCCAACTAACTGCTTTTAAAACAACCTTATTGGATTATTTTAATCGATTTATTAATTCAGAGGCAGAGACGGAGATGACGGAAAACAAGGTGCTCCAGGATCTCCAGGTGATATAGGTCCAACGGGAAAACCAGGAATTACTGGTCCGCCAGGACGGACAGTAAGTTTAATTTTAAATTTGCCTATTTTTGTAATTCAATAACCTTATTTATGTAAGCTATAAAACGAATTCTCCATAAATATAATATGTAGAAGAAAAATGTTGCTTAATTTTACTATTTAAGTATTTTATTTTGTGTTAATTACAGGGAAGTGAAGGGCCACCAGGACCTCAAGGAAGTTCGGGATCACCTGGTGAAAAAGGAGACCTAGGATTACCAGGTTAGTAAATTTAAATTGTTTAACATACGCTCACGATGTGTAATATCTATTTCTAACGGTGAAAAGTTCAATTTGGTTTTTTTTTGCATTTTCTTACTCATATTTAAGATTTATGGAAAATTCGATCCGAAATATATACAGCATGCCAAGTAAGAAAGCGTTTCTGCTTTATTCAAAACTTTAAATTGCCAACAGAAAAGAGACTTATAAAACTTTTTCATACTATCTCACAAATAGTTTGCACGACTATTGTTATGATTATTCAGACAACTACGCTATCATAACTAACTTTTTACAATCTACTCCTTGATGGCCGATGGTACAAAAAAAATCACTCTCGAACAAATATGGCATCCTTCATCAGTAAAAAATTATATAATTCACCAAGTACTAACACTTGATCTCTACTTTAAATGAAAAATATATAAATATAGATTTATTTAAAAGTATAATTGGCTTATTTTTCTCATAACTACGAATATCCGAACGCGTCAATCCTCACCTAATCTTAAAATATTTGTTAAAAAATGACCACGATTTATCTATATTGCTTCTCTTTTAATTTACTTCCAAATGAGCATGATATCAAATATATGTTATTTTTTATTTTTGAGGCACTTAGTTAAAATCAAATATAGTATGACGAGTAGATACAAAAAATTACCGAATGGAACAAAATAATATTGAAAAAAAATATGGTAGTAAAAGGACGATATTGTGTTTATTGTATCCCATTACGTGACTTCTACAAAACAGACATTCAAAGATATCCTTCTCTTTTTCTTAAAATGATAATTGCAAAAATAAACGAACGATCGGAAATTAGTTGAAAATAATCAATTTGATATAAGGGCTAAAGAATAATATTTGTTTGGAGAAGTAACCGAATTTAGAAATAAACGAAAGATTTTCGATCCGCGTGGATAACCAACCGAAATATAACCTTACGGAGAATAAAAAGAAAAAAACAGCAGAATATTTGTTTGACACAAATTGACAATTTTATGTATACAATATACAGATTACAGGTTTACAGTACAAATTTAAATGGTCTACAAATTCAGTAAAAACACAATATATAAACTTTAAATCATTATTTTTGCAAGTGTTGAAATATACAATTTGTTTAATTGTACTTTTTTGGCGATAAGGGATGGCCGATAAACTGTTTAGAAGGATTTCTATTGTCGGCCACCTATTATCGACCACTTGTTCACCATTAGTTTGAGTAGATCACGAAATATCGCATATTATAATACCATTATGAATTATGCAAATAAATTACATACATTATTTATTATTTTTGTTGTTTAACCATATGGACAATTTAAAATTATGATATTTCAAAAACAATTGTTTGTATACCTCACTTACTTAAGACAGCTGGAAATGAGTAAATCTCGTGGAATACCCAGCATAGTGTATATACATATTCATTGAGCGTCATATCACACACATGTATCACATACTACACTTTAGATAAAACGATTTATATCTGTACATGAGGGTTAGTATCTTTGTTCAATTCTTATTTTGTGAGGACTATTTTAGGGCAACCACAGCATCTTTGTCGACGATTGTAAATATGTTATTCATCAAAACATAGTTACGCACAATGCGTCTTACTTAGTCAATGTTTTTTTAGAGCAAAAACGCCAAATATTAAATCGAAAGATAACATCGTGAAAAAAGTTATAGCTATTTTAAAAAGTAAAAAAATGCGATTTTAAATGTTAAATATTAAGCTAAATAATAGGTTTATCAAAAATAGAATATTACATGTCTCCAAAATATTGTCATCTTTTGTTTTTGTTGCTAGTTGTTTTGCTCTAAAATCACCATGAAGCGAGTAAAACGCATTCTGCGTAGGTATGTTTTAACGTTGGAAAATTGACTTATGAATTCCTCTTAAAACAACACCCTTTGTCGTTCTTTTTTGTGAATGTCGCAGTACCTGTTTCTGCTTTAATTTTATTTATTTATAACCGAATGTAACTATCACATAAATTCTAATCAATCTATCTTATGTAAATGTAAATATTAAATTTCATTATGTTACAGGAGGAGCTGGATTACCCGGCCCAGTCGGATTACCAGGCCCTCCGGGGTCACTAGGTCCTCAAGGACCAATGGGATCTCCCGGCCAAGCAGTAAGTTATGACTTAAAAAATACAGTTTCTTTATTGCGATTGCGAGCTTAGGGTTAAATTTAATAATAAGTTTTTGTAATTTTTCCAAAAAAGGATAAACATTTATACTGTCTTATTATTTAATGATTAATACATTGTTTCAACATCTTTACTAAATCGAAAATCTAATAGTTTATAATAGATAATTCATTAAATCATTACAATGTACATTGGAATTTCTAAAAATATACGTCATTTAATATATGTAATTTTGTAAACTTTAGGGTTACATTAAATCCAGTTCGTTAAGTTAAAGTGATTGACACTAAAAGAGATAACCATAACTCAAATTTATGTTCTATCTTTTTCAAATAAGTATTATGACGACAATTTCAAAACTCATTTCGATTATTCTGTGCAAATTTATTGAACTATAATATATTAGTAATTGATCTTTTCCACAGCGTTATTGTGTCGTCCACTTCTCTTCCTTACAACAATAAAAGATTATTTATCGTACAGTTTATGGTGGTTTATCGTATGTTTTGGAGAAATGGTATTTTTAAAACGTAATCCGCATCTGCGGTCGTCCTCGTGGTTATTTTAAAGCAAACGTTAAGCACCTTCTGTTTGATAAATTACTCATTGCAATAATGTTTCTCGTTTGATAGCTCTATTTTTTTTTACTGCCTACACATTTTTTTAAAAGCTCATCGAACCTTTTCGATAAAGCTTTCTTAAAATATAAAAAAAACAAAACCAACTAAATGTTGTATAAGACGATAGACGAAACATTGATTGAATACTACGAAACGTAGAATAGTACATAGACCAACTGTTGTAAACCCAAAAAAAATTTTTTTTTTAACTTAAGTCTATTAAAAGGTACGTGTAATTGTTACTTAGTTGAACTTTTCCTATAAACCTTTAATCTTCTTAAAGTTTATTTATTAACGATGTTAACGTAACGAATTTTGTCTTAAGACTACACAAACAAAGAGAAAAAAACATAATCAAAAAAACAAATAATTATTAGAATTAGGAAGTCTATATTTTTGCGTTGAAGCATTAGTTTCAAAGTGATTTTATCATATTCGTTTATAATAATTCCTAAATACCTGTAATGCCACCCCCCTCCGTATGTCCCGTCCCCACTATGTTTCGATACCACATTGCTGGCTATTTTTTATACTGTTCATTTACATACTAAATTTAATATACCTATAACTCATGAAATGTTTCCAAATAGTTTATTTTCTAGCTTTTACATTTTGCTCTTTATTAAACTTTTTTTGCCTACTCTATTACATTTGCCGTACGTTTAATTGGCGAAACCGTTTCAGGTACTTGACTTTTTGCATAAAAAAGTTAAAACAATAAATCAATTTACTTTGTGAACTACAAACCGTGACATTCTTTAACTTTTATTTAATCTTCTGCTTTACCTCATCCATATTAGATGAAATAATGAAGAATGATGTCGGCCAGCCAAAATATCCTCTCTCTCTCTATCTCTACAAATCTCATTCCACCGCTGTTTCTTTTTGAATATTATACATAAACCACTTAAACACTTAACCTTAGGTATAATATTTAAAATAAGAATAACGTTCATAAAAATAATAGTAACATTCCTATAAAGTATTTTTTTTTAATATAGGGCGATGTAGGATTACCTGGTAAACCAGGACAGAATGGAGAACCTGGGAAAATTGGAGAACTTGGTGAGTATGAAAATAATATAAATATAGTCGTGCTCAAAAAATCGTTTTTTTATACATACAATAAACTAAATTTAAATTCCTAACTCATTTATTACCAGGTCCTCAAGGAGAAAAAGGAGAACGAGGCAAACGTGGACCAAAAGGTATATTATTTTATCGTGCATATATTATTAGTTAAAGTTATCTTGTTCCATTTAATAAAAACAGAACAACAGAGACTGTTGTAATTTTATTGTTTTGGTGTATTTTTATGTTTTTGTACTTTTAGAAGGGCACGACCCTAAAACGACAACGTTTATCTTGGAGCGTTAAACGTGTTTTTTTTTTTGTGACTTGAAATAAACATGTTTTATACTTTGACTCTAGGCCACCCTGGAGAAATCGGACCCATGGGCTTAAAAGGACACGAAGGAGAGAAAGGTGACAAGTGCGAAAGAGGAGACAGAGGTGTGGAAGGTCAAAAAGGAGAATTGGTATAGTATAAATATGACACAATTATTTAAACTTAAGATGATTAGACTAACCATATTTATTTTTTCTACTTAAACCGTTGTACAGTAGTATTTTTAACTACAGCGTAACTTATTATCTCAAACCAATTATTATAAATCCAATACACCAATACTTTTTTTTTTTTTTTTATAGACTTTATTATAAATTTAACAGCTCAACAATCACTACTTTTAACTTTAGTATCCATTCAATTTATATAACATGTATACACCCATTAATCAATTTTTGTAATTCATATTATTTTAACTTCGGTTCGGAGCTGAGCGGCTATTTTTATATTTATTTTGTGTAAATAAATACTGAGGTCACTGAGAGAACTCGTGTAGAGGTATTTCGGAAGTTTTAAATATTTCTTCATAATTTTAGATGAGAAAGTATTTCGTTCGTAATTTATTTTATTATTTTCCCTTTTAAATTACTCTATGCCACCACTATATACTGCGCCACTAACATTTTTAATTAGTATATTTTTCAATGTTGAGTTTGCCTAGCAAAATGTATACCAAACATTATCTTGACATATGCATTTGTTTACACAAATCTTGTATGTCATTGAGAAATGTAGGCATTTTGCATTACAGAAATATTACACGTCGCTTAATAAATTCCGTCAAGGCTAAAGGGTTTCATTTATAGTCAACCATATTCAGATTTAAACGATAACAACACAAAAAGGGTAAAAAACCCTTTTAGATAAAAAATGATTTTGCAAATTGTGTGTTCTGGAAAAAGAAAAACATTTACATTTGATGTGTTTAAATGGATTTCTGTTAATGAAATAAAAAAATGCTTCTATAAAGAGACGAGTTCCGGTTCTTAGAAACAAATCTTACGGAACAGTAATAGATTAAAAACGTAACTTAAGATGAAAATCCCATGCCGACATAAAAGGATAAAAAAGTTAATGAGTCGGAGAGTTTTTAATCTCATCTGTGTCCCGTAGGTACTTATGGACATTGATATACCTATTTGTTTTATAAATATGTAGCTGTATAAAATAAAACTATTTTTATGTTTTATTTAAGTGAATTAATATTAGTTTAAGTTAACTTGTGCCAACAATAATTATTGTAGTCTTAATAAAAAATAATGCAATAATTAAATTTATAATAACAAAAAGTTTATGTTTCGTTAAAGCTAATAGTGTCTATTCCCGTTTACTTCTAATAACCAAAAAGGCCCCTGGACGTACACTAGGGTAATTTTTTAAAAATAATAATGATATCTAAAAAATAATTACTAAATAACAACAACTGTTCAATAATTTTTAAAGTTCATAACAAATAAACTTTATCTTAAAAAAAGTTATTTAATAAAAATGAATGTTTTGATATAAATTACGGAGGTGTTTTATAAAAAGATTCGAGTACTGCTCGTAGGTATAATTTTAAGTAGCATGTATGTGTGAGCTAAATAAATTTGCAGTATATGTATCTAATCAGTTTTAGACGAGAACATTTTTAAAAATATATATTTACAAATTATCATTATATTTTGATAGTCTACAATAATACAATTGTATTGTATTATTCGACATAATTGCCGATTTGAGGAAATTCAAATAAAACAAGCCTGCCTTATGTTTTCTCGTAATTTCTTCATAAAAGTTTGTATTTTTTGTAATTATTTAACTCGACAATTCCATTTAATAATATAATATGCAAACCAAATAAAATAAACAAAAACGACTATAATTTTTGAAAACTCCGAAAAATCAATACATCAAATACTCATAAAATACATGATGGATTAAAAATAAACCCATTAAAAACAATAATATTGAAATAATGAAATCGGTAACACCGATGCAATTAGCTGATAGGATTCATAAATAACGAAATATAATTTAAAACGTGAAATCTAAACATAAATAATAATTTGCGCTTCAATAACATATGCTAGTGTTTGGATATTATGACGCACAAATAAAATCGATAGGTACACAAATATTAGACTTGCACTAAACACAACACTTTTGTTTCTTTTTCAAAATTTCTTTAGTTATAAATAATTTTTGAAATTCCGTATGCTATTAAAAATTGTATTATTTCCAGGGCCCGATCGGTGTACCTGGATCTAAAGGAAATGATGGACCGCCTGGAATCAGCGGAATAGAGGGCTCATCCGGTCCTAAAGGTATCGCAGGAGTAGCAGGAAATAAGGTGAAGCCAATCAGTTATTAGACATCTTGATGTAACTTATGAACAAACTGTTATTATATTCGTCACACAATATACTGATAAATCATACACTGTAAGTCGCACCAACAGACTTCAATTTTTTAATGCTTTCGTATAGGGCGAACAAGGCCCACCGGGTCCGCCGGGTCCTCCGGGGCCGCCTGGAGAGCTACCGCTGTTACCGCCCGAATTAGCGGGTTTCCAGCAAAACGCATTAGCTCGGTGGAGAAGAGAAGTCCTGGAGAACGACGCCAGTAGCGACAGTGGAGCAAAGGCAGCTAACAAGGAGAATACTAAACCTGGATCCGGTGACAGCGGTTCTGAAGGGCCAAAGTACATAGACATTATCAGTTCAATTTACGGCATGCGCCAGGACTTAGAAAGAATAAGAAAGCCCGTCGGATCTCGCGAAAATCCCGTAATGACATGCAAAGATCTGTTTTATGGACACCCACAGTTTAAAGATGGCAAGTTTCTTTATTTAATTTTTTATCATATTTGTACTTGCTTTTTACTCAGTTTATTTATAATATATATTTCTCGTTTATTTCAGTCATTAATTTTAAATCTGAAACACTAATTTCATAATACATTTTTTTTGCGCTTTTTAACCGTAGTAAACACCTTTGAGTTATACCATGTAAAGCATAGATTTTATGAAACATCTCAGAAACAGTGACGGGTAGAAATGTATATACATAGTAAATTTCATTTATAAAATTTATACGTGGTTTATACTAAAAGATAGTACCTATAAGCTTTACAAAAAATCTCTAAAATATAAGCTTTTTTTAAATAATTGTTTTTAAAAAATGACAACAACCAATAAGTTTGGGACAACAAGGTGGGAGTACAATGTTGTTTTAGAAAACATCCAGGTTACATTTAATAACTATTTGGAGTTGGACCAACTAAATAAATCCATTAAAATAACAATAAAACCATTATGATTTGATTTAATAAAATGAGCTTTTTTCTGCAGTAACTTAATGTTCACATTATCATTTAACATTTTTGATCGCAACGTAATCCAAAATCGTATTTTAAAGTACATTGTTTTAATGGATTTCAGCTATTTCAATGTTCCGAAAAATAAATACATTTCAATTTTCATTTAGTTTAGTATTCGAAACCTAAGTGTATTATTTTTTATTTCTGTGTTTTTAAGTTGTTTTATCGCTTCGACACTTCTGGTACACAGTTTTCGTAAGAACTTTCAATAAATTAGAAAACTATTGAAGTAACACTTGTTACTTCATGTTCATTGTAATAAAAATATTTATAATAATGTTAAGATAAGATACGTCTTTTGTTGTGAGATTATTTCAAACCATTCAAAAGATAGATATTATCTTTCTGCGTTAATTCCCACGTGTGTACTTTTACCCTTTTCACTTCTTATGAATTGTTATTTTATTATTTAAATACTCCAAGACATTCTTGGTAGATAATAAAAAGTCATGCTCGAATAAATTTTAAATACCGACTAAAGCGTATTTTTTAATTCGCACCATATCCTAAGATATACTTTGCTAAAATAAAATAAAAGTGTCCAAATTATAAGTACCATTGCTAGATTATTTTTGTAGACAACCCTTAATCCTTAAGAGCCCTGTTGTTTTAATTATTAGTTGCATGCATTTTATATGTTTACTGTGTAAAATAACAGACTGAAACGTGAACGCGCTAATCATTTGAAAAGTGCACCATAAATTAGCTTCTACTATTAATGAATAAAATAGTAAATAACATTAAACAATATAGTTACTGAAAATCAGGAAAGCGGAAAGAACTTAGGGAACACGCGTTAATCGATTGTCGAGATCAGCCTTTTTAATTGTTAACACAAAATATCGCGTAGGGAAAAATGTATAATCCTAATGTACATTGACGTTGGGTTTTTAGAAACTATCAAGTATTGATACGCCGAGTGCAGGGACTCGAGTCCTAACTTTGGCCGCAGATAGTGAACAACACAGTTATATGCAGACTGTGCTTTTGGGAGGCAGGGCTCGACCACGCTGCGTTTATTAGATATTCAACGGGATACGTCAAACCGTATAATAGCTATTGCTCTATAATATTTGACAGGATGGTATTGGATCGATCCCAACCTGGGAATGCCATTTGACGCCGTCTACGTGTACTGCAACATGAGCAGCGGTGGTGAAACTTGTGTATTCCCGGACATCCATTCGAGTCAGATGCCGAACATCCCGTGGCGAAAAGAGGGAGACAAGACGGACTGGTACTCAAACCTGAGAGGCGGCTTTAAGGTAAGTGTGTTGTTGTTGTGTAACGTCTCGTCGTGCATGTGTGTCCGAAAGAAAAAACCGGGACACGTTTTCCATCATGATTATATGTACGTAGGTGGCTTTAGCGAGATTAACTCAAATCGAATTACATTTTAATCACCACTATTGCTGCGGACCGCCTCTGGATGTTGTAGAAAAAGTTGCTTTTCGTTCATTCTTTCTTTTTTTTATCCGGAAAAGAAAACTGCTAAAGTTTTGAATAATCGTTCCGACCTCCAGTGGACCTCCGGGAACGTCGGAAGTTGTGATAATTTCATTAAAAATCTACTGAAAAAAAAAACAAATGTACTAATAGCAAACGATACAAACGCAAAACAGAAAAGTATGAAAGTGTGTTAAAAATATTTGTAGGCGAATAAGTACCGTTCGCATCGGAAATGGTAATAAATTCGTTTAGAATACAATATTACAGTGTACAGTAATAATTGTAATACGCATAGTAAATTATATTTTTCGTAAGCGATTTGGTAATCCTTATGGTTTCCATTTAAAATTGAAAAACTCCTAAACTGCATTATCGTGCACTGACAAAAATGACTTCAACGTAATCCTTATACAAAGGATCATCGAATAAATGAGTACATCGCAAGCCGCAACGTAAGGGGAATGTTTAAAAAATGATTTTTAAATAAAATCATTATATTAATTTAAAATAATCCTTGCAGAAAATGAACAAAATGAACATGTTCATTTGTACCAATTGTGTCAACAAAACAAATATGCATTGTATTCTTTTCAGATGAGCAATTAAATACTGTAATTTTGTATACGCGTTTTTAATCTTACTGACAATAATAGGCATAAGCTTAGAAATATTTAACGTAAAAAGTGATTTTTTAGACAAATAAAAAAAAATTACAGAGAACAACAAAGTCTGAAACTTGATTCCTTTAGCCTTCACATTGATCAATTAGAAAAAGTTAGTAACATGAGCCAATTGGTGGACGGTAATCGCAGTAATTTTCGTTTCAAGGTTATCAATTAATTTTTAAATAATTAATTGTGTATACATATTATGTAAACATGACAAAAATCGATTTGTGTACAATAAAATCTATAAATACATAATACAATACATGCAAATTGCAGTTAACAGTTAAAGAACATCTAATTTTAACTCTTTTTTTTTTTTTTTTTTATTAACAAGTATTTACTAGTTTTTAGAGAAGTAACATTTCAGGAAACTATAGTGGCTTAACTATTCTTGATTTCTATACTTATTGATAAAATCGGACCGTGGAAATATGTCAAAAAATTGTGCATAGCTTATAATGAAAACTATGCCGTATGAATACGGAAATATTTTAGCGTATAAAAATAAATGTACGGAAATTATAGGATCACAACGGTCATTCTAGGTTATAATAAAAATTATACTTTTCCTGCGCTTTCCAAACACAAGAGCCTTAGGAAAGATACTGATTTTATATTTTTAGATTTTAACCCCCACAAATGTTTAACTATGTAATTTAAAATTATACACAAATAGAACATAAATATTACATCATGATTTTGCTTGAAGTTGACATTATTATTATTTATCTATTTAGTGTTATTACAAAAGTTGCTCTTCAGCATAAAATTTGATCTTCGACCTCTTATGTGATTAGGCTAATCGAATTACAAGTTAGATTGGCTACGGGAATGTAAAAATTATTTATATTTTTACAAACAGAAAATAGTATCAAATTAACTTTATCAACAATAAATAACAATTTTTGTCCCTCAATATTAGTGTATAATAAATAAAGACAAAATACAATAATATACATTGTATGCATCATCTTGATCCATAGTACATACATTATTTTTTATTGATTTTTTAAACATTCTTAGTAGGCATCTTAGGTCATTATTTGTACAAAATAACTTATTTCTATACAAAATCTTTATTTATTTTTTAACATATTATAATAAAAAGTTTATGTGTACAAGTTTACAGGTGTGTTTTAACATTCATTTTTCTTTTACTTTATTTTTATTACATATTATCTAATATTTACATTTTTTTGAGTATATATATATATATATATTATTTTTTCTTTTTGTAAAAACCTATTGCGTAATCGTTCTCTTATTTCAATAAATACAAATGTGTACAAAGCAAAACTTTTTTAGAAATTGAACCTATACAATGATCGCTAAACTGTATAATTCAAATTCATAATAACATTCTTTCGTTATTGTTTTATTCTACAAAAAAAGCTGTCTATGCCGTGTTGTAGAGTTCACCGATTCTTTAAAATGTGTTGTGGTCTTATAACTTTATACAATCAACGTACCGTGGTTTGGACTTTTTAATTTCAATGGACTGTTAAAAGTATCATTTTTTGTAGAGAAATCATAAATATATATTTCATTGAAGGAGGGGGAAATGGTCAAACCATATTAACTGCCGAAAATGTGCTTATATAAAATAAGTAGTTATTGTACTACAATTATTGTGCATCGCATTATAGTAAAAACTAAAAAATGCAAAATGTATGAAAAGCAAAAATTAAACAATGGTTTATTATAATTTTATTTTGCGTAAATGATAAGTCAATAAAATTCTACGTCAGTTTTTTTATAGTGTAAAACGGCTAAATAAATATAAATATAGGTAATTAATATTAAAATAGTTTAGCATTAAAAGTTAATATATTTTTTTGTATTTAACTAATACTTTTATAATAATTGACTTAATCCAATTAATAATTTAAGATATAAATAAAAATATTTGGATTATTTACATGTTAAATACAAAGTAAAACAAGTACGAAATAGACTATTAACTTTAAAATATAATATTGTGTTATTTGATTGTAACAGAGTAATTGCAAATACATGAGGTAACAGTATATTCAATTTTTTTAATAAAATAATTACCAGTTTTAACTATAAAATGATAATGTAGGTACTAGGTATTACACAAATACATTTATCCACGACCAAGTAAATTATAATTTATAATTCTTATCATACATTTCCATATTAAAAGGTTGGGTTGATAGCTGTTAATATGATTCACAACATCTGAAACATTTAGCAAATAGCTTAAACATTTTTTTTATATGCACGTAGTTTAGTTTTTAATAAAAATGATTTTCCTTTTTTAAATTTATTTTTTAAAGTTTAAAGTTTTAACTTCGTTTGTCCCTTCGGAAGTGTAAAATAAATTAACAACTTTATTAAAGGACTATTAATTATTGGATCATACGCCGTAATTTGCTAATTACACCCGCTATCGTTTTTTTTAATTTTTACAACACCGCAAAAAAAATGTGTTAATTAATATTTTTTATTGCTATAACATATATAAATATAAAAAAATAATAATTTTCACGGGTTCCAAGTTATACTATTATTTTCAACTTTGCTGAAATAATAGCTTTTATAAGTTTTAAAATATAGCTACAAATATAAAGTCGTTCAGCCAAATCCTTTCCTTCCACATTTTCTTAAACTATTTGTCCCTATTTTTGTACTAACTCTACACACTCCATACCTTATTGTTTATAACTTCCACTTACTTTAGTCTACATAAAAGGTATACCTATTTAACTACTTAGTACTTCATTTTTATCCCTTCTTTCAGTATGATCTCAACTGATTATTTTTCATTTTCCCTAGTAAAAGGTTAAGTACGCGTAACAGAACGCCAACTACCACGATTTGTATCTTTGTTTTTTACAGGTGCTTACTCATTTTTAAAAATGTTACATTATCTCTAGCTTATTTCAATTGCTACCTTTATTTCAGTTTCGTTCAACGAAATTCGTTGCAATTTGTATGGCAAATGAAGGGTCACGGGAAAAAAAATATCAATGTTAATTTTTTGAAATTTACCAACTTAAAAAATTAAATTTTAGCAAGGGTTCGAGCGAGAGAAAAACATATGTAGTCGGTAAACTAAATATATTTGAGTAAAAGAAAAGTCCTACACAAAAAGTAAAAAATAAAATAGTATCTCATTTTAACAAAAAAAATGGCATTGATCTTTTTTCCCTGTGACCCTTCAAATGTGCTAATACTTTACATTTGTAACCATTGAATACAGTTCAATTACAATTCACGTATAACAGTTATTGGGTTTTTTTTTAATCTAGATCACATACGAGGCGGTGGGTCCGGTACAAATGAACTTCCTACGGCTACTCAGCCAAACCGGATATCAGAACTTCACGTACACTTGCATCAACAGCATTGCTTGGTACAATTCTAAAGCCGACTCGTTCGACATGGCGGCCAAGTTCATGGGAGAGAACCAGGTGCAGTTCACTTCGGAGCCGGGGATGCCAAAAGTCGAAGTTAAGGTGGACGGTTGCAAGGTAACAGTCGTGTGTGGAAAACCTAATAATTCTCGTTAAGAGTAACAAAATAAATACAAAAACAAATCAACGCAAGTACGTGACCGTACTTGGAAATGTCAAATCTTTTTTTTTTTTTTGTTTATTGAATAACAGCGAAAGCCCCGCGGGTAAAAAATAATGTCGCTTGAACGAAAAGAGGAGAAATCATAGTTTCCCAATCGCTTCGTCAAATATAAATAAGTGATTTTTTTTTTGTTCCTGTGTGTATTATACGTGATTTGATATTTGTCCTCTGAATCAGAAAGTTTGACGATGTGTGTAGTTTGATTTGATTGTATTATAATAAATCAAAATTATTCCTTGCTTGAATGTCAAAACAAATGCAGTTAAATTTCCGACGATGAGTTTACTTAAATATTTTACACCGTACACGTCAAGTGTTATTGTGGTGTTTATGATTTTGTGTGGAGCTGAACTAAGCTAAAAAATGTAATTTTCTTTTTGTGATTCGAGTCGCGGTTTTCTTAGCTGCCAGATCGATTTTTTCATGTTCATACACAAAGACAACCAAAAAGAATCATATTATTTAGTTGATACTTTGAAGCTATTTAAAACAAACTAAAAATTTGGCAAGGCCTCAACATTCATCGTAATAACATCAAGAAAAATAATTGACACTTTTCCCAAGAACTTTGACACGCTGCAAAAGTTTTCAAAAAATCGTCAAAAAAATAACATTTTAAGTACAAATCCAATTCAGTTGAAATTTGGCAAACTCAGGCAGCATAACATATTGCATCATATTGTATGAACTAATTTGGAGCATTTGTTGACAAGTCGATATTTGATTATCAAAATGTGTCGTCCAATAATTATATTTATAAACATGTGCTGTGCATATACAATAATATTAATTTTTGAAAGAATCAAGTGAAAGTGATTCAAGTTAAAGAGCATGTTCGTAAACTTTAGAAAGAAAAAACATTAAAAAGTATTTGACTCCTGTTCTCCGCTTAAGCTAACATAAGGCCGGCTGTGATACGCGAATGATTTTTATATTGCCTATTATAGTACTGTCAGGCAGAATGTTGTTTTCCAATATCATAATAATTAGTTATCGACATCGATAGCAAAATTGTTTTGTCTTTGTTTTCGTAAAATAGTAAAAATAAAATACAATTTAATATTAATAAAATTCGAATTTCGTCAATTTTAACTTGAACGACGATAAATCTGTTCAAAATAAATACAACTTTTAAATAGACCTTCCAAGTTTCGCATCGAAATTGTGTAATAAAAATGGAATATATTTTGGTAACTCGAATGTTTCCTTCGGCACACAAATGTATTTATACACAACGTATGTCAATAAATAACGTTCAGTTTATAATTGTTAAATTTAATTAAAGATTTTAATATTTTAACTCGGGAAGTGCAAAAAAAAAATGTAGGGGGCTCCTCTTTTACATGGCTTCGTGGATATGCTATTGAGGCTAATTACTGGGATTTATATTTCAATTAGAATATCGAGTATTTAATTAAAGTTCATTAATCAATAACGAGTAATAAATCTCAAAAAAAAAACTACATTGAAAAAGTATATAACGTCGTACAAATAATAATAATGTACAAAAAAACAAAATGATTATTTATTTAATAATATTCTTATTATTTTTTAGACGAGAAAATCAAAGAGTGAAACGATTTTTGAGTTCCGTACTAATAAACTGAACAACTTACCATTGACAGACTTCTACCCGGTAGACTATGGAATGCCACATCAAGCATTTGGTTTCGAAGTGGGACCTGTGTGCTTTAAATGACGATGACGAGTACTCTTTTTATGCCTTTTACTTCTTCTACCATCATCTTAAATAACTATAATATAATGTACTTAACTGTTGTTAAGCATCATTAGTGTGTTATATTTGCTTATAATTAAAAGTACCTTATTTTATAATATTGTCTCAATATTTGTATAACGTATGTTTTAAATATGACAAACGTAACGGTTCATTAAAAAAAATAACAATACATTTCTATTAGTGTCGTTGTAATTCGTGGATCTTTTAAACGCAAACTAAATTGATTATTTTATGTCAAAAAAAAAATATATATATATATAAACCATTGTATGAGAAATAAAAGAAATCCAATACAAACTCTGTTTACATAGTTTTTAAAACACCGTCTTAGTGTTAATAATGATCATAATTTGCAACAGCTGTTATTCCAACCGTAGTAGTAGCAAGTACTAAATAGTAAGTAGTAACTGCCAAAGTTTAATTTTAATTGAATAGGCTTAATAATTACATAGCTCCACAAAAATAAATCGAAATAGTTTGCGGGGACCTGACCCTCCGTACTATATGTAATCGAGCATGCTGAAACCGAATCCGGACTCCAAATAACCCCATCAGGTTTTTTTCCTAACCTCAAAAATGTGCTTAAGTCATAAAATTCAATAAAAACCCAAACAAAATCTTATAATCATTTAAAAGTTGAATAAATAGATAAAAATAGAGTTAAGTGATATCAAACTTATTATGGGGCTGGTTAATTCTAAAATGAATATTGTATCACACGGCACACTGTTTATAGGTTTATTAAGCTAGTGTTATCACAGATTATATTATTCTACAACCGCGGTTTTATTTGTTAAATTTCGTCATAGGAATATTGTAGATGTTATTTAATACGAGTATAGAAGTGTAAATTCAAATAGTAAACCTACTGGATTAAACACGTCTTAAAGATGAAGTAGTTTAAATGTTAAATTTGGTTTATTATTTATATTATTTCGTTATGTATATATTTGAATCATTGTAATATGCATTTGTAAATAATCCAACCATACATCATTATTCACATTACCAATGGCACAAATTAAAAAAATCGTATATTTTATTATTTTCAAAAAAAAGAACTATGATTGTAGTACGGCTAAATTGATTTCGCCTTATCAAAAATACACCAACAGATACCACTAGATATAAATAAAATTCCTCGCAAACACCTTTGCTCGAAAAAAATGGGAGGACGGAATTAGAAGATTAATCAAAATGACGATTTTCATTTTTTTTTTACGGTATTATTTTTGTTTGTTTTTTTAGGTTTTTTTTTATTAAATAAAGGAATATTATTTAGCTGTGCGTTATTATTAAATTGTTACTCATGGTTATCATTTTGAAATGTAATCGCATTATTTACTAAAAAAAAAAAAAGGTATTCCATTAAGACTGACAAAGCCTACGAGACGTAGATCTTAGTAGACCCCTTCAATTCTAAATCCGCTACTGGTCACGTTTAGCCAAGGCTTTCTATTGATATTTAACATACCTACTCTATGGATATCCACCAGCGTTTTCTAAAAAATCATAAATCTAGGCTTTCAACATAAACGTGATTTATTTTAGCATGTAGCAAGAATGTGCATAGAACCTTAAGTTTTTTCTTAACAATTTGTGCCCCTGACTTTTGTCTTTTACTATTATAATACAAATTTTAGGAATAAATTAGGTATGTGTAATCTTTTGCTATCCCCATGTAAAACTCTATTTCACAAAAAGTGCAATTACCATAGTATACTTGACACCTGTCATCTGTGCACAATCAATTTTAGTAATAATATAATACAAAATATGTCAAAAATGCTGTTTTGTTGGAAGCGTTTGAAATCTAAAATTACAGGACTGTAAAATAATAAAATAAATGTATTGAGGGATAAAATTGTTTTTTTTTTTATCAAGACTTTAAGAATAATTTTGTCACTCTACCTTATATAGCTTTGAAATATTAGACTTTTAACATTCGTTGAATATAATATTATGTTTCATAAATCGTAATTGGTTTGAATAAGAACTGTAAAACCGTTTTTTTTATCATGGACTTTTTGTTACCTACTTAAATATTTCAAACAACATATTAAATAAAATCACTTGATTACAAAAATATAATTTACGAATATTATTGCACGAGGCGTTAGTAATTTCCATAAGATATATTATACTTAAATACTATTTGTACTAATAATAAAATCCACCATATGCTTCCATTTAAAAACACAAGAACTAGAGCAGAGACGTACCACACTTCTCCGTTTATAACTCCTATTCCTATTAGTTCACCAAAATAGGTTTATAAAAAACAGGTTATCGAACCGATATTTTTTTTAAAGAAACCACTCTAATATCTTTTAGTAAGTAATTGCCTAATTTATAACTTTGAAATGTGGAAACTTAGCTTATAAAGCTTAGTATAATGACTTGGCCATCTGTCAGTAGAGCTTGTTTTGTTAGTTCCATTATTATAATACAACATTGTTGTAGTAAGTAATGCAAGTAAAATAACTTCTCTGTTAAATTGATATAATCTATAGATAAAAGGTAGGCCAAGGCCTAAGAGTATAATATAATAAAACATAACCAAAAATATTTTAAATGTTCCCAAATCATTAATACACATTTCCAACATTTTCGGAGATCAACAAATGCTATTTTTAAAATAATTATACCTTTACACTGTTAAAAATAATGTTAATATATTTATAGCTCATTTAATATCCACTAAATCATTTAATATCCACTAAATCATATTTTTCTAACAAATTTGTTTTACTACATGGGCACAAAAAGATTGCTTCAAAAGTATAAAAGTACTTGTGTTACTATACTTTTTGAACACCAGATAGTTTTGCTAACTAATATTTGTAGACTTAGTACGATTCCTGTATAATTTAACTGCATTCATAATTAAAAATAGACTTAACATTGTGAAACTTGTTTTCTTAATAAGTAATAAAATATTTATATTAAGTAAATGTAAATTATAAAAAACACAAATATTAAAATTGTAAAATGATTAAGTTTAAATTAATACCTGTAAATTTATAGTTTTTATTATAAAAAAATTGTATTTAACATTTTATTTGTGTACTGGACAATTTATAAAACAAAATAAAAATGTAAAACATGTTTTGATGTCACTGTTAATTGAAAAAAATATAAAATATGAATTAATGTGTTTTGATTATAAATTAAAAACTATAACCACTTTATTCCAGATTCCTATTTTGTACAACAATTATTAATATGAGATTCATTATGTTACAATTTGATAGGAACAATGTCAATTAATGAATATTATTAGAACATTAAAGTATACAGTCTTATTATATTTTAAAGAATTGTAAAAATAAATTAAGTTTTAATGATAATTATACATAGATCACATTGAAATTCAAACAAAGATGTACGAAACTCTAGAGTTCAAACTACAAATACATTTAACGAGCTATTAAAAAACTATTAATCAATAACTCATAACTCTGTCACTTTATCTGAAGACGATGGCAAATCTTTATCATATCTATTGTTGTTTGATTTGGTTTTCTTTACAGACATTGTATCAGGTTGACTATTTATTTTTTCGGAGTGCACCATTTTATTCCCATCAAAATTATCTTTTTGTTTATTAGTAGACTCGAGTTGTTCTGCATTATTGGAATTTTTGATATCGTCACAGGATAAATTTCTATTTATTTCTATCACGGTTTCGTGGCCTATGTCACTATTGCTACAATCATTTGATAATTCCTTTTCACAATATTTCACGGTGTCGTTCATCGCACAGGTATCCTCTTCATTGATTTTCGAAAAACTGTCCCTTTTAACCAAGAAATCGTGATAAACGGCACAATCGTCAATAACAAGACTGTTATTGCAGCTAGAAGATATGTCCATATCTTTATCATCATTTTTATTATTATTTAAATTCGTTAAATCTTCTTCATAAACCTTTGAATTTTTTCGACCTCTGGCAAAATCACCATAAACAGAACAGTCATCAACATTATAATTACCATTGCTACTTGCTAGACTTATATCCGTTTTCTCATTCTTGTCATAGTCAATAATCAAAGTATCTTCGTTATTTATTGAACTATTCTCACATGTCATAAAATCTTGTGATAACGATGAATTGTCTACGACAAAGCTATTATTGCAACTTAACGATAGTTCCATGTCATTATCCATTTGTTCATTCTTATCATCAATGGCAGTTTTATATAAGTCAGAGTTTGAAAAATCAGTACTGTAACTATCTACATTTTCCCTATTCACCTCAGACCTCGATTTTTTGGACATAGGAGTGGAATAACAAAGTTGGGATTCGTTAAAAACCATGTTATCGTCTGAAGGAGGATTCCATTCATCTTCTTCATCGTTTTCGTTTGTATCTATATCATCCTCAAATAGATTATTTGAACCCTGGGATACGTCTTCATCCAGGTCTGAATTATTGTAATAATCAGATTCAGTTGATACACATTTTGTTAATATCCACGCATTGCAATCATTCTTCTTTGTTTCATAAAATTTACTAATAATATCACTGAAAAAATATTAAATAATTATTATTAAGGATGAGTCATTTTAAAAATATAATTTTTTGTTTATAAAAAATAAGTATACTCACTTAAGTTCGTCAGTAGAAGAACAATAAGTAGATACAATGGGCAAAATTCTGTCCAATGGTATTTCAATAGTATCGCCAACTCTAAAATCGCTATTAGACGTTGTTTCACTAATAAATTTTCTCAGTTCTTCAAATACAAACTGTTCTTTCTGAATATTTTCATTTTGTTCGTCATATGGATAATGGACTCTTCTTAACAGCTTGTATGGTTTCTTACTTGTAAGAAACTTGAGAGTATTTTCGTCACAACTTGTATCTTCCTGCAAAATTGTTATATTTTTTTGATTATGAATGATAATTTCAAGTTTAACAATACCAATTTACAGCAATAAATAATATTAACATAAAATCAAAACAAATCACTAACCAGAGATGGAGTATCAGCCTCTTGCATATCTTTACGGTAAAAAATTACCATTTGAGTGCAACAACCTATATCTCCCGTATTCGGAGGAGTAGGTCCAATACCTTCTATCTGATATGAGTACTCAGGATAACGTAAAGTTATACTTTTAATCCTAAAAAGAAATTGTTTTGTTTAATAATGGTTTTTATTTCAAAGTTATAGGGTAGTACCATTCTTTAAATTGTCGTCTATTCCATTCAAACTTGTGGTCATAATGCCGAAACTCTGTTGTGAAATTAGGAAACAAAACATTAAACTCTACGTTAGGCGTAGTAAAAACTGCTAATTTTGGTTTAATGAATTCAAAAACTGTGTAAGGCACTGCAGCCAAAACGTCTGAATAAAGATGCTCAATTCTATAAAAATATTAATTTTTAATGTGTAATTAAATAGATGCATGCTACTGAAAAAACTATTGATTGTATAACATTACAATTCAATGCAAATGACAGCATCAGCTCCCAACATTCTATCATCTAAATCAGCCACGCTTCCTTGGTAAATATCAACTGTCAGAGGGACCTTCCGAGTGTAAGATGCAAAATAGTCATAGTTAATTGGTAAGACTCTTGACTGATTCATTTCTAAAGTCTGTTCATCGACATCAACCAACATTATCGATTCTAAGCCAGGGACTGGTTTAAGGTATCTGAACAAACCAAATTCGGAACACCCAAAATCTATAACCTGAAAAAAACTATCATGTTTAAAAATGATGATTTTATTACTTTGAAAAAATATCATACCTTCTTTATAGACTTATTCCATACAGAATGTTCAAGAATTTCCTGCACAGCCATATATCTTTGCACGTACATTGGTGGAATAAACCTCAAACCGAACTCGTCCAATGTACAAACACATGTGTCTTGAGTAGTCAATTTAATTATATTTGCCTCCTGAAAAGTGAAAATTTGAATGTGTTGAGTCTTATTTTATATGGTTAAAAATCAAAAATAATCAAATACAAAACATTCTCTTCTTCGTGGTAATATAAATTTCAAAAATTATCTTCCAATTAAGTTTTTTTTATTTTTTTGACAAAATTTTAGATTAATATTTTTTTACATAGTTATTTTACAAACATACATTTTTAGTATTTTTTTTACAGAACTATTAGCTTTTGAAATGGAAATGGTAGCAAATATGTGATTTAACTTAATACAAGAATAATTGATTAAAAATTATGAGTAGGCAATAACCAGTCGTGAGTAAATACTTTTTAAGTTATTAATGTTTAAATTTTAAACAGGAGAGAAGCGTGGTTGAGTAGATTAAAATAATATTTTACTGTACTTTCTCTGCTGTTTACACATTTAATCGCTAATAACTTTAAGAGTAATCATTATCTGTTTTATTGTGGTAACTATTCAAAGCTGGTATCATCCAATTCATATTTTTAATAGATTACATAGTCTACATAGCTTTGAAACATACTAAAAAAGGTGAATATTAAGAAAATGTATATATAAAAATAGTAACTTAATGTTTTTAAAAAGAAAAACAAATATTTCAATTCGTTTTTGATAAAACGAATGTCTTATGTAAGATTACTGTGATAGTAATGTAATGAGCAAAGTAATTTCAAAACACTTCAAAAGTAACTCAACCAACAATGGGATATACATTTCAAAAATAGTGACACCCATAATCACAAAAATGTATATTCACTACTGTTATTGATTATACTATGTCTTATAATATAAATAGTTCATAATACAATGATATAATTAAAATTATTACATTTTGATCGTCCGACTTAAGAAATAGCTGAAAGATAGCTTTAAAATAACTGAAAACTTCGACACTGATAGACAAAAGTAACGACTGTAAAACCAACATGATTCAACAAGTCATACGTAAAAATCAATAAAAAAACAGTGTTATTGAACATCAACTCATAAGAGGACAAACGTTTAATTATAGCAAATATATATAATAGCAAAAGTATACTGTATATTTTATAGAATTGCGGGTTGTTAATTGTTACTTATATAATACATTTATAGAAATTTAACAAACAAGAAAAACACGCTATAATTTTGATAAAGTTTTTCTTATCAACATTCTGGCGTTATCAATATCCGTTTTTCGTAATCTCTTTGGGCAAAAAAATCTCCCTTGTTAATATTAAAATATTCATTAGCCCAGGCCATAATTATTAATTATAAATTATAATGCATTTTAGTATATAAGTTATGAAATATATATTGTATTATACTCATACAATTTTAACCGATTAAAAAACATTATAAAATCGCTGGTATAAACTAAAAAGCCAGCACAGTAGTGAGTAGGGTCAAAAGTTATACTTGTCTGATTGTGATGAAATCAAGCAACAAAACGCTTCAATGCAAATTTGTAGATTGTACACTGTACAAGCAATAATTATAATATCGATAAAAATCATTGTAAATATAATAATGTGCTTAAAATTGTGTATTTGTAGTAATCAGGGCTCACCTGACTGTAATAATTTGTTGTTGTTAACCCTGTATTGTAATCAACAATTTAATTATAAAATACTTATTGATATCTGAAATCTGTAGATTGTTGATTCATACATACAAAGCACATGGAAATTTAATACGGTACTCTCATAGGCCACAAATTAAAAAAATTCACCCCTTCCTCTTCAAAATCGAGAAAAACACCCAGAACATTTACAGATATTTTGATTAAAAATTACGATGAAGTATAAATTTTTTTAAAAATAGTCGAATTAGTTCCAAATTTGTATGGAATATTCCTTAAACATAGTACTACCGATAAACATTGAAAAACCAATAAAATATCACAAAACTTTTCCCCTAAAAAGGTAGACATTTTTTCTTTATTTCACTTTTTCAAGCAGTTTTATGGATTTAGATATGAAAATTAGACCGAAGATAATTCTTTAATAGAACCATAACAAAATAATTTTTTTAAAAATCTTAAGATGAACATTTTTTTATTATTATGGAAACCCCCAAAAAAAGGGAAAACTACACTTTGACTAGTCAATTTCCAGGTTGTGTGTGAGTGAAACAACAGTCAAAAGGTATTGAAAATATTTTCATTATATTATTAATTTCGATATAACATGGGTAACTATAGTAATGCATTTTTATAGACAGACGATCAACTCTTATACTAAAAATTAATTTTTAATCAAATAATTGTCATTAGGTAGAATGCTTTTATCGATACTTGTATTTTTATCTGTGAACACTGGACCTACCTTACTTAATTATCTGTAAATTTAAATAAACTTTAATAATACTTTTTTGAAATGAGAGTTTTGAAATAGAATTTCTTAAAGTTGGAGATATAACCTATTAAGTACATTATTTCTGTATCTTTATGATAGAAATGAGTGAGATTCTTCATCTCCATAAAATATACACATAATGATAACACTCATATTTATTTTACAAACCTTTTCTCCTATGATAAATAGATTTACTCTAAAAGAAAAGTTCTATTTACTAAACTATGGAGTAAATTACTTTTTATTATTATTCATAGGCCTTTGTATTCTAGTTATCTTGAAAGATTTAATAAGGCTAAAAAAATAATAATATAAACCAGCTAACAAAATGCACAACATTTACATAGCTTCTCAAAATATATTGAATAACGATACTTTGAAACATTTTCATTTTTATTTGACGACATTTAAAACGTTTAAAATGTTATAAAACTTTATAACATTTGTTTATGATATCATTAATTACTGAAAAATGAAAATATATTATGATTATTACTAAATATCATTACATTTTTAATTATATATTATGGAAAATATTAGAAAAATAGTTCACCTAATTTTGACCACTATTCAGTAAAAAATATCTATCTGGCGCCGCTGTTGTATGTTTGATTTTCAAAGTATATGAATGTAAAAGAAGTTGGCTCTACTGGCGGTCAATCAATATTTTCTGTGTACTGGGAACAGTTCATAAATTAAAGGGTAGTAAAAAACTCCAAACAAACAAGTTCCAAAGAAATGGTGCGTTTATATTATGTTTAAATACACCAAATATTAATTCATGTAAATACAGTTATAGTTTTAACTTATTATTTTTTAAATGTATTATTATTTTATTAACATGAATACATTTTTAATTTATAACACAATTATTTTCGTGACATGTAATCTGTATTATTTTTTTTCAGGATTCACATTCAAGTAGTGATATAGAACAAAGGTAAGATTGTTTAAGTCATTTTTAATCAATTGTTTTTTTTTTAATCATCCCGCTTTGTTGGATTACTAGAATATATGTAGCACTTCTGTTTTTTATTCAAACACCATCAACTAAAACTTTTTAAATTGCATACTGAACAACATAACGTCATAATATAACAGCTATTTTATAAATTACCTTCTAAAAGTTGTATAGATATAAATAGTATTATATGATTTTTGGTGGTCATTTTATAGACAGGTTTTAACCCCAATAACTAATAAGCATCTATAACAATTTAATATCTTAACCTAAAAATCGGTAAACTAAAGTTTTTTAAACATATTATTTCAAAATCCTTGAATACACTCCATTATCATTATATATTTGTTATCGAGCGGTTTTATAATAAACATCAATAAAGTTAATCGATATCCATCGCACAATACTACGTATACACTATATTATTACAATATTTTTATATTCTTATGAGTCATTAAATCATTTTTAATAACGGATTATAATTTATTTTAAAATCATAAAAATGATTGCTATGAAGCTGAACTAAATTTATTTAAATTCGGGAAGGGGGGGGTGAGACTTTTTAGGGAGGACCCGGGCCCAGCCCTGGCGCCTCTACTTGATCATATTATTATGTCTTCTTAATAAAATGTAAAATTTTACTATACCAATTTATATACAAATAACTGAAAGTCAACAAGTTTATAAATATATACGATACAAAATTATGATTACAAAATACATTTTTTTTAGATAGGTACTATAAAGAAAAACTATTGTTTTTTAACAAAATTCAAATATGCAAATATATGCAAAATAAGTTTGTAGATTTGAAATCTAGACATCGTGAATCGAATTTGTATGATACTTGAGTATAATTTTGATCGTGCTAAAAAAATATGCATAGTCATAAACATTCGAGCTCTAATAATAACATTATCTTATTTAATTTTACTAATCGATTTATAGTTTTAAATGGACTGAGTATTTCATGGTTTTTACTATTAACAATTACTCAATAGGCTTGCTATGTTTTCGGCGTACACAAAAAATAAAAATATTTATAACTCTAACAAAAAGTTAACTACAAAAAAACTGTTTTAGCATGGTCTTCATATTATGTAATTTTTTATTTTCTTGTGTACACGGTATCTTTAATACCGCCAATTAGAACCCTTTAAACTTGTCAGAAAACGACAGAAAGAAATGTCAGAGTATAAGGAAAAAAAAGTTAAAAATATTAAAAGTTTCCGTATTTTACACTAAACAATCGGATATTGTTATAAAAATACAGATTTTTCAAATTTATACTAAAATTATAGTGTGCCAATAATTCTACTAAACTATTTTAACATATTTCTTATTGGTAATTTTCTTATAATCGTTTCCCGTGATTAAAAAGACTCGCGCTTTACTAAACAAATATATAGTATAATAAATAATAATATATACAAATCGAAAAATTGAGCACGTTTTACTGTTTATAATATGATATTCATTGATAAATAAACATTAAAAAGCAAACTCATTTATAAAACATACAACGGCAGTAAAATTTCCATTGTATTAGTATAATGATGCGTCGAGTTGTGTTGATAAACCTAGTTTTCTAAAACGCTATGTCGTAATATACTCTCCTTTTAAGCATGCAAACAAACGGTAGACGGCGGTGGATAATAACACCATCTATGTCTGGTGTAGTATGTGACGTGTGTGTTTATTGTGCCTGTAATACGTATAAATCAAATTATTTTGCAAAAGATTACTTCAAAAAGAATAAATACGCTTCATCTTTATTATTATACGTGATTATATGGATGAGATCATTTTAGAATTAAAATATGAAGTCAGACGCGTAACGGCACGATTGAAACTACACTGCATCAGGCACCACACAATTATTATTTTAAACGGGTCATAACATATTGACAAATCCTAGTTAAATTTTTTCTGGGATATAATTAAACAAACGATAAGTCAACGTGTAACATCCATCAATTGACAATTACCCTCCCTCTAATAAAAATTAAAGATTTTAAAAATGTTTGTATTTTTTAAGAAATGAAAAGCTAAAACCCGAAAATTAAAATAATAGTTTACATCGATGACTACGAGCAAAGCAACTGTAATATTATGTCACAACTCACAACTTACAAATAGCGAATTTTCAAGAAGTGCCATTGCCCATTTAGAGTTTTTTTATTCTTCAAGTTTTAGTTTTTGCTCTAAATAATTAATAATTGTTATAAACACGAAATAAAATAGGAAATTTAACGAAAAATAACAATTTATTATTTCGTCAATTAGTTCGATATTATAAAATATTTTGAAAATAAACTAGAGTTTTTATAAATGGAAATCATATATATATTTCTAAGTACCGGTATTATTTTTTTTTCAATTTCACATCTTATTAAATTAAACAAAAGTTGTATGTCCAAACATACGTTATATGTATACAACAACAATTTGTACGATATCAATATTTAAAATTTCAGTCATTGTATACCACGTTTTCTTAGCACTTCTGTCAATTGAAAAATTTGTCCAGCTCAAATAATACCAAAAATTAATGAATAAAAGTAATAGTGTTTTAAAAGCTAGAACCAGACAATTTTATTCAATGCAAATAACATAGAACGCGATTGAAAAAAGTGGACAAATGTAAAATAATTGTAATCATTGTTTTTCTTCTAAAATATTACAGTACTAAAACTATTTTTTAAGTAGTTACACGCTATTAAACAAATTAATAGTATATTATTAAAAAAGTATAAGAGAATATAATTAAGGAATGGTTAGTTGGTAATTAAAATGTTTTTGGTTTCTCCTCGAAAATCAAAATTAATATTTAAATATTTAAAAATAATAAATCAGCTTTTATAACAGATAGGATCGCATTATACAAACAACAAGTGTATTTTCTAATCATAATAATTATGTTTATACTATATATAATTATGAAAATATAAATTTTTTCAAAAAAATATCATATATCATACAAAAATATACATAGATTTTATTTTTGAAGATAGTTCCACTTTAAACTAAAAACTAATGACCGCATTTTGTAGTAACCATTTATTATTTCTCTAGTGTCATATCCTTTTAAACCTATCATAACCCCATTTCTAGATTATATTAATAATATCGGAAACAGCTTAAACAACCTATATAGGGCCATCACTGCCCTTTCCTAGGAATGAGGTTTCCTGACAGAATTGCGATCTGAGACGGGTAGCGAGAGAGTGGGATGATCCAAACTAAAACTTTTTTTTTGAGAGAAGCAACTTTATTTAAAAAATCAAGCGGGCTGCCTAAAACATAGGTTGCCATATAAGACACAGCATACTAGATCAACACAATAGTACATACCACAATTTTTCTTTTAACATTGATGGTAATAATAGTAACACAGGTAAACATAGATTCTTTAAGACAAAAATTAATAAATGAGTAATAGCTTCACATATTTTCGTCTATGGAGCCTGAAAAGCCAATTTTTATTTTATCTGACATTTTATTATAAGTGTTTATATTTTTACTATTTTATAATTATTCTAATAAATCTAATTAATTTTCTAATAGCCAAATCAAAAACTGCCTTTTAGCCCTCATAGAGGAAGTAGTATGCCTCACATAAAAAAAACTTAAATCTATCCTATAGATTCGCCAATAAGTAATACTTCTACGATAGTAGCCCTTTCGTTGTTCCCCTTAATACATTAAATAATAAACTTTAAATGATCTGATTTTCTATACAACAATAACCTAACGGTTAAATTAATTAATTAACTTATTATTCTAACAGTTATATCATTCTGACAATAAGACAAAAATATCGATTTAAATATTTGTTTATATTCTTAGGGTTAAAGGAGTAATTATCATCAGTTATCAAGTTGCCACTTCATAACGTGCAATGATGTAGGATGTATACAGATTGCAAATTCATATTGACTGTAGGTATACCTACAGTAATAGGGACTTCGTATAATTGGACTTTTATAAAGTGTAAACAGCGGGAACTGACAACGATGTTATTGAACAGATGATTTATGCATTGCATAGTAAAATAAAATACCAAGTAAAAGTAGTCTGGTTTTAAATAATATAACACCAGGAAAAAAAATAGTATAATCACATTCTTTTAAATTTATGATACATTCTGTTTCCTTTTTTCTCTGTAAAGTGTATTACTGCCTTACATAATTATGAGTTTTTTCAGACAAATAAACATTACATAAATCGTAATAATCCAAAATAGAAATGATCATAAAAACCAATTTTTTTGTTGGTTTAATACTTCAAACACATTAACTACTTCCCTATGATACTTACTAATCGATAAAAAAATAATAACAATAACAGCTGTGCATGCACTTTCCTAACATATAAATTGTACAACTACTAAATTATAATCTTACATTTTAACTGGAGTGTGTAGTATGCACGTGAACTGTTTATTAGTCGTCAAGTGGTCTCATCGATTCTTCTCTTTACTCTTTAGCTTTATCTACGACAAAGTAGCACGCGCGCGTTATTAAACTCTAATGCGGTTAATAATATTAATCAAATTCTATGGTGGATCATATGTAGATATAACTGTTTTTGTTAGTCCTTTACTCGTGTTTATTTTTCCGAATGATTTCCAATTAGTAATTAAACTTTTAATATCATCGAAAATGGTTACACGGGGACATCCAAGAAAAGTGTACCCAGAATCAAAAAGAAAATGTGATAAAAATCCTCAAAAAGCACTTTTGTCTCAACAAGAAAAAAACGAAATCCGAGGTAAGCCGTTAGTCGTTACCGTAATATCATGAAATTAATTATGATGTAGATATTATATACCTAATATCTGATATTAGACATCAAGTTTATTTTAAATAAAACATATATTATCCACAAAATCAATACAATAGTTATAACCTTGATAAATCTAACAAACCAATTTATTTAAATATATACAGATAAGCTTAGTTAAGTTTTGTGGCAGGTATACTTAAATACAACCTAACCGGTTCGAAGTGTAAAATAACTTGTGTGTGTGTGTGTGTGAATACGTATAGATAATATATTATAACTTATTATATTTATACTTTAAGTTGTATTGTAGACAATAGTCATTCACTTTTTGTATCTTAGAATAATTATATTTTATATTTAACTCCTTCATTTTTTTAAATTGGATTTTTATCCGTTTAAAAAATTCCAATTTACAATTCAATAATAACATTCAGTATTCACTATCATAATATGCTATAATTTATATGATATATATATATATATATATACTATTACAAATTACTATCACAACTAATTGACAATTCAAATGTTAAAAAAAATGATAATGGAAAGACATGTGATAGTTTAAATACAATTTATCGTAGTGCGTAAACAACCAAGTAGTATTTTGATACTATTTTGTCTATTTATTGACAAAGATTATTTTTTCAGTTCTAAGCGAACTCGTTTCAATTTTTCAAAACCGAACCTAACCTATTTTTTATTTAAAACTTGAACCCAACTAAAAAGAATAATTCACATTACAAAGAAATTTTGGTACACATAATTATTTTCGTATGATACTGGTTTTTTATGATTTTTAAAATCATAAATGAAGATATTTAGTATATTTACATTTTTTTTTTTTTTACTCATTGGACTAAACAATCTAGTTTTGGTACTTGTAACTTTTCTTCTTAAAAGTAACATATTGGACAAAATATGTTACTGATGGACAAATCAGTCATCGCTCGTTGGATAAGAAGTTCATACTGTGGTCTATGTTGTATTTTTTTAACGTTTAACATGTGCAACGGAAGAGCGGATCATTTACCATTTCTGCGGAAGGAGGAGGGTAATGTGTTTGTCAATTTTATTGGACACCTGGTAGACGCTAAATGTCGGTTGAATTTTCACATTTCTCGAGTATCCTCAGACTCTGGATTTTGAAAGCCTACTCAAACACATGAGATATTACCAACCAAATTAAAAACAATAGTACGTTTACTACATGCCGATGACCAGAAGACAAAGCCACGGCGCGGCGGCTAGTAAATCGATTAAAAACAATAACAATAAAATTATGATGATCGCGGTCAACAGAAACAAGGCGGGATGGAAGAACGGACACTCCGAACAGCTAAGACATAAAAAAAAAGTACACACAATGGTAATTACTCCTACGCCGTGTTGTATTTTGAGAGCCGCGGTTGAAACATTGCACAACCGATGCTGCCTGCGTGCGTGTGTGTGTTTGGCGTTTGCGGGCAGGGGGCCGAGATTCATAGCCGACGACGTTCCGGCAGGCCACCCGCCGCCACGGCCGCAGTGTGCAACCGCCGTCCGAGCACAGTCGTGTGTCGGGCCTACAACACTCCGAGATTGTTACTAAAATTAAAACATATTAACGCGTCTAATTATACACGTTCTTCGTTTTTTCTTTTGTTCACTTTTCGTTATTTTAAACACGACCGCGTCAAATCACCAGTGTGCAGTATTATTTTATCGTTTCAATAGGTACCGTTACTTATAGACAAGAAGTGTACTCCATGGCTTTCGAGTTAATAAGCCTCAGGGTAAGTTGTCGACAAGTCGATAATCATTATTGTATTATTTTCACGTACCTATCGTTTCTCCTCTGCACGTAATCGTCTTTTATCTTATTGTTCGTTTACAAAACACTCTCCGTCTAAAACGATCGGATGTACATTTTTATTATCCAGTCGCGGAAGATTACTGCGTTTTATCACGGAAGTAGTGTTATCACTATCATGTTCGGCGCCGACATTAGAATCGTTGATTGCTATGGCACGTACAAGATTATTGGTGTACATACGCTTAGATGTTGAACTCTCTCTACCTAAAGTTGTTTGATTTTGTTCTGTTCAAATCACTGTAATGCTTTGCTCGTTTTACAGTTGAACCAATTCGTTTATATTTTTCCTTACTCAAAACAATGTTTCACCTATTTTGTTTTATTACTATAAAATAATAATAGTTTTGTTTGTATTACAGCTGATAACATTTATGGAAAATAAGTGGTCGAGATAATGATAACAGTCATTTCTTTTCCTTTATTTATACAATTTCAACGAAATGCATTTTTATGTATTGTCGTCAGCTTTAAAATACTTCAAGGTTATTGAAAGAATAAATAAATACCAACGTAATAAAATATCGTAATAGTTTTGTAGTAATTGATCTCGATATAAAAATGAACAATTTACAGCAATAAAATATGTATAATTGATCGACTTCGAAAAATCTGTCGCTAGTAATGCCAACGATGAAAAATGTCTACATTCAAGGTGGTCGTGTATGTCAATAATCAGAGTTAAATTATGATTATTACTTATTGTTAGTAACACGATTATGTTATCACTTACTTTTATATTGCTCGGATAGATTCGAAGGTCGCGTTTAATAATTCTTTTCGAAATACTTTCTTGACCTTTGGTGGTTACTATTTCCAGCTGTTGTCTGTCTATGTGTGTGTGTGTATATTATCACACGTTACAGTAAATTGACGTGTTTTAATTACCTAGCGCGTTATTATCGTTTGTCCTGACGGGCTTTTTTTTTTTAATGCAGAAAAAATTATGTTCATAATGTTGATAAAATATGTTTTTTTCCTCAATGAGTACACGTTTTGGGCTCGTACAGTTAAAGTTTGTCTTTGCAGTTTAGACCGCATTATTCGATTGAAAAAGAAGAGTGAAATATACATTTTCGGTTTCCCGTTTCGATATTATTAATTATATTGACCACCTGCCACTATAATGTTTAACGTCTCGATTACCGACATCATTGACAGACACTGTTCAGATGAATGGCGATTCAGCGCGCGTTGTACATTGTCATTGATTATGCGTGATAGAGGAGATGCCTGAACAGTGACGGTATGCAAACCACTGGCAACTGCGCACTAAGTGCACCAAAACGGTCGCTAACGGAGAACACGAGAGTTTTTTTTGGAGGCAAAACAACAGTTTGTATTACTACTATAATATTAAATCCACTCGGTGCGCTAAAAAGGTTAAAACGGATATTACGGAATCTAATTGGTCGGCGGCGACAGTGGGGTCAAACGAGATGCCTTTCTCCATAATCGTCCAAAAGAAACACGCGTTTGTTTACACCGTGTCCGTGTGTATTTTCAGTTCCAGTCATGTTCACGTGTCGGCAGTGCCGTCGTAACGCCAAAATTAAACCATCAACGTCCTCCAACGATGGTTTTTGGCGAAACTTTTTATTGATAACACTTTGATAAAGCGGTGGCGGACTGCAGCTGCTTTTACCGGACCATCGATGGACGGCGGCGATGACGGCGGTAAACAACGGCGTACGGCCGCCACCGGCAAGAGACGCGTGCCAGCAAAAAGGAGTTGCTCTGCCGTAACGGAATGGGAGACCAGCAGCTCGTGGCAGTTAGCTAGGCAACATCCGATGGCTAGAAGAACATCCAGGGTTTACAGGTACCTACAAAAAAACATAATTCATAGTGTAAGTTATAATTTCGTATGGACAATTGGATGATCAGTTTGTCGATATCGGTTTACGCTTTACAATTCATTTCACAGCTATTTATTTTTAACTACACAATAAAAATAAATTCGTATTAACTAGTTTTGTCTATAAAGTTAACAAACAAAACCGAAATACTTAATATAGTAGCATGGTCTAGATCATTAACATTTTGCATAAGTCAGCAAAAGAACCCAAACTAAAATTTCTCAGCAAATGTATTTACCCTAAAAAAATGTAATTTGTTTTGGGTTTAAATAAAAAACAGGTTATTATCGACTCTTAACATTAGCAGACATGTGAGGGGTTCGACGCGCACCCACACGAATGGTCTCTGTCCGCAATAAAAACAGTTCTGTAAAAACATCGTTGTTTTCAAATTATATTTTATTATGCATATTTATAAAGAAAATAATAACCCATCATATTGTTTGAAACTATATTTATCACTTGGTTTAATGAAATGTGATTAAAGGAAACAGGTTATGTAGTCCATGTAGGGTCATCGCTGCCCTTTCCTAAAAGGAGGTTTTTTAGCTATCCGGGATGGGTAATCAGTCTGTCTCCGAAAAGGGGAATGACAGCTCCTTTTCACCAGATAATTTCTCGTCCCGCAAATGGGGCGCCCTTGACCTATAGTGTCAAACCAGCGACTAAGAACACCAAACCACTGACGTCCTCGGTCCTCTTCATAAAGCTTTCATTTTCTAAGAATACTGCCTATGTAAGGTTCAAAAAATGATAAATTAAATAAAGTCTAAATTATATATGGGAATGCGACATCTCAGCATTGATAATAGATTACCAACAAGGATGATCATATTTCTACAATAAGAAAAACAATCTATCAAAGTGTCATCTTGGCTTGCTTTTTAAAATGTCTGGGTGGATATTGCTCATCTAGTCCCAGATTACTGTCTATGATTATTATTGAAGTAACAATTTTGGTGTCTTAAGGTAGGTCAGTTCACGTCCTACAATTTCGAACAGCTAAGCTTTAAATAACAGTGACTGTTTAAGTTTTTCAAATAAAATCATTGGTGATGCAATTTAATTTTCGATTTACGCTCTATATAATTGCTTTATTTTTCCAAACGCCATAGAGCATTGTTCGTCAAAGGAGTGGTCTGTTTCACGGTTATGTGTTTTTCAAAATAGTTTTATTCAAGCGTTACTCGTCAACCGTCAATGGCGTTGTGTACTATAACATTAGTTTTACAGCAAATCAACCACTCGTCAAAAGATGTAGCTCCGAAAATAAGATAAAAAAACAGATGCTTACCCGAGGCAAACAACGCTTACGTACAAATGCCTATTTTTAATTCACTGACATCAGTTGTAGCTTATTTACCAAGTTCAGACGGGATATAATTTTACTCGTCAGCGCATCTACATAACGAAAACGCAATCGCATACAGAGTGTACCTACCTACTTTATTTTATTTTATCGAACATCAATTTAAAACAGTGATGGTGTTGCTTGTTTGGTTGCAACTTACAACATCTAATTTATGTTAGTTATTACGACCTTTTTGAAGTTGCTTCTTCATATTTATTTTATTTTCTCAAACTAGTTTAATAATACATGTTTTTAGCACAAACAAACGGGTTAATTAAAAAAATAGTGATGAACGAACAACAAGTAACCGTTTTTAATAGTGATGTGATCCGTGCATAATCAATTAATTATTACATTTTTAATAATAGTTTGTCTGACGTCATTTTGAATACATTAACCATATGAACCTAAGAAAAGACGAAACATATATAGGGCAATGATGTCATTTAGACGTAAACTACGCACTACGATACTACAGGTATAGTGACCGACACAAAACCGAACTATCACTTTTTAATATTATTGTAACTATAGGGACAGCTTTTATTGTAGGATACAAGGATCGTTTTCTAGTTTTGTTATATTTTAGAATTAAACAAATGGTTAGTCTTCACATATAAGTGCGGAATTATTAAACTACGTTGGAATATATTATTATAATAATAAATGCTACCTGAATACGAAATTAGAAAACAATAACATTAATACGATTTTTACAGCGTCATATTATACCTTCTTGTTAAAATATAAACAATGTAAAATGGTTATAATGTAAAATACATTTTTAAAAATGAGTACCTACTATTTCAGTGACGGTAGGTAATAATAATGAATAATTAATAGGTGACTTCTGACTATACTAAACATATATCATCGAATAATATGATGAGTAATTACTAATAATCGCAAGTTTAGGTATAGTTATATGTTTTGGTGATAAACTACCACGTTTGGTTACTTAAAATACTATGGTCTATGTACTTAAACAATTAAAATAAAGTAAAAAATCTGATTTCTTTGGAACAAAATGGCGAAAAAGAGTTTTTAAAGATGACTAAAAAGTAATATATTTAAATAATAAGAAATAAACGTTAATGTGTTAATGGTTGAGGCGATTAACCATATAATTTTAAACCATTAATATGTCCAACCTAATTTGATAATATTAGAACAATAACACTAACAAGTAACAACTGTATTAAAATATGTATTTTAAAATCGTACCTATGTTTAGTTATTTATTGTACATTTATATTATACTCATCAAGAAAAACCAACTATTGAGACTATTGTGAATTAATTTATGACAATGTAATAATATGTAAACACTAAACGTGAGTGTTAATTTTTTTTAAATTTGTTTTATCATATTTGTTTTTTTGTTTACCTTGTTGAACCTGATTTCGGTAAATATACTATAATACAGTTATTAAATAAATAGCTGTTTCTAAGCCCGAGCTCTAATTTGATACTTTAAAATTGTATTTAATTACAAATTTTATAAGGGTACCTTTTGGAATTTCATTAGGTATATAAACGCAATTAATTATTTAAAATTTGAATTTCAAGTATAATACTATTAATATGTTTTATAGAACTATTAACAAATAGCAAAACTTACCAACACAATAATATTTAATAATACATGCAACTAACAAACTCGATGTTGTACCTAAAAAATTCTCTTTATTATGTTTGAAAAATGTCGAAAGAATCCTTTATTGCTGGCATTATACACTCACAACTCAATCGTATGTTTATTTTTTTAAGTTTATTATGCAAAATTAATAAATGTAATACAAATTTGATGATTATTCACACGTATAATAAAACAGCACTGTATGATCGGGACTATAGGAGTTGAAAGCGACAAAATCACTCGAGAAGACTCTTTGGTGAAACTAAAAAGTGAAAATAAACACAAACGCGGAGCTAGTATTCCTCAATGACAAAAAATACATTAAAAAAAAAAAGTGATCAAGTTCTAGGTATAAACTAATTATACCTTCAGTATAATTTTAAGTGTTAATTTCTAAAACCACACCCATAAGTGGAATTAAAGAAAAACTTTCATATTTTTGGGGGATTTTCTTTTCTTATATTATTACTGCAGATTGATGGAGTCTTAGGTTATATCTAAAAATTAAAAATTGTGAATATTTTTTCCAAGTTATATTAGGTTATATTAGTTATATCCAAGTCGTATTTAAATATGAGTAAAGTAATGAAACTCAATTTTTTCCGTTTTGATGTAGGAGAGATGCATTTTTGGTCCATTGTGAGTACTATTAAAAATAATTTCTGAGCCACATTCTGTAAATATATTTTATTTATATTATACTTACATTTAAGTCTATTCAAGGTTGTACTCCCAAATAAACTCTTTAAAAATGTTTAAATTAAAAATGTGCAACTTTTTTTAAATCGTTGTACAATATTTCCTATTTTTAAAATTGTATAGCTTATAAACAATTAAATAAATGTATTCTATTTTCTATAAGAATAATTATTTAAAATTAAAACAAATTAGAAAATGTATGCATAAATATAATAATATTTGCATGATTTTTCAATATCACAATATACATAGGTAAACTAACAGCTTAATGCAAGTTGTTACTGTTAAGTAAAATTAATCGGTGATTTAAAATAAAAATGTGTATTTCCTGTCTGGTATTCATGGTTAATCATCTTCTGTGGTGGTTATAAAAACAGGTGTGCTTCATGGTGGAATTCTAGTCCCTGGAACCAAACCTACGCGACGCGAAGACTCGTGTCCTACCAGAAATACCTAACCCACACATTAATCCAAATTGTACGGTGTTGTAGGCGCTGGTCTCACCTGCTTGTTTTAATCACCGTCGCTGTTATTTTGCATCGTCCATTTCCAAATCCCACGACGATTCGTAGGCGATCTCGCAACCATAACTTTGCCCGCAATTTTCGTTTCGCCTATTCGACGTTTACCATGAATTATTTTACATATACATTTTTTGTTTAACTACAACAACCAGTTCTTCATCATATTCCATCTTCAACAGATCGAAATAACATGACAATTTCGGTTCAAAACTTATCGGATTGGATTATTTTAAGTACAATATTATTGTACTTATAAATGTGCCGTTATGTGGTTTGCTCAACACTCGTGTGTTTTGAATACAGTTCTTCATTATGTTTCTGTTATCGGAAAAAGTTTAAAAAACATGTTAAATAACGTACATTTTACAGAAGTAAACACCATAACACCTAATAAAACCGCTAATGTTAATTTTATATAATTTTAATGAATTTAGTACATCGCAAATGTTTAAATGTTTCGATTAAAATCACTTTTTGGCTATATTGAAGTTGTTATTAATGACTGTACGATGATTTGGAGTACATACATTTGAGGTAAAGACGATGGGACAAAACCCTTAAGAATATTGAAGTTTTTCTACAAACTTTTCGCTAAATTTATTCCTCACAAATTTACAATGTATAGGTGAGTACATTTATCTATATTGTATAGTCAGATACTTTATTAATGAAAAGGGAGTGCTATTCCTATTTATAATCTGAGGCCTAGAATATTGTACTTTTATAATATTACATGTAGTGCAAAAATAATACTAATCGCATTACAATCAAATCGGTGTAAAGATATTTATGGTCAGAATGTATATATATGTATACACACATCTTGTAAACTTACTTAAGTTTAGTGTGACGTGTATATAAGCGTAAAAAGCCTAAATTTGAGGGTTTAATTCCACATAATAATAACAAAAATGTCTTGTAAAGTCTACGTATATTTGGTTACTAAATTGTAGGGAGGCTTAAGGAGTTTTAATTATCTTTAATCATCATTCTTAAACCATAACTATCTTAGGGTTTATGTAGGAATTAAAATATTAAAAATTATTCTTAAGGGTTATAAAATAAATTCCTGAAAAATGGAGTAGTTAAAATAATCATTTATTCAGTTATTTAATTAATGGTTGAAGGTTTTATTATCCCAAGTGATATGTTTAATTTGAATAATAATTCAATATTTTACATAAAAATTATTAATAAATGAAATGCATAATATGCTCTTTTGCTTATTGTTTAGTGACCTTCGAAGGGTTTTTGAAGGTTAGATAGTTTTGCCAAATATTAAATGAATGTTTGGGAAAAATCTAAAGAGATTAAAATATTAGAATTAGAACAATATTAATAGTTCGAAAAGAAGCCAAACTACGGTAACTATTTATATAAATACAATTGTCCATTCCGCAATGAACGTAACCTTGAAATGAAAATCTGAAAGATGGAAAATACTCCACGCTTGCTAGCTATGTACACGATAAAATGTTTAATAATGTAAACTAAATCCTTGTTATTTTAAATTTGTAGTATTTATATTTAAAAATATAACTGCCGTCCATAACAAGCATCTGAAAAATATATAATGAATCATAATAAAATATATCTTACTAGGAGTTTAGATAAAACTGATATATGACCATTCAATCAATGATTTATTGTTAAAACTGCAATTAATAGTGTTTACGTTTCTATAAATTCAATTATAAAATAAATGTAAATTAAAAATTAAACACATTCTCAGATTTACATAGAAACTAAAAATATATATTTTTTTAATTTAAATTTTGTATTTATTATATTAAACATTTTATAATATTATAATACTTTAAAACCAAACTGACTCCAACCTAAAGAAAAAGTTATCCCCTAAATAGCAGAACAAATTTTCTTTTGCCATTTAAATAATTGTATTTAAAAAATTATAATATTTCTTGAAATAATGAATTTGTGGGTTAAGCTTCAATGTGAATCTGAGAAAGTGTTTAAGTACTTAATCCTTGCACATAGCACTACATTTTTTCTGACCACGTATTTTCTGATTACTCAAGACAGTTTTACGTTTATTTGCCAATTTTCGGTATACTCAACTTATAATATTAAATAATATATAAGTATATTTGTACATAAATAACCACTTTATTGCGAACGTTTTTATTCGTTTTATACTATGTGTGTATTTAACAACTAGTAAGATATCTTATGCAAGAAAATGTGTTCAAACAACAACTTAATATTTATATTTTCTACGTGTCAATCATATTACCTTTAACGCTAAAAACACAAGAATAAAGTTGGTATTCGGTGTTTGTAGCATAATACGTCATACACTGTGCATCAGCTTAATGTTAACCGTACCCAAATTTTCAAACCAGCATCTTGCATAACACCGCCCTGATAAGAAAAGTGCCGTAACTATATAAAACAAATTTGTAAAAAAAACTATTTAAAATTAAGTAAAAATCAATTGTGATTTATATACATTTTCTGTAGCCAACTCGTTTCTTTTCGAGTTACAGCACTTTTGCTTAGCAGGGCATAATAAAATTCATCTATTTCCTTGAATCATACTACAATACATTGTACCTAATCAAAGTATTATGAGCTTAGTAAATCAGGTGTGGACATTTTCATAATTCACGATGAGCATAGGTATAAAATATATACCTTAATCCTGGTAGGTTGTCAATTGTCATCAATCTGGTAGTTGACCTTTCGAATTTGTGTCATGATGATAATATGGCAATACGGATGTTCATGACATTTGATTACATTTACATTTGATGAACGGAAGTATTGTGAGATTGGAAAAATTCTTTATTATCTTATCGTTAATTTCGGAAAATTGATTTATGTTAACAATTGTTTATTTGTTGACTTGACCTGACGTGCCATTTAAATAGCTTGACCTTTTGGTCGCAAGGTCGAAAAGTTCGCCAACGCCATTTAAGTTGTTTTTCAGATTGTAACGTTTATAAATTGTAATGTTAATGAATAGTAATAGTCACATCAAAGTAAAGATTCATTTTTAAAAAATTGTATTTTTATTTTTTATGATCAGATTTTCATTGTTGTTTTTATGAAGCATTATTAATTTTATTTTTTATTGATAAGAACATACAATCTGTACAATTTAATAACACAATTATACATATGTGATAATATAAGACAATAGCGCTGTGGTACATTTGGTAAAAAAGTCACCCATTAGTGACACTTCACATAAAGCATTTTAGTTAAAAAATAAAATTTAGTTTATTTTTCAATGAAATAAAAAAAATTACTTTTGAACAATAATTTTCTAAGTACAAATATTTTGTTTAGTTTACTTTTTAATATTTATACATTCCTGAAGATACAAAAGAAATGATCACACCATATGTATGGTCATTTTTTAGTAATTCACTTAACAAACTATATAATATTTTTCTAGGACAAAGGCAACTAATTAATATCTTTACAATTTACACTATTTTATTTTATTAATTAATTTATAATTTTAATACTTTTTACTTATAAAACACATAACGAAATCCGTAGCAAGTTTTAGAGGATTTATTTGATATTATACGGGGAATTACATCATACAGCGTGACATTTATTTCAAGTATATCCTGTGTATATAACATATTCTGTCTGTACAATATTATGTAAGGTTAATAACATTTCCGATAAAGACCAAGGTTAAAATCACCTTTAGCTTTAATAATAATATAAATAAACTAAAGCAATTCGTTGACTAGGCTACCCACTCTATACTTCCCACAAACTACTGATTTAAAATGTAGTATTTTCGTAATAATACTATACATATAATATCTTATTTGTATAAAATATATTAAGTTATAAAATTGCAACTATAGTATTATACTATAGTTACATGTTTATTGAATTCTACAGATGTTTTTAATAAAAAAAAAACAGTAAGATATTTAATTTTGACAACATTGATTGTATAATGTATTTATTTATTTTATGTGCTTATCTTAAATCGTATCAATTATATAAACGAAATAATAATATAATGTATAAAAAATGTATTTCTACCAAATTATAAACATACTGTGCTAAATTCTTATGATAACAGCTCAATAACAAATATGGCGATAGATAAAAATATACGTGAGTAGGAAGACAATAATGGGATGATTATTTATAGTTGCAACTTGAAGTTATTAACGATAATTAATGTATTAAAAGTTAAAACACAAATATTATGCATAACTACTACACTGTACACTTATTGGTATAAACACATAATAGATAATACTTATTATTATCTATTATGTGTTTACATCAATAAGTGTTGTTAATAAATGGTATTATCTCTGTAGAGTTTAAGCAGAATGTGAATTGCAAGTTTTTTCTTTTGAATTTTTGAATTATGGTAATAGTTGTCAGATTATGAATAGTATTTTTTAAGTGGCGGTAAGACATGTTTGAATAAAAAAAATGCATAAAATATTAACTTTCGGCTATTATACCCATTATATATTAGTATTATATGTGTATATTAATTTTGATATACATCAGAGGCGTTACTAGAGTAGAGCGCGACCGTAATAGGTAGTTTAAGGATTAATTGTATAATATACAAATATTCCATTAAGCATGTCATACTGCATGTTTATTTTATCTAGGTCTTAGAAAATTTAATTTTAGAAAAGTGCTATACTTAAACCTATTTTGCTTACACTTATATTTGTACGATGCCATTAGGTGCGCACTTTTTAAATAAACGGTTCACGGGAATTTATTGTTTATACATTAGGAGGTAGTATTTTACCAAAAAAATAATTTGCCGGAACTCTGAGTCAAAGTACACGTGTTTACAAGTTAAATGTTACGACTCATGAATCATTATTTTACAATTTGTTGTGTGTTTCAGAGAGCTGTGTCTTGTGTGGAACGCTCGTGTGGGATCGCCCAACACGAACGCGTCCGCCCACAAAGTTCAGGCGCTGTTCAACGACTTAGGGTTGTACCCGACATCAGCTCAAGGTAAATTCATTTTGAATTTGAATTTAAGTCTGTCGTGTGCTGACATCCTTCTGTTATTAAAATCGGGTCTTGCTATTTTTTTTTTTTTTTTTTAGTCGCTGAAATGATGCAGTGCACGATGAAATGTGCCAATAGGAGTTCTCCGGCGCACATGACATTTGGAGAATTCTGTTTGTTAGCGAAAAAACTGAAAAACGGCTTGGACAGAGGGTAAATAATATACTGTTACATTAGCCGTTATAGTATATAGAATTTTTTTTTACAAAAACCCAGATCGTATATCTACTTGATTTTGTTAGTATAATGTGGCCATTGTGAATGAATTAATACGTGTGTGTGTGTTTTATGACTTATAAAACAACACATATATATATATATATATATATACACCCTAAAGAAAAAAATCCCAGTCTGAGAACGGGGTGGCCAAGGGTGACGACCGATCGTTGTGGTAGCTCATTGTTGAGAAATATGCCGACTTCTAAGAACCAATGTGGTAGTAAGTAAGCTTGAGATTGCCCCTCTTTCATGTGGTTGGTAATTCGTTTACGACAAACTATGGGTTCAAGACTTATAGCCTATTAAAAACGGATTAATCGTTTGGAAACGCCCTGTATAATAGGTGCGGTACAGTATTCGAGCGATACTCGGAGCTTTAAAGCGAATGTTGTTTTCGTACATAGAATTAATGATTTTGTCGGGAAGACTAATTGGCAATTGCATCTCTAATAGGAGATAACTGTGTGTTATAATATACATTCACATTTATGTTTAAGGTGGCAATATTAACTATGAATTAGTATTTTATTACCTAGGGGTTAAGCACATATATGGTCGTTTGTAAATATTGTGAACGGGATCTCGACTTGGTATATATTTTATAGTATCTGTTGTTGTGGTATAATTGTATTGCCTCCACGACGGCTACAACAGCTGTCTGTCAATACTTAATTTATATTAATAAATTTCGGGAAAATAAATCCAAATAATCTATAATAAAATTCACCACATGTGTATTAAGCATAATTTTTCAGCGGTGAACCGCCATTGCATACATCTGTTGTCGAGTAAACGGGTTTCTATTATTGGCATTAAGTTAATAATAATAGTTATGATTTATGATCGACGATGTTGACAACGGCTGTAATGTTTTTTTTTTTTCAGAATACCGAGGTCAGTGCAATTTTCTCGGCTATTGGAAAGAGATCAGGAGAAACACAGAGGAATAAAACGCAACTTGAGTAAGCTAAATTGCAAACACCCCATTACATTACCAAATATGTCTTCGAACAGCTCTTCGCCTCTGTGCTAAAGCCTATAACCTGTGTGTTGTCCGTTTTTCTAACTGTCGTTTTTGATTCCTCCTTAGGGACGTTGCATAGTTACGACGTATTTCTCGGTGGGTCGTGTAATCCTACCACATGGCGTAAGGAGGTGGCTATACCGTATCTGCAAGACGCTGGTGTGTCTTTCTTCAACCCTGTGAGTATGATGTATAAAACGAATAATCAATCATTCAATGGAATTAATATTCTGTCACACAAAAAATATTAGGTAGATATGTATGTAAATTTTAGTAATATCGATGCATAAACGCGTATAATCTTATTCATAAGAGTTTTAACACAAATTAATTTTAGAATAAAAAAAAAAATTTTTTTGTTGACCCTAGTTTGCTTTTTTTGTAGTTTTGGAAACATTATATTAGTCGTCACGTCTGTGGATACTTAAAAAATATGACCCCGTTCCTTTCTAAATATGGCGTCGAATCATTAGGTACCCGCATGAGCAAAGCAAATCCAGTGACTTTTTTTAACATCGCTTCAAGGTGTTATTTGAGATTTGCCGGTTTTGGATTGTCCGAGGTTTTAATCTTTTTGGTTTTAGCTTTGTCAGATTAAAAAAAAAAAAAAAAATGTGTTTACTGATGTTTAATGGAAAATTAAAATTAAATACATACACGTCTTTCAGTTTTATTTTTGAAAATTAAGCACCGTATGCGATAATTATTAATTACGCGCCTTGTTATAATATTATATAATTGTATTATTGCTTACAATATCGTTATTTTACCCCGAAACACTTAGTCATTGGTCGTCTGTTAGAATGTCTCTCGTTTACGTCTTTTTTGTACGTACACATTAATTGTATTGTTTGCATAATGCGAATTCGTCATTTTTCTGAAATCGATTTTCATATTATTAATAAGCTGTAAAATTGTCACAGCAAGTGGATCATTGGAGTCAAGATCTAATCGAAATCGAACACACGGCCAAAGAAAACGCAACCGTTCTATTCTACGTGATCGACAGACAGACTAGGAACGTGGCCAGTGCGATCGAGGTAGCCAATTTCGCTGGTTACCAAAAAAACGTCGTGGTGGTCATCCATCCACAAGACACTGTTTCCGGCACAGTAGTAGCCGGCGAACAAATATCACCCACGGAATCGGACGACATACAAGAGGCGTTGACGATACTGTATAAAATCGCGCACGAACAAGGCATTCTGGTGTTTGATAATATACCACAAGCTCTAAGCCGAGTAGTCCAAGTGAGTACCGTTGTTTTGATTTTAAGCGCGATTCCATTAGTGATTGTATAATGTCAAAACTTAACGTCGATGTAGATTTTAAAAGAAAAACCCCACAAAAACGGCGAGGTCAACGAAGATAACTCTACGAACCGGTAAGATTTCCCGTTTCCTTATATTAGGTATACTTTAAGAGGGCGTCGCACCGCCCATTTTTAAGGAGTAAAGTATAGGCAATTTTTTACAAAATCTTAATTTAAAGGTTAAACTGTGATGTATAATTATTAGCTCAATAACTAGGACTCTATTTTGGTAGTTAATTTATTTTTTGGACTATCACAGCATCCTTGAAAGCGACTTAAAAAAAATTTTCATCTCAACTTGTTTAAGCAGACTGAAAATAACTCGCTTAATTTTGGATTTAGAGTAAAAGCACCCATTATAAAATTAAAAGAGAACAATATTTCGGAGGGCAAGACGGTGCGTTTTTTTCATTATTATAAGTATAACGCTCAATACATAGTTTAGAAATAACGACTATTTTAACATTTTTAAATGACTGTAACTTTCCAAAAAATTAATTTTTTTTTAAAAAACGCACCGTCTTGCCCTCCGGAATATTGTTTTCTTTTAATTTTATAATGGGTGCTTTTACTCTAATACCAAAATTAAGCGAGTTATTTTCAGTCTGCTTAAACATGTTTTTACCACTGAAAATCACTGGTGCGACGTTCTCTTAATGACCGTGTATAGGACGCGGTGACGTCGAACGCATGTTCTAAAATATGTTGCGACTTATTAAAATTCATTGAGATGAAAAGCTTGTCTGAGGATTTTGTTGTCCAGTCATAAGATTGTTGTTTAATTTTAGCAAGGTTCGCGATGCGTTCAACATGTTCGACACCAAAGCCACCGGACAGATAAATATTTTCGATGTATGTGGGTAGGATTATGCTAGACACTTATTTGCTGGTATGCTATACTGATAGAACGTGTTTGTTGTGCAAAACAGGTGAGAATGGCCATTCGGTTGTTGACCAATCGTAATCTTTCGGAGAACGAGGTGATGGATTTGACGGCGGAAAACATTTCCGATTTTAACGGTAAACGATTAGCATTTGACACGTCAATAATTTGTAATATCCACATTGATGACCGCAATATTTTTACTTTTTTTTGCAGCCATCGACATTGACCGAGTGTCTTTTACTTTCGACCAGTTCCACGCGATCGCTTCGAAATATCTACAGCTACCGGACAAACCGCTTAACGGCAATGGGTTCGACGACTGTAAGTATGTTTGCCCGAAGCTTTAACTGGGTTGTAACGATTATTCCGACCGACAGTCAGCCATTGAGGGTTTTTTCCCCGTTGTAGGTCGCACGTACCATTCGTCTGTGACCAGGTCGTTGTCAGTGCCACAGGGATGGGTTGACACGAGACCTTCGAAGACCACAGACATCTACTTGGCAGGAGAGAGTGGCGACGACGTCCGGTGGATAGAAGACATAGCCATTCCGTTGATCAGGTAAACGAATGACTTTTGGTATTTACGTGCAACGTCTTTTCGCTGTCTTAACGCCAATAACGGTATCGACTATATTTTCAGGAAAACAAACTTGACGTATCACGCAGCCTCCAAACCAGACTTATCAGTATTACTCGATTCGCACACGTTATTATTTGTTATTCCAAACAACTCAAGATCGTTAGCTACCATGACTCTGGTACCTATGTTAATAATATTTCAAAGCGCTATATACGTATTTCATATATGCATGTTTTTCAACAACTAGGTACCTATAAACATAGTATAGATTTTATATCGTCTAATTTTCAGGCTGCTTATTGTATCGGCAAAAGCTGCAGGACGGTATTGTGTGTTCAGAATCTCAACAAAGATAATTGTATCGTTCACAATGAAAAGGTTGGTTTTCAATCTAATAAACATACACGTGGTTCGGTTGTGACTAGTAGTTATGAATAAAAGTCATAACATTACTATTTACTAATATTAAATATATTACATAAAATCAAACCACACTGTATAAAACAAAACCCTTCCACTCAGGTCTCAGCATTAATTTTAGTCCCCTCCCTAATTTTTAAAATATTATTAGTCTACTATCTTAAACATCATTCATAAAATTGTATATCTTACAGTTAACACAAATCGCAGTCAATGATTACAACAGAGGTAGAATGTATTTAACAGACTTAGCATCACGAGAACGAGTGCCTGTATTAGAATCAATCATAGAAGCTGTTGAGATAGCTATACAAAAAAGTTTATAGTATATTTTAATAATTTTTAAATTATATTACATTGTATTGTTTAATGACTTAAATTTATTATTTTAGTATTGATAAAACTAACCAATGTGTATTCGAGCAAATTAAATTTTGATTTTTATTCATTGAAACTATTTTAAGTACCAACTGTATCAATTTTTTTAACAACGTTTAAATTATTTATTTTTTTAAAGAAAATTTTAATATTAGGTATATTTATTTTTTGTTTTTGAAATTTATTTTAATATTGATTTAAATTTTTTATAATGATTTTGTCCTATGTACAAAATAAACTCGTAGAAGTATTTGTTTTTTATAATTATTATCACATAAATTATAGCTTTATAAATATATTAATCTGATTTATACAATAAATTTTCAACAGTGCAATCGTTATTAAAATTAAAATATCATTTAATTTTATAAGAAGACGTGATTTATTTACAATTTTTTATGCACTTGAGAAAAAATGTTTATTACTGTAAAACCGGCTAACTTTGGGCATCAAGGCTAATTTGGGACTTGGGGTAAAATAATTCATACTCTATATTATATTATCATATTGTAATATATTATTGTATTTAACCAATACACCCATAATGCCCCAAGTTAGCCGATACACCATTATGCCTACACTAAACTACATAGTTGCGCCAGTATGACAAAACAAATGCTCCGATAATATACATCTTAATTTACACATTTTTAGAATTATCTCTTTGATGTATCATTTTACATCAGTATAATGGTATTTTAGCTTCAATGGGGAACTGAGAAGGTATTGTTATTACAATGATGTGTTTTATACAAAATTATATTGTTATAAAATACAAATCTATATAATTGTATAATGTATAATTTCCATGAAAACATGTTCAATAAAAACAATTCCTTAAATCATAGCTCTCGTTATTAGTTAATTATGTTTCTAAAACTAATAATATATTTATGGAAACTAATGAAATTTTTTTGTATGCTTATTTAAATATATAGGTCTCGAAAAGGTTTTAGAACATATAGTGCATTTATACGATCGGTTTGTGATGCATCCTAGTCCATGGCTGTTACTCAAATGGTCCTTTAGGTATTTTTTTTTTTTGAATGCTTTTTTACAATGAGCACAAGTAAACATCGGCATTTCGTGTACTTCTGCATGATGATTGTACAGAAATTGATTTTTGAAAGTTCTGCCGCATAAATGACAAACGTACGTCTGTGCCGTATGGCTAGACTTATGATACCTACATAAAAAAGAAAAGTATATTAATATCATGCCAGTTAAAATGAAAAGTACTTTTAGTGATGCTGAAAGTATAATAACTACATATTTTGATACCCTCGGTGTTTGCCCCTTGGAATTTATATCAATATATCTTTGACAAATGACCAAATCGCTTTTACATTACTTCTTTAAACATAATTTATACCTAAGCTAACAAACTGGGTATATTAGTAATTGTTTTTATATGATTTTTTTTATTAGTTATTAGTTATTTCATATTAGTAAAGAACAGTTTGTATTTGTATGATAATCATGTAAGAGTAAATATAATCAGCGCAGACTGAGAGCATGGGGCTCTATATTTATTAATTATTTTTAGATAGTACAACTAATTATCAGACCATTTTATGAATTCTATAGAATCTGTTTTGGTGTTAAAATGGTCATGTTAATTAAAACCATAACGGCATAAAAATATATATTATTTAGAATCATAAATTTTAACAAAATATTAAATTTAAACTAATTTTTTAAAAATAAAATAGTTACATTAGTTAGCTTTCGCTTTTTTTTTTTTAAATAGGTTTCCTTTTTTTGTTTAAAAGTTGTTTTTAAACACAAAAAGCAACGTGATTTCCCTGAGAATATTTTCTTTTTTAAATTTTGATATTTTTGTTTAAACTCTAATTTCAACTGAAACTATTTAAATTCTAAGTAATATAATTTTGCTTTGTTGCCAGATAATTAGGCAAAGACAGTACATGCCGTGTGGCGTCCTCTTAATATAAGTACAATAAATATGAAGTTGCTAAAAGAAGGGGCTCTTGAATTCTGGTTGTAAGTACTCTTACAACACACCTGCTAGTTTTGCCCCTGAATACTTTAATAATTATTGCTACTTACTTTAGATTTGATGGTTGCATAGTCGTATAATCACATAAATCACAACGAAACATAACGTTCTTCTGATGAACGAGACGCTTGTGTCTACGTAATGATGACATTGTGGCAAAATTTTTTTCACAAACATTGCAACAATGATTTTTAACTAAGGAATGAGTACTCTCATGAATTTTTAAGTTGTGTGCGTTGGGCGACTTAAAACCACATATTTGACACATGAACTGACCAATATGAACATTTAAATGATTATCGAGAGTTTTTTTTTGTGTGAACTTTTTTAAGCACAACTGACATTTAAATAATTTTTCTCTGTGAATGTTTTCATGTACTTGAAGTCTTCCTTCGGACAAAAACACCTTTCCACATTTTTTACAGAAATGATTCTTTGGTAAATCATTGTGAACAACCAAATCATGTGAAATGAGATCGTTAAATCTTGTAAACGATTCAGGGCAGAAAGTGCAGAAATATGTTTTACGATAATACCGATTATACTTAGCCATTGATTTCGATAGTCCTTTAGATTGTTTAGAATTTTCTTTCTCAATTTTTTTCATTGATATTGCTTTGGAATTCCACCAATGTACCTCATTGTACTGATAATCGGTGTTTCTTTTACTTAAAAGGTCTAATGTCATGTCTACACAATCATCATCTGATATGGCTCCAATAGACGAGTTAGCTGGCGGTCCTACTTTTTTCGTATATTTTGGTAACGGTAGTTCTGTCGAAGTATCACCATCATTCCAATGTTGTGACATACAATTCCATAGTGAATCGTTCTCAAGTAGTCCAATACTCAAATCAGACATCTGAGATGGAGTAAAACCGAGTGGACCTAAATTTGATATTTCACCATTAAACTAAAAAAAAAAAAAGTAATTAAAATTACACAGTATGAATCGAATGTTAGTAAAACAAACTGACATCTAGTTCTGTTTCTATGTTGTCTTGTATGTATTGCTGCAAAAAAGCATTAGTATTGTCACATAGTATTTTAAACTTATTCCACGAATCTAAGCTTAACATGCAGCTAGCACAAATGTTTGTTGGCTCATCGCCGTTCAATGATACCTAGAAAAATAAATAATCAGAATAATTACATGACATACAAAAAGACTACAAGATATTAATATGTCCTCTATAATTAATACCTCTATTTGCACACATTTTCTTATAGTATCTTCGAGTTCATGTCTTTCAAAAATTGAAGTCATTTTGCTACGACCATCGTCTTCTCGGAAACATAATCGACAGACTTTTTCCACATCAACCACAGGAGCCATTATCCAAAATGTATACTTTGGTGATGCACCTATTGAATATGAAGTATTATATGTATTATTTCACCTCTGATGTCTTTTAAATATTTAAAGGTAAGATTTGAAGAAATTTGTAATTCATTTTACAAGTTTTAAACACGAGTCATGACATAATGTATTTATCATTTATACCTAAAATATTTTTATATTAAAAAAAATACAGAAAACACTTATTGTTCACATAAATGTAAAACACTATTTTAAACAATATTGTCTTTATACTAATACTTCATTGATAATAAATTGAATTATCAAATTCAAATACAATTTAGAGAGAAAGTTAAATATTATAAAATTCGACAATTCTCTCATCGGTTTCCGTAGTGTAGTGGTTATCACGTGTGCTTCACACGCACAAGGTCCCCGGTTCGATCCCGGGCGGAAACAGACTTTTTATTTTTCTAAACCGTTATTTATAAGTTATAAAATTTTTCTTGACTGAACTTTAAAACATTATTTTGCCTTATTGAGCAGGAACCGACGGTTAAAAATCATAATATTATAATCAAAGTTGGTATAATGTTTTTACAATATTTTATTGCTTCAACCATTGATTAAATATTTAATCAATGCTTCAACTAATTTAAAAGTTACAACACTTATCACAAAATAGATCGTTATCATTGGGATCACGTTCTTTAAAGACTGTGATTGGACCATGGACCTAGATATATGGTTTATGGTTATTACCATAACTACTAAGTATTATGATAGTAGCATATGATTGTTTTTATCAAAGAAAAGGGTTGTCGGTCGTCCTTCGTTGTAAATTATAATTTATTCTGCATTTCCAAGCATCAAGTTGACAGTAAGCGTTAAGCGATAAAAAGAAAAGCCAAAGCACTGTCAACCATTTTTCTCATCGGTAAGCCAAAACATTTCAAATGGGATTTTCGATTTAGCTAACGCACTTACACTCTGTTCCAATAAACATATTAAATGTCCTCAACCACTTGGCACTTACTCGATATCGAATGATAAGTGTTGAGGATGGACGAAGCAGGTCAGTATTGTTATTTATTAATTCAAATTGTATTCTTTCAGAGTTACACATAATTTAACAACAGATGGCAACTGCAGAGAATTTAAAACAAGATCTGCCACCGAAAGGTGGTTATAGACCCATTTCATTTGCTCGTGTGTTCCCAAAGCCGTTTGCAAGCAGTAAGTATATTCGATAGATACAGCAAACTTAACAAATGTGGTTACTATAGCCTACTGTACAACATTTGAGTGTTTAAGTATTGATTAGAAATACTATTTATAATCAATAGTAATAATATATAATATACGATATATCCTAGTTGTACATTTTAAGCATAATATTAAAGACGAATACAAATATTATATTATAGGGATAATCAGTATGAACCGATATGTAATATCACCTAAATGACAATTATCAGTTAATCATAATATTTTTTCAAAACAAATATTTTCCAAATTATTAAAGTGTCTCATTATTTATGTTTATAATCGTTAATGGAAATTGGTAATTGAATCAGTTATAGGTTAAATATCAGAAGAAAATATTTTACCATTGGAAAAATACATTCATATTGATCCGCCGCTACAAAAATATGTAATAATACTACTTTCTTTAATTTTTATTGAAGTGAATAGATATAGCAATTTTTTTTTCATTTCAAATTTTAAGTAATTTATATTCTAAAAAATTATAAAATAAATGGTAACATTTTTTTTATAGTTTACTCTATTTTTTTATGTTTTAAATGTATAGTATTTTTAACCTGATTACAAGCATAAATATTATTTTTATCCAAATTTGGTGATTTCAGCTTAAGTATGTGTGGACAGTATTGTTCTTATTTGACTTTTTTTATAATATTGTAATCATTAATCGTCAATGTCTTTTGCAAAGTTTATTTTTTTCACTACACATCATAGCCAAAAAGATTTCTCCTGGTGACATTTGTAAGAAATTACCTATCACATTCATTTAGTCTTAATTCTTAGGACTTAAAGATATTGTCTAAGAGAAAGTCAGAATTTAAAGTACAAGTGAGTTTGAAAGTTTAGGTGGACTTAGCGTGAAACATTGAATAGTGGTACTTGTTAGTGATAAAATTGACAACATTATTTTATCTAAACTAAAACTATCCGATCAATTTATTTTTACACATTTAATGAAACAAATTTAATTAATGATATAAGATATCAAAAATCTAAATTCAATATTTTAAGATGTAACGTATAATTTAGATCTAATTTTTATTAGTATATTATCATATTTCATAATTACCCATTAAATAATTTTTTTTAATTCTATAAAAAATGTTGCATATCAATTATAGATAAAACACTGGTTGCTACATACTTAGCTTGCACTGGAGTTGGATGGTACTTGTATCTATTGAACGATAAACAAATCGACAATTATCATATAGAGTCTCGTAGTGCTTTAATTGCTCTGACACCACTTTTGGACGCAGAAGCCGACAGAGAGTAAGTTGTTAGTTGTGGATTTTTCTTTTACAGTGAGTTTAATAAAAATTATTTCTGTATTTTTAGATTTTTAAAACAACTAAGGAGAAACCGAGAAGCAGAAGAAAGAATAATGAAAGACGTAAAGGGTTGGAAAACTGGAACTCTTTATGGCGAACCAGTGTATAAGACAATTGGTGATAAGCTTATTCCACCTGGTTTCAATGAATATTATATGCACAGTCCCGATGGTGCATTGTTGGATAGGGCTTACTGGCACAAGTATTTATAATTATGTAAGTATGCGTATTAATTATTTTTTATAAGTATTAATGTATAATGCAACCAGGGTAAGACGATGATGTGCAGTTGATATTGCCGTACGTTACCTAGCTCTTAAAACCAGTGTTCTACGGTGAACATCAGAGGAGCAGATGTAATTAAATATCTTTTTTTAACGAGAAACGAAGAATATAGTTTATTAAAAGATCATATATTTGTGTTAAATTGTCTGATAAGTTGTATTTGTTATTGTTCTATTATTATTATTTTAATTTCTCACATATAATATTATTTCATTACTAAATATTATTAGTATTATTAATATTAATGTGACAGCAGCAAATAGTGTACGATAAACTGGTTATTAAAGACTGCAATAAATATATTTTTTTCTAATAACACAAAAAATTAAATAATTTTTTTATTTCTACTATTAAATAATATTTGTAATGTTTTATGCATTATATTTTTAAACAAAAATGTGATGCTTATGATTAAATGGTGATACAATTAAAATGAAATAAATTAATACGATTAGAATAAAATATTTACTACTGTTATAAAAACAATAATTACTATTATAATATCTAATAATAATACTAATTTTTTTTTTTTAGGTGTTTGTTGAGCTGTTATTTGGATGGTAGTGACAAAAAAATATATGATAATAATTTTGTTTCAATATCAAGAAAGTTGCCTAAAATTATATTAGATAGAAAATTAAATATAAGTGTTTCTTGATTTGTACATCTAATATTTTGAATAGCATCAATTTTTATATATTTTGAATTGTATTATGCCGATTTTGCAAACTATGTTCTTTTTCTGTCTTAGTTAACGAGAATATGGTATAAGACAACTTGGGAGGTACTCTTTTAATGAGTTTCTTTACGTAATACAATAGTTTTATCTGGTTTCAATATTATTATTTTAATTTGTACTCACAATTTTCGGAACAGTTAATTTATCAGTTTGTCCTTTTTAAAAAAAAAAAATTTTAAGCAATTTGTATTGTATAATATTATCTACAGCCTAACTAGCTAAACCAATCAAAATTGAAGAATGTTTTCTATATACATTATACATATTTGTTAAATGTACAAGTATAAGCATTTAGCAATTTATATTAGCGGAATAACAATTATTTTTCCGGCCAAAGCATTATTTTTTCTATAGCGTTTTTATGATATTACAGTTTAGTAAGTCTGATATTAAAAGGATTAGCTAACGAAATGCTTTGAGAACTGTATTTTTGTTTTTGGGGAGGGAACGCTAAAAATGTACTTATTTACTATGTTGTCAGATTAAATTAGTTTGTACAGTCAACAAGGAGTCTTCTTCTATAGTACTACTTTATAAAAGTGACTGATATATTTAACACCAACTATATTTATATTTTTTAATTTATATATTACATTGTATCAGTTTTAAATGTCCTGACACGAAAAAATAGGACATTTTCGATGCTGGACAAATTTTACAATACTAATGGCGGGTTACTCAACAATCATTAAAGATTTAATGAATTAATAAATGTTAAGTGGTTTTTTAAACATAATGTAGCGGCCCGTGATTGGTTCATTAAATTTATTAATTTGTTAAGCAGCCGGGTATTATAACGTACACACGAATGGACCACGTTGTAAACTTTTTTGGCAACATTGATAATGGATGCAAACCTATATGCAGTGGCGGCGCAACTAGATGTTCTGGTGCCCTTGAGCTAGACCCTAGTGTAAAACTAAATATGTACCCTCAGTCTTTGCCCCTTGGAATATTTATATCACTGTTTTTGAAAAATTGCCACAGAGGAATCGCTTTCACATTTTGTTTCTAAACATATTTTATACCTAGAGGGAACAAATGTACATTACCGGGCACATTTTTTTTCGATTTTGTTTTATAATCGAAAGTACTTTTATTGCTTATTGCGAATCTGCAAGAAAGTTTTGCCGGACGAGTTATAGACATTTGACATACTCAGGCGCCCTTTCTACATTTTATTTCTCGATTTTATATAATTGTTATGTTATCAGACAAAAGTAGGTATTACGGCAAAAAAAAAAAAGGACCACGACGGGCCGGGGAAAATAGATGGGCGCCCGCTTGTGTCGATATAGGCGATCTTCAATGTCTATAACTCCCAGACTAAGTACGTCCGGCAATTTTTTTTCCAGATTCGTAATCAGCATTAAAAGTACTATCGATTTATAAAAAATATTGAAAAAAAGGTTCCCTGGTAATCTAGATTTGTACCGAAAATTTAATAACGTAATTTTGCTTTGTTGCCATTTTCCAGTTAGACATGTCATATGTGCATTGTGGCGTCCTCTTAATGTAGATATAATACATAAGAAGTCGCTAAAAAAAAATTACGCCTTGAAATCTGCTGCTTTAGTGTTAGTACCTATAAGCACACCCGCTAATTGCGACACCGCTTATAATATATATTTTAACCATGGCTAAATATTCATCCATTTGGTTATCATGATAGGTGCTGTATTTTTCATAACTTGTACGTGGTATGCCAGTACATGGCTTAAATATATTTAAGCCATGTGTCAGTGAACTATCTATGTATAATCGATTAAATTTATTAGATTGAGCTTAATAGTTGTTTTTTTAAATCAAACTTAGAATTATTGAATTAATTCTAATTTATCAATCGGATTTAAACTTTTAGATGTTATCTCGCATGAAATTCGTTGGCAAGACAACAACAGTACACCTTGAGTTAATAAAAAAAATAATATTAACGCTTTTGTGATATGATGGATGTATGACGAAAAATGATAAACAATTTATTCTAACGCATTTCAAGTTAAAATTAATTGAAAGTTTAAAACTTTCAGTGGCTGGTTATATTTAAATGACCGCCATCCACTTGTTATCAGCAGTAAAGGTGATTCCGGCGTTGGCCAACCTGAAACCTGAGGAATGTGTATTACAGACTCCGACAGCGAACCGAGATAAAACGTGAAAATGAAAAACCAATCAATAAATTTGTAAACAAAAGAAAATAATCTTTTTGTTTTTGATAATGTAACGATTTGTTAAGTTTCTAAACGGTATAATATATTCGCGTATAATAAAGCAACTGATCATGTGGTTCTAAATTACAGTTTCGCAGTTAAATTTATATTGATATTGCAAAAAAAATAAGTTGTATTTTATATTTAGAAAACATTCATCACTGTATGTGTTATTTGTGAACAAATTTTCGGTCGACACATGATACTTAAAAGTAATTTAAGAATACATTTTAATTTTTGGTTATAATATTAATGTTTTAAGTGTTGATGATGTTAAATAAAATATGAATTAATATTCAACATTATTTGTGATGAATATTTCATAGATATTTTCTAAAAGAAAATTGGACGAAAGCATTAAACTGGCTGGAGCATTGGAAGACAAGTCTGATTTGGAGGGGACTACTCCAACCTCTCCAAATCATATTCCTGCATTGGATCAATCAGGTACATCAAATTTAATTAATAAATAGAAAAACTGTAAGAAATTTTAATCGTTTTCAATTTTATGTAAGCGTTGCATTCAACTACATGGGGTTAAAACAAGTTAAATAAATTACATAAAAATTTGGTTTCATGCTTTAAGGTTATAGATTTTTTTAAGTGATATTTTGTATTCTTTATTTATCAATAGTTTCTTAGTTCAATCATCAACAGAATGTATTTTATTAAAGTAGTCTCTTAGTTATTCGTTACAGTTAAAATACTTTAAATTATCATTTGTATTACGAGAAAATAAATATGATAGCAACTTCTATTTGTGTCAAAATCATCTATTAATTATTTGTATTAATTAACAAGTTTAACGCACAATAAGTATCTGAAGAGTTAATGTTACGCGGGAAGTATTAAGTTGAAAGAAAATAATCTATTATATGATGAAATATTTTTATATAACATTAACAATTTGAATTTTTAACTATAGATTCTTATAATATAATTAATAATTCAATATATATAACAATGTATATGTATAATAAATATAATAATAATTTGAATCTCTTAGATTCAAGTTTTCATAAAAAAATTGTATTTCTTATTTTTGTATCCACAGTTTTTTTTAATAATGATACTTTACAATATTTCTTTTTTAAACTGTTTGGCGACATTTTGAACTAGTTTGTACATCCATATGTCTAATGTTTCCTACTAAAAACTTTATTTACTAGTAATCCCTATCATTGTTGATAGTATAATATTACATATGTTTTTTCACGTTCCTGAAAAATAAAAAAATTGTAGATACAAGGTATTGGTATGTTAAACAATTTACTTCATTATTCATGTTTTAGTGCTAAATACTATCATTAATTAATATTGCATTATGATGTATATCGAATATTAGAAGACTAACAATATAATGCATAGTTTTAAAGTATAACTAAAAATAAAAAGACAATTTTTTTTATGAAAACTTGAATCTAAGAGATTTAACTTATTAATATGTTATATTAACTCGATAAAACGTTTTGGGACCTACAACATTTGTTTTGCTTGAAATGTTTTAACTCTTAATTGTTTGTATACTATTGTAAAGGTTTGACCATAATTTTCTTTATTATTAATGGTTCAACTGTAAAAGTTGTTTTTCCATTTGAGCAACAATACTGCACTGTTTGTTGTATGGGCATATGTTTGGTTTGATCACAGTTGAACAAATATGGTGTGTGCCATTTATTTTACACAATTTAAAAAGAATTGTGTTGTAGTAGTAGTACTTGATATTCGGTGTTAGGTTTCCTTCTGTATTTAAAATAGTGATCTATTTTTTAGTTTTGATTAAAAATTTAAGTGGTGAATTTTGTTTTGGTAATGCTAGTTTAATTATGTATTGTAAAATGTATTGGAAATTGGTATGTTCTATTATAAATTTTTTTCAAATTGAATTATATAATTAGCCCTATTTTTGTCTCATCATACAATATATAATATTGTCGATACAATATACAAATGTCTATTCATATAACTACATTCGCTTGTAATGAAAATTAGTGTGGCCATTGGATTTGTTTTAATGCTACTAGTGATTAATTGTGGGTAAAAGAAATAATTAATCTGCGAAAATGTTAATTAAAATTTCATAAAAGGTTTTTTTGTTAAACTTCAGTTCTCTGTAAATTATTGCTAGATTTTGTTTGGTAAATTTATACAAATGATTTTAATTTAGATTTTAAAATAACAAAAATAGTCAACAGTTAGTAGTTTGGTCATGAAGAATTATTTTTATGAGGTTTGTATTTTGCGTACAGACTGTAAACTGAATGTGCCCCAAAAAGTGTTCAAGCTGTTGTTTACTTTTTATTATTATTTGCTTTTATAACAATAAGTACAATGTATTAACGTTTGATCATTCAGCATTCAGCTTTCAATTTGTCATCAATTATCAATAAACAGTCAGTGTAACTACTAGACCAAAAGAGTCATTGTGATTAAACCCAGTGTATGGAAAATAACCTTTGCCATTTTGTTTTATTTTAAAATAAATTTGTCTTTTACCTATAGTGGTTTATTCGTGTCTACTTACCGTTTATGCCAGAAGAATTATGTTAAGCTAAACTTCTGAGATTCAAAAAAGTATTAAAAAACCTGGGTTTGAGCCATACTATTAAATTTAAAATTTTTTTTAGAAACATTAAATGTGAGGTTCTAACATTTGTATGCCATCAACATTTTCCAAATTGTCAATTTTTATGAATTTGTTTGTTTTGTTTTTGAAATCACTAAGATACAAAAAGTTTAAAAAACAACCAAAAAATTAGTCACTTCTGTTATCACTTATAAAATGGAATAGGTAGTTGATCGATTTGTTTATCTTTGATCAGCACTTCAAAAAATTAAAAGCATATGAAGTAAGTTTATTGGGGATTAGATGAAAATATGTAATTCTT